CCCTTAGGAGTTCTACACGGAGAGGTTCGGGGAGGATGTGGTGGAGATCGTCAAGGATTCCAACCCGGTGGACAAGGGCAAGCTCGACCCCCGGAAGGTGTGCGCCCCAGATGTCCTGGAGGGGGACCCCCAAGATGCTATTCTGGGAGAGATGCCATGGGATTATCTCCTGATCGCCCTCAAATCCTTATCTCGGGGCAAGAGCGACAGTCCAGCAATCATAGCGCTTGCCTTGGGTGCCGCCGGCCCAGGTTCCTTCCCTGGCACCTCTGAACACCGCCAGAAGTGATCCCTGAGTGCAGAGCCAGTATGGCCAAACAAAACAAAACGAAAAACGTACCTCCCTTGGGGTTATAAAACACTATCCCACAGGGGATTCCCAAACATCTAGGTGGGGGGAGATCTGGGCCCCCTAGCTCTGGAGAAGCCCAAATCTCCTTTCATCAGAGTGGGGAACCCCTTGGCGGAAATGTCACGGGGAGGGGGGGCGGGGCCAGCCGACACGCCTGAATCCCTGGTCCCAGGCCTACATCCAGATCACCTATGTGGAGCCCCACTTTGACGCCTATGAGCTCAAAGACCGCGTGACCTACTTTGACCGCAACTACGGGCTGCGCACCTTCCTCTTCTGCACACCCTTCACGCCCGACGGCCGCGCGCACGGCGAGCTGCCGCAGCAGTACAAACGCAAGACCCTGCTCAGCACCGACCACGCCTTCCCGTACATCAAGACGCGCATCCGTGTGTGTCACCGGGAGGAGGTGAGTGGGGACCCCCGCGGCCTGCATCTGGGGAGCCCCAAAGACAGTGGAGCCGGGATCCCCCCAACCTGCGAGACCCAAACTAGGTGCAGATGGCAGGCCCTAAGCCCCGCCCTCAACTCGCCTCCTCCTCGGATACTGCCCCGCCCCTTAGATGCTGGCCCCGCCCCCTGACACTGGTCCCGCCCCTTCGATACTGGCCCCGCCCTATGCAATCTCTTCTCCCCTCCCGCCAGACGGTGCTGACCCCAGTGGAAGTGGCCATCGAGGACATGCAGAAGAAGACCCGTGAGCTGGCCTTCGCCACCGAGCAGGACCCGCCCGATGCTAAGATGTTACAGATGGTGTTGCAGGGCTCAGTGGGGCCCACAGTGAACCAGGCATGGCCGGCGGGGGAGCATTTGGCTGGAAGACCACCCTCCCCTGCCAGGCAGAAACCCTCAGGAGCCCCTGTCGCCCCCGCAGGGTCCCCTGGAGGTCGCTCAGGTGTTTCTGGCCGAGATCCCTGAAGACCCCAAGCTCTTCAGGCACCACAACAAGCTCCGACTCTGTTTCAAGGACTTCTGCAAGAAGTAGGTCCCCACCATAGTTCCCGAGCCCCCAAATCCTGGACAGCCTCTTGTGGGGGGATGGAGGGGCGGATTATAGGCCACTCCTGGCTGTGCTCGGGGGACCGAGGCAGGGATGGGGCTCAGGGCTCGCATCCGCAAAGCCTGCAGCCCAGCCCTGTCAGGCATCTCCCACCCCCAAGTCTGACCTCTACCCATCTCACCCCATTGTTCCAGCCTCTCTGGCTCTCTCCTCTCTGCTTCCCACTAAAAACCCCTTTACTTGGAGCTGACCACATCCCCAGGACCCCTTCAGTGCCCCTGAGCCCAGCTCACCTCCCCACCCCGCGGGGGTTAGGCCCTCCCGCTGAGTGACCTGCCCACCACCCTTAGGTGTGAGGATGCTCTGCGGAAGAACAAGGCACTGATCGGGCCGGACCAGAAGGAGTACCATCGTGAGCTGGAGCGGAACTACGCGCGCCTGCGCGAAGCCCTGCAGCCCCTACTCGCCCAGCGTCCGCCCCAGCTGTTAGCGCACCCCACCTCCAACCTCAGGTGCCCAGGCCAACGCACCCCCAACCACTCACCCAGCCCCAGCTTGGCACAAATGCAGGTGGTGGGCGGCCAGATCCATCCTCAGACCCACGGCATCATCTTTCTGAATTCTGGTGTCTACATCTGTGAAATGGGTGTGGTTCAGGGTGCTGGTGATGGATCCCAGGAGAGATCCCAGAGAAGGAAGCATCCTTGGTGGAGGAGGAGAGTTTGGAGCCCTTTGGAATTGGGGGTTGGTCTCAGTGTCAGTTTGACCCCCTTCTTCCTCTGGCAGGAACTCCATGAACAGAGCAAGTTTCCGGAAGGTGGACCTCTGAGCCTGCCCACCGCTGGGCTAAAGCCACGCCCCCAGGACACCCCCAGCACCCCCGCATACCTCCTAGGAGAATCGCTCCCAGAGTCCTCCTGGCTGTGGGCAACCTGTACACGGGGGTGCTGAGCCCTTGTTCTTATGTCCATCAGTTCCCTTCTCTGTACACTGAAGCTTATCTTTTTTTAATTAAAAATGTTTTTTCTAAGCAGCCAGTGTGGTGCAGTGACTGGGGGTGGGGTGGGATTGTGCCCCTCCACTCAGACCAGACAGGAGGAGGAGGAGACTGGGCGTCAGGGCCACTCCACAGGGCCAAGGATGCAGATTTCTGCTCTTCCAGGACTGACATTCTAGCAGGAAGGGTTGCGCACGTGCTCTGCTCCAGGAAGACAATCCCAAGAAGGCCCCCCCAGCCCCCCCCCCCCCCCCCCCCCCGGCCTTGGGGACTTCATGTTTGCCTCCTGATGACAAACAGTTCCTTTTTTATGAGGGTGGGGGGAGGTGGTGACCACACCCAGCAGTGCTCAGGGACTGCTTCTGTGCCCAGGAGTGACCGCTGGCAGTGGTGCGGGGTTGGCTGCGTGCAAGTCAAGCGCCTCCTGTCCTGAACTCGTTCTCCGCCCCTTACTTTTGCAGGGGCCACACCTGTTGGTGCTCAGGCACTATTTCCGGCTGCACGCTTGGGGTTTGCTCCTGGTGGTGCTCAGGGCCCTCACGCGAAGATCCTGCTTCAGCCTGCTGAGCAGCTATCTCGGCGGCCCTGTTTGACTGTTTTCTGTTGGGAGCTACTCGCAGCTCAGTACTGGGGTGATGAAGGAGAAACGAAGAAGTAGGGAATGAGCAGAGGGTGGAACCCCGGGCTACCGGGTGGGCGAAGCATGAGCTGCAGCCCCTTGGCTTATCTCGCTCCCCACAAGCAGTTTCCTTAAGCCTGATTTACACGGAGAAACGGAGGCAACCCTAGGAGACGGGCTGGGGCTGCAGCTGAGGCCCTGCCCCGCGTGACTGTCACCAACCAACGCCACAGGCACCATGGAGCACCAGGCGGGGGGAGGGGGGCTGGAGGGGGTGCAATTGCAGCCCTGGGCTGGCAGGGGGAGGGGTGACCTCCCGCGGTGGCCGCCGCCATGACTGCAGCCGCCACCGGGCCCGCCCTCCTCGCCCTCCCGGAGCTGGGCCCCGGCCAGACCCGCCCCGGCCGCCCCCCGCAGCGGCCCAGCTGCAGAGGGCTGGATTGAGGGGGACAACAGTGAGAGGGACCTCCTGTTGCGGGGACTAGAGGGGACGGGATGCGAGGCAGGACAATTCCGCGGGCCCGGGTGCACTCATGCACTCGGGGACACCTGCCGTCGAGGTGCGACCAGATGCCTGGGCCGCCTCTAGCTGGGTCCCCTCCAGCACTGCTGGAACGGCAGCGCGGGGGGCGGGGCCTTTAGGGGGCGGGGCCTCTGGTGGGCGGGGCCTCTCAGGGGCGGGGCTCCAGAGGGCCGGGCGGCCGGGCGGCGGCGCGCGGAGGACGCACGGGCGGCGGGACGCAGGGACGGCAGCGGCCGGAGCGCGCGAGGCGAGTGGGACCCTGGGGTTGGGTCGGGGTTCGAGCGCACTTCGGGGGACCGGCGTGGCCCCCACCCCCACCCCCGGGGCGTGACCTCCCCGGGGCTCTCCCAGCTGTTGCTGCCGCCAGCTCCAACATCTGTGCGCAAACTTTCCCGGCTGCACCAGGCACGGTCCCCGCCCGCGCCCGTCGCCGCCCGCCCGGCTCGGACACCCGGTCCGCATTCCTTGGCACCCCTCTGCCCCGCCACTGCCCCCTCTCGGCCCCTCTTCCCCATCTCGATCCCCCTCTCTGACTGTCCCCGCCCTCCGGCTGTCCCCCCATCTCCCCCGGGGCTCCTCTCCATGGCCAGGCGGAGCCAGGCCCGAGGCGGCGGGAAGGCGCCCCGGCGTCGTACGGGCTGGGCCTTAGCCTGCCGCTGGGCGGGCGTGGGGAGATGCAGCTGTTTGCTATTAGCCAGGGACCCCCCTACCCCCGCCCGCCCCGCGGCCCCGCCCCCTGCCCGGAGCGGGGTCCTCTCCGCCGTGGTCCTTGGGGGTGGGGGGCTGAAGAAAGCCGGGCTTAGGAATGAGAAGACCCCCAGATATTTGCAGGCGGGTCAGGGAAAAGGGCATTCCTGGCACCCCTTCCCTGAGTTCCCCATCTGCGCCCTCCTGGAGCCCCCCAGCTGTGGCTCTCACACCATCCGAACCCAGCCTGGCCCCCAACCTCCAGGGGCTCTCTGCAGAGTGGGGGCTGCTGCTCCCAGGACACCTCCTTTCCCACTGCTCCTGTCTTGATCTGGAGCCACCAGCTCGGTCGGACCCCCACTACACCCTCAGTGTTTCTCTCTGAGGAATGGGCAGAGTTTGTGTGAAAAGGGGGAATGCCCTGCCCTGGTTTTGCAGGAGGAGGAACACGAGGGGGGAGGACCTGTCTGACTCAGGTTCAAATCCAGACAGGCCACTTCCTCTAGAGACCCTCGGGATGAGAGGGGGGAGACCGGCCCCCCCGACTGACCCCTATGTCAAACTCAGGGATCACAACCCACCCGGTGGGGGTGGTCGGCAAGCACGTGATGCCCTGGCACGTTGGTTCCAGTTGTCCCCACCATGGCCCGCCCGCCCCGCCTCCTGCGTCACATTCCAAACCTGAGCCTGCCCTTCCAGGCCCCTCTAGAGCTGGGATGGGCGGTGGGCAGGGCCTGAGCAGCCCCGTGAACACACTGACCTACTGTGTGCTCTAGGCACCTCAAGAAGGACGGGACAGACACGTGCAGAGACAGAGAGAGACAAGTGCAGAGAGACCAGAGGCAGACGCGGACGGCAAGAGAGAGACAGAGAGATTCGTGGAGAGAGGCTCGGAGCACAGAACCCGGGACCAGGGACCCTGGGTCAGCGCGACCACGGCCAGGAGCCCTGCCCCGCCTTTATGCCTGTCAGGTGCCCGGCCTGGCCCATCCTCCAGGTACACTCGGCCCCGGCACCCCGGGGGCCGGAAAGGGGCGTTGGGCCCTGCCTTTGCGTCTGGGCAGCTGGAGGTCAGATGCAGTGAGAGTCCAGCCCCACCCCCCCGTGGTGCGCCTCCTGCATGGGGGGGCTGCTGAATGAGGGACCCTGATTGTGTCTCCCTTGGCAGCCTCCAGGCACCCCCTTCTTCCTTCCTCCCTTCCTCCCTGTCCCCATGACTTCCCGGGCCTCGCCCCAGCCTCCTCTCCTGCGCCCCAGAGCCGGACGCGTCCTGGGGAGATGGGGGGGGCAGGAAGTCCTCACTGAGCCTGAGCAGTGAAACTGTTTATTTTTAGAGAAAATTGTTTCCAAAAAGGGGAAAGGCTTTGCTCCTCACCGCCTCCCCTCACAACTTTCCCTAACTCCCGGGTCCCCTCCAGACCCACTGCTGCTTGGGGGGGGGGGGGCCAGCCCCCCACTGCTCTCTCGCTGTGCCCACATGTCTTCCTCCCTGGAGTCTGGTGGGCAGGCCACCCCCTGTCACGCGTGACCCCTGGTCCCCCCGCTCCTCCTGTGCCTAGTGGCTGCTTGGGCCAGGAGCAGCTGGAGCTTGTCTGGGGCCGACAGATGTGCTGGGGTGCTGGGTTCTGCTGCTTTGTCCCAGACTCGGGAGGGGGGTCCCCATATGCCCCCTTTTATTTTGCTTTTGGGGGGGGTCAAACCCGGCAATGCACAGGGGTTACTCCTGGCTCTGCACTCAGGAATCATCCTGGCGGTGCTTGGGTACCATATGGGATGCTAGGAATCGAACCCGGGTTGCCTCGTGCAAGGCAAACACTCTCCCTGCTGTGCTATCATTCCAGCCCCCCATACGCCCCTTTTTATCCAGGCGGGCTGGCTGATGCTCTGGAGAGGGTCTCACACGATGTCCCCCCTTCAATTGTTAACCCCTCTCGCGCCCAGGTGAGCTTCCAGCTGTGCCACCCAGTGTCTGAGTGACAGCCCCCCCAAGTTTGCCGAGGACAGCCACAGTGCTGAGGATGGCCCAGGTCCTGCACGTTCCGGCCCCCTTCCCAGGTCGGGATCTGGGGGGGCAGGGTAAGGGAGGGACACAGGCCTACAGGGAGGGGCCCGAGGGGGTATGGCCCAGGCCCAGTTGGCTGACAATGTAGCTTTGTCCCAAGGGACTAAGGGAGGAGGCAGAGCTGAGCCCTCAGTCTGAGGGGGGAGGCAAGGGGGGTTTGTCTGAATGGGACCCTGTGGCACTGGTGTAAACTTGAGGGCTAGAGCAGGAGTGCAGGGGTCATGGCAGACGGTTTGCATGTGGCCACCCCAGATTTGGTCCCCCGTGTCACTTAGGGCCCCCCGAACCCCAGGCCTGGTACTGCCCAAACTGCCACCCGGAAACGGTTCCCTTGGGCAATGAACTCAGATGCCCCTGTGGCGGGGAGGGGGGGTTAGGGACACCCCCAACGTGGTTCGCCAACATCCCCTCCCGCCCAGGGACCCCCGGCCCGGCCTCGCCCCCTGCCTTCCCGCCCAAGGAGCCCGACCCTCCGTACTCGGTGGAGACGCCCTACGGCTACCGGCTGGACCTGGACTTCCTCAAGTACGTGGATGACATCGAGAAGGGCCACACGCTGCGCCGGGTGTCGGTCCAGCGGCGCCCGCGCCTGGGCTCGCTGCCCCGCGGGCCCGGCTCCTGGTGGACGTCCACCGAGTCGCTGTGCTCCAACGCCAGCGGGGACAGCCGCCACTCGGCCTACTCGTACTGCGGCCGCGGCTTCTACCCGCAGTACGGCGCCCTGGAGGCGCGGGCGGGCGCCTTCAACCCGCGCGTGGAGCGCACGCTGCTGGACGCGCGCCGGCGGCTGGAGGAGCAGGCGGGCGCCGGGGGCCCCGGCCTGGGCTCCCTCGCCCCCAGCGCCGCGGGCTCCACCAGCTCGTTGGTGGGCGTGGGGCTGCCGCCGCCCACGCCGCGGGGCTCGGGCCTGTCCACGCCGGTGGCCCCCAACGCCGGCCACCTGACCCACGTGCGGGAGCAGATGGCGGGCGCGCTGCGGAAGCTGAGGCAGCTGGAGGAGCAGGTGAAGCTGATCCCCGTGCTCCAGGTGAAGCTGTCGGTGCTCCAGGAGGAGAAGCGGCAGCTCATGGTGCAGCTCAAGAGCCAGAAGTTCCTGGGCCACCCCGCGGGCGGCCGGGCCCGCGGCGAGCTGTGCCTGGACCTGCCCGAGCCTCCGAGCGAGCCGGGGCCGCCGGAGACCCGGAGCGTGGGCACCTGGGTGCGCGACCGGGACCTGGGGCTGCCCGACGGGGAGGCCGCGCTGGCCGCCAAGGTGGCCGTGCTGGAGACGCAGCTGCAGAAGGCGCTGCGGGAGCTGCAGGCGGCTCAGGCGCGCCAGCCCCAGGCCTGGCCGCCGCCGCCGGACAGCCCCATCCGGGCAGACACCCTGAGAGTGGTGGAGGGGCCGCGCGAGGTGGAGGTGGCGGCCAGCACCGCGGCCGGGGCCCCCGCGCAGCGTGCCCACAGCCTGGAGCCCTACGGGGCCGGGCTGCGCGCCCTGGCCACTGCCGCCCCCGCCGAGGGCCCCGCGCTGTTCCGCAGCCACGAGGTGCTGGAGACCCTGCCCGCGTCCCCCTCGACCCCCGGCAACGTGCACGTGGTGAAGAAGATCAGCATCTCGGAGCGGCACTGCCAGGGGGCAGCAGGTGAGCCTCGTCTGGCCGAGGGCTGCAGGGCGTCTCCAGGTCCAGGCCTGGGGTTTCGGGAGTTAGTTTTTAATTTGGGGCTATACCCCGCGATGCTCAGGGGTTACTCCTGCCTCAAGGGGCCATACGGGATGTCGGGAGTCAACCCCAGGTTGGCTGCGCGCAGTCTGGACTGCTGCTCCTGAACCCCGGCCCCACCTCTGGCCTTGCACCCTGCCAGCCAGTGTCTCCACCTCTTCCAGTGGCCAAAACGGGACCATGGCACCGCCAGCTCGGACCCCGCGGAAGCATCGGGTGTCTGTTCAGGGGGTGCCCACGTGTGCAGCCTCCTGTATGCGTGCTGGCATTTGCAGGCGGGTGCTGAAGGCTGTTGGTTTTGCCGGGCAAGTCCCCCGGCTCTCTTGATTCCATTAGTGGCAGGAGCCAGTCCCAGCGTAGGTGACGTAATGGGAAGGAAAAGTGGGATTTGCACTACTTGGGGGCAGCTTCAGGCATGGCTGGATCCAGCCGCACCTCTCAAACCTTTCTTGTCTCAGTCTCTCCACCCCATCTGGATCGGGGGCCTGGGGGGGGCAGGTGTTTCTTTCACGGGCAGGTGAAGGTCAGCCCCTTCGCCCTGGGCATCTGTACCTGCAGTTCTATGCAAACTGCCAAGGAGAATCCCGGGCCGACCTGTGCAGCCGGCTTGGCTCTCTCGCTCATCATGGGGGCAGCTGCGACCGCGTCTCTCCCCCACCAGCTATGGATGGGGGCGGGCTGGGCCCCGGGAGGCAGCCCCACTTGGGTCCTGTGACCCTGGGGGGAGGGAGGGGGCGCCCCCGCAGGAAGTGCTGCATCCTCGTGCCTGGAAAGGGGATGTGGGGTGCCCAGCTGCCCCTCCTCCCCCGCCGCCCACAGGCTCAGGAGAAGCCAGCAGAGTGATTCATAAGCATCCTGTCGCGGGGACAGCTGCTCGGGATCTGAGCAGCAGCCCAGGCCAGGAGCGACACCCAGGGGTGTCGGCGTGCCACGGGGGTCCTGGCACGGGCCCCACTTGCCGTGTCCCCGGCACTGCCATCAGTGCCACCTCTTTGAGCCTCTGTGTCTAGACCCGTGAGGGGGCACGGGGGTTCCTCTCGTGAGTGGCATCTGTGCGGGTACGTCAGGCGTCGTCTGCCCATCACTCCGGGGGGTGGGGTCAGCCTCCCGCTTCCCCTTGGGGGTCAGGCGGCCGGAGGAGCCAGCGGCGGGCGCGGTCCCAGCTGTGTTTTCTTCCTTCCCCGGGGTGGTGTTCCCAGCCAGCACTGGGCACCCAGCCTCTGTTCTGCGTCCATCCCAAACACCCAGCCCCGGGGCCCTGGCGCCGTGCCCGGGGCGCACCCGGCCCGGCCTGAGGGACCGTGCAGAGGCGACCTCCATTCCACACATGCTTCCCGGGCAGCTGCTGGCCGCACTGGCCGAGAAAAGGCCTGTCCAGCTGCCTCGCCCCCATCTCACCCTGGTGGTAGATATCGGGCTTGTTTCCTGTTTTTTTTTTTTTTTTGGTGGTGGGCTACTCGGGGATCACTCCTGCCTCAGTGCTCAAGGATTGCTTCTGGTGGGATCCCACTGAGAGCAAGGCCAGCGCCCTACTGGCTGCACCCTGGCCCGGCTAGTCAGTTGGAGGGCTTGTAAGTTTCAGCAGGAATAAGCTGGTTGTAGGCAGATGGTCTGACTGCAGATGGACCCAGTGCCCCCTTCCCTCTGCTGACTGGCCATGTGCTGGCACTTAGAGGGGCACAGGGGGCTCAGAGTAAACCCTCCTCTCCCAAGAACAAGGAGAAGCACCAAGAAATGAGGGAAGGATATCACTTTATTTTTTGTGTATTTTTTTTGGCTTTGGGGGACAGAGGCGGTGCTCAGGGTTGACTCCTGGCTCTGTACTCAGGGATCACTCCTGGTGGGGCTGGGGGAGGTGCTTGGGGGACCCTGCGGGGTGTAGGAGATTCTGAAAAAGCCTTGTGCACGTGCCTTTCCAGCTGCGCTATCTTACCCCTTCTGGGACCCTGGCTTGCAGCCGAGAGCAAAGGGTTGGGTGCTTGCACTGAGTCTCACTGAGTTTGCAAGGGGCTGGGGTGTGGGGGGGCCCTGATCCCCTAGGCTGCTCGCTCACAGTGGCCTAAACAGATGCCCCAGGGCGACCTGCTGGCTCGCCCAACCAAGCTGCCAAAGACAAGAAGTGGCCAGGTGGCAAAGAGGGGGACCCCCGGGAGGGGCCCCGGCAGAGGAACTCGTTCTGAGGAGGAGGGGCCTGGAGTGGGAGCCCCACCTTTGCCTCGCAGCACTTCAGGGTCTCCAGAGTACCACCAGGACCAACCCCCAAGCACTGTTCAGTGACCCAAAAACTGAAAAACAAGCCCTGGGTAGACAAACACAGGGGGGCTGGGGATAGGAGGTCTCAACCTCGGAGGTGCCCCATGGGAAGCGAAATGCACCCCTCTGAGGAGTGGGCAAGTATTAAGGCCATTGATGCCTTAAACTGGCATTGATGGTCCGGCCCGTGGAGGGTAGGTCAGGGAGGGCTCCCTGGAGAAGGAGGCAGGGCGCCCACTCAGTCTCTCTGTCATCTGGAATTCGCTCCCTCCTGCCAAAGGGTGGGGTGGGGTGGGGGCTGGCTGCCTTTCCCTCAGACTGAGATATGTAGGTGGGGCCAGTGGAGACCTGGACATCCCCCCTCCCCCCAGAAAGGCCTTGGTACACCCCAGCCCTGAGCTCAGGCCTCTATGAGATGTCACCGGTAGATTTTTTTTCTCCCATACTGAAAAATGTTCCTCTGTTCCTGTTCCATCTGTCCTGAGTGGGGGTGGGGAGGCAGCTTGCATGCAGGATGATGCCCTTTTCTCTGTGGAAGGTTTGCAAACGAGCCGCAAATTCTACACCAAACCCAAAAAGCACCCCATCCGGACACGCTATCAGAACTTCCAAAGAATCTGTATTGGGGGGCTAGAGCAATAGTCCCGCGGGTGCGGTGTTTGCTTGCATAGCACCTAACCCTGTTCAGTCTCTCGCACCCCATATCAACCCCCGTGAGCTCTACCAGGAGTGGCCCCTGAGCATTGCTATCTGACCTAGAAATTTCACATGAAAAAACGGTCCTATTTGGGGTTGGAGCAATAGGGGAGCAGGGAGGGCGTTTGCCTTGCACACGGCCGGCCTGGGTTCGATTCCCAGCATCCCATATGGTCCCCTGAGCACCACCAGGAGTAGTTCCTGAGTGCAGAGCCAGGGGTAACCCCTGTGCATCGCCGGGTGTGACCCAGAAAGCAAAAAAACAGCCCTATTTGGGGCTGTAGCAATAGGGCGGCAGGGAGGGCGTTTCCTTGCAGTGGCCAGCCAGGGTTCAATCCCTGATATCCCATTGGCTCCCCAAGCCCTGCCAGGAGTCATTCCTGAGGGCAGGGCCAGGAGGAAGCCCTGAGCATCCCTGGGTGTGACCCCAAAGAAAAACAAACAGAATCATTCAGTCCCTGGTTTCTTGCCTGGTGAGACAGACCACGCAGGGGTGATGCGTGAGGCCCTGCGTGAGGCTCGTCCCAATTCTGTCCCCAGCGCGGCAGGCCTGCTGGTGACAGCAGCTCCGCGTCCCGAGCTTGTCGACCCAACGCGGTGACTTCAATTTTGTGTCATTTTCTCCTTGCCCAGGCATTTAAAACTGTAACCGCCACAGCCTCGGCGTGCCAAGCCCCCGCCCGCCCGCCCCGGCACACCCCACCCCTGGAACATCATTCTCTCCTCGAGATCCACCTTCCAGAAGCTTATTTAGATATTTGGGTGTCCTTGAAAAATATGCCCTGGGAGTGTTTAATTTCCTAAAATGGAATTGTGCTTGAGGAAAACAAAACTCTCCCTTCGGCCTGACGTCGGCTCCGCTGAGCGCTATTTTTGAACTCTTCGTGCGCTGGGATGTTTAGAAGTTGGTTTTGTAACTTTGAAAGTTTGGTTTTTGTTGTTGCTGTGTTTTAAATTCCTGGGAAGGGGGGGGTGGTCTCATTATGGGGTGGGGCTTGCTCACGGGGGTGGGGGTGGGGCTGAAGGGGGCTGTGGAGAACCCGGAATCCGTTTCAGGGGCTCGTGCGCGCCCTGTGTCTGTTCTGGCCCCTGTTATTTTATTTATTTACATTTTTTGCTTTTTGGGTCACACCCAGAAATGCTCAGGGCTTACTCCTGGCTCTATAATCAGGAATCACTACTAGCAGTGCTTAGGGGACCCTATGGGATGCTGGGAATCGAACCCCGGGTCAGCCGCGTGCAAAGCAAATGCCCTACCCGCTGTGCCATTGCTCCAGTCCCTGCTGCATGTCCTTTAACAGCTGCGGTTTCTGCCCGACTTATAGGAGACACTTTTCTTTTTCTTTTTGGGGTGGGAGCCTCACAGGCTTGGTGCTCAGGGACCCGGCACCCCTGAGCTGGGAGGCAAGACCCAGACCTCAGTACATCTCCTTGTCCCCTAATTCTTCAATATTTTATTATTGGGGGGGGGGCTGGAGCAATAGAACAGCGAGTATGGCATTTGCCTTGCAGGTGGCTGACCCGGGTTCGATTCCTCCACCCCTCTCGGAGAGCCCGGCAAGCTACCGAGAGTATCCTGCCCGCACGGCAAAGCGTGGCAAGCTCCCCGTGGCGTATTCGATATGCCAAAGACGGTAACAACAAGTCTCACAATTTGTTGATACGTTACTGGTGCCTGCTCGAGCAAATCGATGAACAACGGGAGGACAGTGCAGTGTGCTGCTATTTTGGGGGGGGAGGGAGGTGGGGAGGCACACGCAGCAAATGCTCAGGACTTACTCCTGGCTCTGCACTTCTGGGGGTGCTCGGGGGCCCTGTGGGGTGTCATGGGTGGACCCTAGATTGGGTCCGCACAAGGCAAGAGCCTTCCCCCTACCCAGATGTATAATCGCTCCAGGCCCTAAATAATTTTGGGTTTGGGTTTCTGTTGCATTTGTCTTTGTATTTATTTATTTATTTATTTTGAGGTCTTTTCCAACAGTGCTCTGGCCCGTAGCTGAAAAGATTATCCAGACCTTTACAGAAAAGTTTGTTGGCTCCCTCTTGGGAAGATAACCTCTCTTGGTAGCGCTGGGACTGCCCGCCCACCCCGGAGTCTTCTGTGGATGCACTTTGTCCAGGGGGTGTTCTCTTTGAGGAGGGAGGAGGTGCTCAGGGCTGACTCCTAGCTCTGTGCTCAGGGATCTGCCCTGGTGGGGTTTGGGGGACCTTCAGCAGTGCCAGGGATTGGACCCGGGTGGGCCAGGTGCATGGCATGAGACCCGCTCACTAGATGCTTTCTGGGGTCCGCAGAGTTGTTTTAATTTTTGGTTTGGGGCCACACCCGGTGATGCTCGGGGCTGACTCCTGACTTTGCTCTCAGAGATCCCTCCTGGGAACCCAGGTTGGTCACATACAAGGCAAGTGCGCTACCCACTGGGCTTTCTCTCGGGCCATTGGATCTGTTTTTGAACATGCAGTTCAGCAGCCCCGTGACTGGGCGAGGTTGAGCTGGTGCCTCCCTGACCAGGGCTGCTGCTCGCAGGCCACAGGTCAAGCATCTGGCTGTTCCTTCAGGCCCTTCGCTGGTCACATACACCCTGTTGTTTCTTTTGTTTTGGAGCCACACCCGGCGGTGCTCAGGGCTGACTCCTGGCTCTGCACTCAGGGATCCCTGCTGGAAAGGTTCAGGGCACCCTATGGGATACCGGGAATCGAACCCGGGTCTGCTGCATACAAGGCAAGCGCCCTCCCCGCTGTCCTGTCTCTCTGGGTCCCCATTTCATTGTTCTGTTTGGGGGCCACACCCGGCGATGCTCAGGGCTGACTCCTGGCTCTGCTCAGGCATCACTCCTGGTGTGACACGAGGATCCAACTTCTGTGGCGTTCTGGGGATCCAACAGCGTTGGCGGTGTCCAAGACCCGTGCTTCCCCGCTGTCCTGTCTCTGCACCCCAGTATAGCTGGTTCTGCTCTGCAGGAGCCTGGGTCCCCACAGATGTGAGAGGCTGCCTCGCCCACGACAGAGTTTGGGGGTCAGGGAGGTGCTTGATGGGCATGTGGCTGCCGGGCCTTCGTCCGCTCCTGGCGCCGCCAAAAAAAGAAAAAAAAATACACACGGTAGTTCAGGAGGGGCCACAAACAATCGAGGGGCAGCGTTGTGGCCAGTGACAGGAAGGGGACATCCGGGGAAGTGGGGGCGCAGGAACCACGCGTGGCCAGGGCGGGCTGAGCACGTTCCCAGATGTGGCCTTGGTGTGCGGCCACGGGCAGGAATCAGGTGATGGGGGCTGGGCCCGCTGCCCGCCCCAGACCGCACAGCCAGGGGCACCCTTGGGTAGCCACAGCTGCAAGTGACGGTTGTCCTCAGGCCACCATCCTGGATGGGTGTTGTTTTTGGGGTTTTGGTGAGTTTTTTTTTTAATTTTGCAGTTGTGGCAAAATACATGTAACATCAATATGACCATCTCGCTGGGGAGAGACTCAATGGGCAGGACACACACTAGGCATGTGGGACCCCCAAGCTCAACCCCTCACCCCCCAGCACTGCAGGACCCTTAAAGCCCACCTGGAGCCCCACTGAGCACCAGGATGGGAGTGGCGCTGATTGCCATCAGGTGTGCTTCAAAGCAGGAACAAATGAACAGTTTCACGTTTGTGGGGCTGGAGCCATAGCACAGTGGGTAGGGTGTTTGCCTTGCACGTGGCCGACCTGGGTTCGATTCCCAGCATCCCATATGGTCCCCTGAGCACCGCCAGGAGTAACCCCTGAGCATCGCCAGGTGTGACCCAAAAAGAAAAATAATGTCGCGTTTGTTAGGAAAAAGTGAAACGGGGCCATAGAACAGCGAGGAGGGCATTTGGCATGTACACCACCAACCTGGATTTGATCTCCGGCATCCCCTCGGGTTCCCTGAGTGATCACTGAGCGAGCACAGAGCCAGGAGTAAGTCCTGAGCACCACTGGTGAGGCCCCAAACCACACGCCCCACCAAATAAAGGAGCAGAGAGCCGTGGGAGCATTGTGGGCTGAGAACGAGCCCTTGCCGGTGACTGTCAGGACTGTGGGCTTGTCACTGTCACCCTCCACGAGCCTCTTTCCCTGTCCCCCCCAGCTCCCCCCGAGGCCCCTGCAGAATCCTCCTCATCCTTTCCGGGGTCTGTGACTCTGCCCAGCAGCACCGGCAACGCTGCCTCCAGGGAGCCCGGCATGTTGGAGGCGACCAGGGGTGCAGGTCAGTGGCGGAGGCCCCCTCGGGGTCGGGGCGCAGAGGGTCTGACTCGGGAGACTCAGTGCTGCCCTCCCTGCGTCCCAGCAGCTGAGCCCCAGGCCCCGGCCGTGAGATCCATCATGAAGCGGAAGGAGGACCCGGCAGATGCCCCCGCCCGCCGGAGGAGCCTGCAGTTTGTGGGCGTCAATGGCGGGTGAGTGGGGACCCCCGCTTGCACCCCCACCTCCTTTCATCCCTCTGTCCCTTCGAGACCAGAAGCTCACCAAGGATCCTGCCCAGGCCCCGTGTTCTGACTCCTTAAGTCACAGCTCAGTGTGAAGCCAGGGAAACTGAGGCACAGAAGTGTTGGCTGGAGCTCACGAGGGAGCTGGGACTGGAGGGCTCTGACGCCGGAGCCAGCACCCCACAGCCCCTCATACCTCACTGCCCGCCTGCAGGGAGCCTCTGGCCTTTGGGGGTACGAGAGGTGGTCCGAATACAGTGCAGGGAGAGGAGGCTGGGGGCGCTTGGGTCGGGGGTGGGCTCCGAGGGAAGGTGCCTTGGCCCCAGGGACCACTGAATGTGGGAGGGACGAGCGAGATGGGACTCGGGGTTCCCCTGAGCATCCCTGGGGGATCCCTGAGCAATCTGGGGCTCAAAAACAACACAGCATGGGGCTGGAGCGATAGCACAGCAGGTAGGGCGTTTGCCTTGCATGCAGCGAACCTGGGTTCGATTCCCAGCCTCCCATATGGTCCCCTGAGTACCGCTAGAAGTGATTCCTGAGTGCAGAGCCAGGAATAGGAATAACCCCTGTGCATCGCCCAGTCTGACCCCAAAAGCAAAATAAAAAGTAAAAAATAAATTAAAAAACAAGAAAATAACAGTGTAGGGGGCTGGGTGTTTGCTGGTGCACGGCCGGCCTGGGATGCTTCCTGAGCGAACAGTACCCTCAGGGCACTGCCAGGTGGCCCCTAAACAAACAAAAACCTCAGGAAAGTGCCAAGGGGGCACCCCCGTCCGCAGCAGGGAGAGGGCCCATGAGTAATGGGGACACTGGGCCGGGGTGCAGGAGCCCCGCAGTGTGCGAACAGAACTAGCCTTCGTGACGTGCTCTTGTGTGCACTGTGCCACAGCCCTGCCCATGTCCCATCACGCCCGTCATGACCCCTCAGAGCCCCGCGCCCCTCCCCACGTCTTCCGCCCTCAGGTACGAGTCGTCCTCCGAGGACTCGAGCACGGCAGAGAACTTCTCTGACAACGAGAGCACAGAGAACGAGGCTGCCGCCGAGCCAGGCGAGAAGAGGGTCCTGGCGCCGGCCGAAGCCCCTGAACTCAGACCCTCAACCCCGGCGACGGCAGCGGCGGGAATCCGGGAGTGTCGGCGCCTGACCCCGGCGGAGGACACCTCAGCGTCCCACACAGAGGAGGAGATAAGGTGAGTTATTTTTAGTTTAGTTGCTGTTTTTTTTTGTGTGTGTGTGTTTTCTTTGGGGGGGGCAGGGGTTCAGGAATTCAGGCAGGTGGCATGAACCTCTTCCCCCCGCAAGCCCCCAAAATTGCTATCAGTCATGCACACGTTAGTATGAACTGGCAAACGCTCTGGTTCCCGGGACACCTCCAGGCCTCTCGTCAGGCAGCTGCGTTGATTTTTTCTTTTTTCTTTTTCTTTGTGGGTCACACCCAGCACTGCTCAAGGGTTACTCCTGGCTCTGCACTCCCAGCTGGGGGATCATATGGGATGCTGGGGGTGGAACCCGGGCTGGCCGTGGGCAAGGCAAATGCCCTCCCCGCTGGACTGTACCATCACTCTGGCCCCTAGTTCGGCAGTTTGTGCTGTGGGGGTTTGGGTTTCGGAAGTGAGGGGGCAGCTGGTGTTTTTTTTTTTTTCTTCAGCCGTCTCGTGGCTCACCCTCCACCCCACTTACTTCCCTCTCCCCTCCCCGAGGAAAAGTCGTCTCTTGAGAGAGGCTGTCCCTGCGCCCCGGGGGCCGCCTGCTCGTCCAGGCTCTTGGGGGGGCTCTGAGGTCCCCGGGTCCCCGTGAAATGTATGGTAAACATGAAATCTTTTTATTGTTTTTTGAGCCACACCCAGCAGTGCTCATGGGCTGGCTCCTGGTTCTACGTCCAGGGATCACTCCTGGCAGGACTTGGGAGACCCGACGGGGTGCCGGGGCCCGAACCCGGGGTCGGTGCCCCGCAAGGCAGTGCTCTTCCCGCTGTCCTGTCACGCTCGCTCCAAAGATGCCTTCTTGAGGCAGGTGCGGTGGCCCCGGGGCTGGGGCACTGGCCTTGCATGCAGTCCATCCGGTTTGAACCCTGGCACCCCACAGCATCCTGAGCCCCACGGGAGTGACCCCTGAGCAGAGAACCAGAGTAAGCCCCGAGCAACACCGGGTGTGGCCCCCCCAAACCCTCCTAAAGTCCATGAAAATCAGTAAAGATGTGTTCTGGGTAGAGAGGGGCGGTCTGGGTGCAGCGCACGGATGCCGCGGAGTGGGGGAGCGCCCTGCCGGGTGTGGCAAGCGGGGGGCTTCCCGGGTGCACCCCTACATGTGTCTGTCCCCGGCAGGATGGAGCTGAGCCCCGAACTCATCTCGGCCTGCCTCGCCTTGGAGAAGTACCTGGACAACCCCAGCGCTCTAAGTGAGCGCGAGCTGGTACGACCGGGGCGGTGGGGGGAGGGGGGGCTCACCCAGGGCTCAACCCCCCTCACGCCCTGCCCCCTGCCTGCACCCAGAAAGTGGCCCACACCACGGTCCTGCAGGAGTGGCTGCGTCTGGCCTGCCACAGCGACGCCCACCCCGAGCTGCTGCGCCGCCACCTGGTCACCTTCAGGGCCATGTCCGCGCGGCTGCTGCACTACGTGGTCAACATCGCCGACGGCAACGGCAACACCGCGCTGCACTACTCAGTGTCCCACGCCAACTTCCCTGTGGTGCGGCAGCTGCTGGACAGCGGTGAGCATGTTGCAGGGTACTGCAAGACAGTCTGAGGGGGGAGGCACTACCTGACAGTCGGAGGGGGGAGGCACTGCCCGACAATTGGAGGGGGGAGACACTGCCCCAACAGTCTGAGGGGGAGGCACTGCCTGACAGTCTGCGGTGGGGAGGCACTGCCTGACAGTCGGAGGGGGGAAGCTGTGCCCGATAGTCTGAGGGGGAGGCACTGCCCCAGTAGGCCGGGTGTGGAGGTACTACCCGGCAGTCCGAGTGGGGAGGCAGAGCCCTCCCATCTCTGGGGGTGATTGGAGTCTAGAGAAAAGTTGGGAACTTTTCAGAATTCTGAAAAAAAAAAAAAGCCATCATGAGCCCAGGGGAAGTGACATTTCCGCCGTTCCAAGGACCCCTGGATAATGGGGGTGACAGCCCTGAGCCCCTGTGTGAGGACAGGGTGCGGCCTCCAGCCTGGGGCTGAGAGGCAGCCAGGAGTGGTCCCTGGTGAGCAGGAAGGAAGGACCCTTCCCTAGTCTGACGGGGGTGACAGACCAGCCTGATTAGATGTCCAGATGGAAGGGGAGACCCCTCCCTGATTCCCCGCCCTCACTGCCATGCGCATGCCAGGGGGACCCAGTCTAAAGGAGGAGGCAGTCTCCATCTCTAGGACCCTCCTGTCCAAGGGGTGGAACGGTGGGGCCCCGTGCTGGAATGGGGCCCCCGATCCTGAGTAAGGGAGAGGAATCAGGTCACCCTCTGATGGCAGAGACGCCAGGCCCAGCGCTCTCTGCGGTCTGAGGGCGGAGATGTTGGGGGGAGCCTCCCCGGGGTCTGAGGTCCGGCTCTGCCCCAGGTGTGTGCCAGGTGGACAAGCAGAACCGCGCCGGCTACAGCCCACTGATGCTCACAGCACTGGCCCCCCTGAAGACGCAGGACGACATTGACACAGTCCTGCAGCTCTTCCGGCTGGGGGACGTCAATGCCAAGGCCAGCCAGGTGAGCTGATGGCACGAGGGGCCCGGGTGCAGGTCTGGGGATCACTCCCGCTGTGGGGGGAGGGCATGCAGTGCTGGGGGTCAAACCGGGCCATCCTCACCCATGAAGAGAACCCTTTTCTGTTTTGGTTTGGGGCCACATCCCACAGTGCTCAGGGGCTCCTCCTGGCTCTGCACTCAGGAATCAGACCTGGCAGGGCCCCGGGCAGCCCTAGGGGATGGCTGGAATTGAACCTGGGTCGGCAGCGTGCAAGGCAAAGCCCTCCCCGCTGTGATGTCCTGTCCCCAAGGCGGTTACCTTTATTTTTATTTTTTTATCATTTCTTTGGGTCCCACTCGGCGATGCACAGGGGTTACTCCTGGCTTTGCACTCAGGAATTACTCCTGGCGGTGCTCAGGGATGCTGCGAATCGAGCCCGGGTCGGCCGTGTGCAAGGCCAACATTCTTCTCGCTGTGCTATCGCTGCAGCCCCAACGCGGTCACCTTTACCCTGGGCACTTTGTTGTTTGGGGCCAGACCTGGCGGTGCTCAGGGTGTCCCTGGACCTGCACTCTGGGATCACTCCTGGCAGCTCTTGGAACCAAAGAGGGGGTGTTTGGGATCGAACCCGGTCTGCCACATCAAGGCAGGTGCTCTCGGCCAGGTGTGCTATGGTTCTGGCCCGAAGCCCAGTTTTTTTTTTTTTTAAAGGAAATGGGGTGGGGTGGGAGGAGTCTTTGGCCTTGCGTGCACCATCCTATGCTGCCAAAAGCGACCCCAGAGCACGCCTGGTGTGACCCAACCTGCCACCCCCACCCCTTAAACAAAAAACTCGCAGAAGCTTCTGGTTTAATTTGGGGGGCTGGGTCGAAGCGTGTATTGGAAGGCCACGTCAGAGCAGCAGCCGCGCTCAAGCAGGGAGCTGGGGCCGGGGGCAAGCACCCTGCAAAGCACGGCCGCAGGGGCCCTAAAGTGCAATCCACTGGCACTTAAGGGCATTCTTGGGGTTGAGCAATCATCACCTCTCCATCCAGAACATTCCATCTCCCCAAAAGGTAACCTTAGCCCACTCGCAGCTGCCCTGGCCGCCGGCCTGTCCCTGCACTCCCTGTGTCTGGACCCCTCGTGTAAACAGTCTGTGTTTAGCGGGCAGCGGAGATAACCCCGCTCTGAGCACTGGGCGGGCGGTCCTGTGCCCGAGGGCGCCGTGGCCTTCCACGCAGACACGTGCAGGGACACAGCCGCCGTCTCCGGGTGCTAAACAGCCCCCAGCTCTCCGGGGTGGGTGTTCTTGGGGGTCGGGCTGTGCCCTGAGCTCTCGGCTTCCATTTTTATTCGGTGGGGCAAGGGCTTGGAGCCCCCAGGCAGCGCTCGGGCTATTCCTGGCTCTACTCAGGAGTGACCCCTGCCAGTGCTCAAGAGGGCCATATGCAATCCCCAGGATTCGTCTGGGGCCAGCTGGCAAGGGCTGTAACCCTTGCACTATTTTTTTTTGATGGGGGGAGGGTTTGGCCACTCCGGCGGTGTTCAGGGCTGACTCCTGGCTCTGCGCTCAGGGATCACTCCAGGCAGTGCTGGGGGGACACAGAGAATGACGGAGACCAAACCCAGGTTGGCTGCATGGCCAGGCAAGCGCCTTCCCCACCGTCCTATCACTTCGTCCCCTCATTGCTTCCATTCCTGCTTCTGTTGATGCTTGTGAGGGACCAGCTGGGGGGGGGCGGTTTGGGGGACTAGGTGAGCGTCCTCGGGAAGAACCAGGACAGCCTCCCAGGAATGGGGTTGTGGGATCGAAGAACAGTTGGCAGCATCAGATAACCAGCAAGACAGTGCATTGGGGCTGGAGCAACAGCACGAGGGTAGGGCGTTTGCCTTGCACGCGGCTGACCCGGGTTCGATTCCCAGCATCCCATCTGGTCGCCCGCGCACCGCCAGGAGTGATTCCCGAGTGCAGAGCCAGGAGTAACCCCTGAGCATCTCCGGGTGTGACCCCAAAAGCAAAAAAAAGCAAAAAAAAAAAAAAAAGACGGTGCTTGCAGGGGCAGTGATAGTACAGTGAGGAGGGCGCTGCCTTGTGGGCAGCTGACCCAGTTTCCATCCCCAGTCCCGCCCAGAGTCAGCCCTGAGCCTTGCTGGCTGTGCACCCCGCCCCCTCCAAAGAAGAGGGTGTTTTTCGAGAAGGTTCTGGAACCGGGGTGCCATCCCAGTGCTTGCCCCTCGCAGGCCGGGCAGACGGCGCTCATGCTGGCAGTGAGCCACGGGCGCGGGGACGTGGTACGGGCACTGCTGGCCTGCTCGGCCGACGTCAACGTGCAGGACAGCGACGGTTCCACGGCCCTCATGTGCGCCTGCGAGCACGGCCACCAGGACATCGCTGCACAGCTGCTGGCCGTCCCCGCCTGCGACATCTCCCTCACGGACCGTGTGAGTCCCCTGCAGGCACACCCTGGCCGGCGGGAGTGGGGGTCCCCGCGGGGGCACGGTCACAGCGCCCAATGCTTCTGCAGGACGGGAGCACCGCGCTCATGGTGGCCCTGGACGCGGGGCAGAGCGAAGTCGCGTCCCTGCTGTACGCCCGCATGAACGTCAAGTGCTCGGTGAGGTGCCACGGGGCCCGAGGGGCTCACGGGATCCCAAATCCTCACAGAAGGTGGGGGTGATGGGTGGCAGCACAGCGGCCTGCAGTACTGCTGCGCCCCTACTCCTTCCCTCCACCCAGAACTGAGGTTAGACAGTGCAGCCAGCCTGCAGCCCCAGGTTCAGTTCCAGCCCCGACCAGACAGATGATCTGAGCCGGTGTGCCCTAACACAGCCCCCCCACCAAAAACAAATTTATATATATATATTTACTTATTTATGGGCTGGAGCGATAGCACAGCTGTAGGGCGTTTGCCTTGTGTGCAGCCAGCCTGGCCGATCCGGGTTCAATTCCTCCGGCCCTCTCGGAGAGCCCGGCAAGCTACGGAGAGTATCTCGCCCGCACGACAAAGCCTGGCAAGCTACCCATGACGTATTCGGTATGCCAAACACAGTAACAACAAGTCTCAAAATGGAGACGTTACTGGGCCCGCTCGAGCAAATTGATGAACAACGGGAGGATAGTGACAGTGACGGTGACTTACTTATATTTGGGTCACAACCAGTGATGCTCGGGAGTTATTCCTGGCTGTGCACTCAGGAATTACTCCTGGTAGCGCTGGGGGACGTGATAGGATGCTAATCTCTGTACTCTCACTCCACCCGCCAAATATTTTAAGGAAGATGGGGGGCGGGAAAGATTGCAGTGGGTAAGGCTTGCCTTGTGTCCAGCCAATCCCAGTTTGCTCCCTGTGCTGACAGTGCACGCCATCACCGCTGGGGGGCACTCCTGAGCACAGAGCCAGGACGAGCCCGAGTGCGGGATACTGCCCTAAAATAGAACTCAAGACAGAGAGACCTGCTGGGGGGCAGAGCAAGGCCAACAGGGAGGGCGCATGCCTTAGCGGCCAGCCATGCCCTGACCAGCCATGTGTTCCCTCGAGCACTGCCACATCAGCCGGGAGGGCACTTGTCTAGCATGCAGCAGACCTGGGTTCAATCCCCAGCACCGTGAAAGTCACCTGGGCGCACCAGCAGTGACTCCTGGGTGCCGGGTTAAGCCCTGAGCACAGCCCATGTGGCCCTAAAGCAGAAACAAAAGGCAGGGGCCAGAGGGATATGACAGCAGGGAGGGCGCTTGCCTGACATGGGGCTGACTGGGGTTTGCTCTCCAGCACCCCGCAGGGACCCCCCAAGCGCATCGTGGGTGATCCCCGAGCACTGCAGGGTGTGGCCCCAAAACAAACCAAAAAACTCCAGTGTTCCTCCCAGCCCAGCCCCTCCCCCACCCCGCCTGGGTAACGCCCCCAGGACTAGGACCCCAGCTCCCAGCGAGGCAGAGCCGAGAGCGCTGGCCAGGAACCCCCAACCAAAGAAATTTCTCTTGTTTGCAGTTTGCCCCGATGTCCGATGATGACCGTGCAAATGTGGCCTCATCATCTGCAGAGGAGTAGCGGAAGGGGCATCGTCCTGGTCCTCCTCTTCCTGCTGGGGGTGGGGCAATCTCACCCCGCCCCCACCCATGCCTTCCCGCGGCTCCACCCCTCCACCCAGCCAGGAAAGCCTCCAGGCCCCCCGTGGGTGGGTTTTCTGTCTTGCCAGAGGTAGGGAGCCCCCCCTGAAGCCCCCGCAGCCAGCCCGGTGCACCCCGTTTCCAAGCTAGACCCGCGGCCGGATTCTCACCACCCCGCCAGTGGCCAGTTCAGTGCGTGGGTTTCCAGAACAATCAACTGGCGGTTCTGGGCGGAGGGCCCCTCACTCCCTGGGGGAGGGGAAAATCCTGGCGTTTTGAATCATTGTTGGACGGCGGAGTCGGCCAGTTTACGGCCAGACCTCGGAACCAGCCGTTTCCCTCTGAATCCTGAGGGTTGATATTAACACGGATCCACCCCCGGCGGGTCAGGCCCCCCTAGAGCCTTGCACCCCACTTCATCGACATGCCTCCCCTCTTTTCTGCTTCACAGGGTGGGAAACAGCCTTTTTCTGCCACATCCTCCTTGGTCAGCGTTGCCCCCCCCATTAATACCCCCCCACTGCCAAGGATGGCCCTGAGCCCTGCCAGGGGGGTTGAGGGTCCCTCAGCCCACCCCCATCCATCCTCCTCTGCCTCAAAGGCAAGGAAGCTGGGCGTGGGCTGGGGGGCCAAAGACAGGCCAGGCGCCCCAAACCCCATGTGTGAGCGATTAAAAGTTGGCTGCCCCCCAGCATCCCGGGCGCAAATTTAAAGAGACAGCGCTTCCCCCAGCAGCTGCCTGCAGCCCCCCCACGGCTGGAAGGGGGCGCCCAGTCTGTGTGCGAGCAGTGTCGTGCAGTGTCCCCCCGTTTGGTTGCCCTGAGCATCTCCGTGCCCCTGGCTTGCCCCGCTTTCGGTGCACAGAAGAAGGGAATGTTTCCCTAAGTGCCTGGGAAGGAGGGGTCACCCCCCACACACACACACACCCCAAGGCACAAGGCCAGGGCACTCTCCAGTTCCCATAAGCCACAGGCTGGCCTTTGCCCTGGGAAAGTCAGTCGCTTGGCATGTTGGAATCTGGCTGACTGGTTTGGATCCTCCTCCTGCTGGAGAACCAAAGAACTCCAGGGGTTTGGGCCAGAGAGAGCGACCGCACGGCCAACCCGGGCTTAATTCCCGGGGACACCGCCAGGAGTGATCCCTGGGCAGAGAACCAGGAATAAGCCCTGAGCACCCCGGAGGTGTGCAGAACACAAGACCATGGAACCCCTGCTACGCGGGTGTGTGTGTGTGTGTGTGTGTGTGTGTGTGTGTGAGAATTGACAGAAGGTTACGAAGCGCAGCCCGTTGGGAACAGCTTGGAGAAGCAGGTGGGAGTGTCCAAGCCCCAGGAACAGGATAGATTTATTTTCAGGGTTCTGAAAGCAGTTCATGAGCTCCCCCAAATGCACCTGGACTGAATCCCTTTCCTACTGGGCCCCGCCCTGCCCTTCACGTGTATTCCCGCCCTGTTCACTTCCCTACCTGGCCATGGTACGCCCATCGTGACAGTATTACATGTCAATGAAGTATTCCTCTTTTATAATCCATTGTAGAAGGTAAAGGGATTGAATAAAGCTATCTTAATGAGACTGCCCAGGCACCTGGGCCCATCTTCCTCCCTTCTCTTCCTCTTTGAACATCAAAATAGATCATGGGTAAGGGCTGGTCGCAGGGGAGGGACACGGTGAACTCCCCCATCCCAGGGGGAAGTCTTTGTCCCAACACACTGGTCCCTCAAGCACTGAGCTAGAAATTCCGGAGCATCATGGGTGTGGCGCCCGAACAAGAATCAATACTAGGGGCTGGACTGATAGCACAGCACGGAAGGCATTTGCCTTGTACACGACCAGCCCTGGTTCGATTCCCAATATCCCATATGGCCCCCCGGGCACCGCCTGGAGTAATTTCTAAGTAGAGCCAGAAGTAAGCCCTGTGCATCGCTGGGTGTGACCCAAAGAGAAAAACAATTCCTAAAAGTAGCCCCTGAGCATCATCAGATAGGGCCTCAGAATTTGTTTTTTGGGGGGAGGTGGGTGCACACTGGCTCAGTGCTCAGGGATTACTCCTGGCGGGGCTTGGAGTCCATAGGCTGTGTCTGGGATCAGACCCTCTTGCAAGGTGAGCGCACCAACAGTGGTATCATCCCGCTGGCTCAGAGGCCCCAAATGTTTTTTTGGGGTGCCACATCTCACAGTGCTGGGGGCTTGCTTCTGCTCAAGGATCATGGGTTTACTGGGGATTGAACCCAGGTTGGTGCATATAAGGCAGGTTAAGTGCCCTACCCACTATGCTAGTGTTAGGCTACTAAGCCCCCAATTTTTTTTTTGGAGGGTGACACATTGGCGATGCTCAGCAGGGGATACTCCTGGCTCTGCACTCAGGAATTATTTCTGGCAGAGGCCGGAAGACCATGTGAGAGATGGGAGATGGAAATTGGGTCTGCCCACAGTATGAGCGCACCAGCACCCCAAGAGCCTAAAACCTGATTCAGGCCACATCCAGTGATGCTAGGGCTTCTGCTCTGTACTCAGGAATTATTCCTGGCCGTGCTCACAGGACCACATGGGACGTCACGCAAGGCAGACACCCTACCTGCTATGCTAATGCTCTGGCCGCAGGGCCCAAAACATTTTTATTTTTGGGTCATACCTGGCTCTGCACTCAGGAATTATTCCCAGAAGTGCTTGGGGGATCCTAGAGGATGTCAGGGATTGAACCCGGGTCAGTCACTTGCAAGGAAAACATCCTAGCTCTGGCCCCTTTTTTGGTTTTTTTTTTTTTTTTTTGGTTTTTTGGATCTCACCTCATACTTGGGGCTGTATGGGATGCTGGGGATTGAACCCGGGTCAGCTGTTTGCAAGGCAAATGCCCTCCCTTGCTGTACTATCCCTTCCACCCCCAAAAACTTTTAAAAACCAAAAAAAAAAAGTGATTTCCAGGAGCTGGAGCATTTTACATCAGGGAAAGTGTTGGCCTTGCACATGAGCGACCCGGGTTCAATCCCCGGCATCCCACAGGGTCCCCTAGCAAGGCCAGGAGTAATTCCTGAGTGAAGAGCAGGAATAACCCCTGAGCAAAAAGCCCCCCCAAAACAGTAAGTGGTGTCCAGGCTAGCCAGGTGTGTGAGCACTACTAATGGCAAGGCGTAGGGGCCGGAGTGACGGTACAGGGGGTAGGGCATTTGCCTTGCATGTGACTGATCCGGGTTCGATTCCTAGCATCCCATAGGGTCCCCGAGCACTGCCAGGAATGATTCCTGAGTTCAGAGCCAGGAGTAACCCCTGTGCATCGCAGGGTGTGACCCAAAAGGCAAAAAAAAAAAATGCAAGGCTTGGGGGACCTCAGCCAGAAGCAGGGCTCCCCTCTTTCCCTCTCCCCACTACCCCTCCCCAGCCAGGAGATGGGACCCTCAGGGGCCGCAGCCGGACACCCAGCACCCAAGCTAATAACAGTTACAACCCCCTGGGCCAGGGACATTAACACCCTGAAGAACATAGCAAGAGCAACTTGTTTTGAATTTTTTTTTTTCTTTTTGGGTCACACCCCGGGATGCACAGGGATTACTCCTGGCTCTGCACTCAGGAATTACTCCTGGCGGTGCTCAGGGGGGGACCAACATGGGATGCTGGGAATGGAACCCAGGTTGGCCACGTGGAAGGCAAATGCCCTACCGACTGTGGTATCACTCCAGCCCCAGAACAACTTGTTTCGAGCTTATGACATAGATTGCTCGAGCGGGCCCAGTAACGTCTCCATTGGAGAGTTTGTTGTTACTGTGTCTGGCATATCGAATACTCTCGGTAGCTTGCCGGGCTCTCCGAGAGGGGATGACATAGATACATTGGTGAATGTTCTGCAAAAAAAGGGTTGCCGGGAGGGGGGGGAGGGGGGGCTTGGTTTTGGACCACACCTGGCATTCCTCTGGGTCTGGGGTCACTCATGGCCTGCACTGGGACTATATCAGGCGCCTAGAAAAAGATCTTGGAGACTGATGGGCCCCTTATCAGGAGCAGCAGCACAGGAAGTGGGGTGTCATTGGTGCCCGCCCCAAGCCCCATGATGAGGGATCAGCTATCACCAAACGAACTTCGCTTCCTCTGAGCTGCAGTTTATGGGGGAGACTGTTTTTCCCAGGTTTCAGTGACTGGAAAACCTTCCACAAACTTGCGAACTTTACAAAGGTTGGAAATTTACAATGGTGAAATTTACAAGGTGATTTCTCCTCAGTGACCTTCAGTTGGTCAAGAGCCCAGTTCAGTGGGGTTACAGGCAGCTGCGGTTGTGAAATCAGCGCCTCCAGGTTTTTTGCTTCCCAGCGCCTGGGGCGACTTCGGCCCAGGCTTGAGCGCCCCTTCCCATGTTGGTCCCCTGGAGTAATTCCTGAGTGCAGAGCCCGGAGGAACCCCTGAGCATCGCTGGGTGCGGCCCAAAAAAAACAATGAAAAAGGAAAGAAAAATATAATTTTCCAATGTGCCCAGGAAATATAAAAAACGGGCCAGGTCCCAACCTTTCAAAAGTCAGCATGTGCCTCCTCCAGAGGAACTCAGGGCCTGTCCCCCTGCTCCAGAAGGTCCTGAATTCAGTCCCCAAGGACTAACAGTCCCTAGAACGACCCCGCCCCCCACCCATGTTGTGTTCATCCACTTCCTCAGCTGGCCTGACTGCCAGCCTCTTAGCTAATCTAAGTAATGCCTTTTCTGCAATGATCTTTCCAAGCCTGGGGTTTCAATTGTGGACTAAATACCTGGAAATGAAGCCCTCCCAGTCATAGGGTCATTCTACTTCGTGTTTTTTTTGGGATCACACCCAGTAGGGCCGTACTGGGGGGGGCCGGGGCGGGGTCCCTGGGCTAGAAGCCTGGCCTGTTGCACGCAGGCCTTCTCTACTGCCACCTTTCCAGCCCCGTCATTACATTTTTATTTCACTTTGCGGGTGACCACAATCCCTGGCGATGCTCAGAGATCACTCCTGGCAGTGCTTGTGGGGCCCTAGTGGAGTGCCAGGGATCAAACCTGGGTCTGGACAAGCACTGGACCGCTGGACCATAGCTGTGCTGGCCCCTGCATTTGTCTCAGTTTTTGTCTCTGTTTTTTTGTTTTATTTTTTTTTTCTTTTTGAGTCACACCCGGCAATGCACAGGGGTTCCTCCTGGCTCTGCACTCAGAAGTTACTCCTGGCGGTGCACAGGGGACCATATGGGATGCTGGGAATTGAACCTGGATTGGCCGGGTGCAATCTCTCCAGCCCCTTGTCTCTGTTTTTAAGGTAACAGCCCTAACCTCAGCCCCGAGTTGGGTCACCTGAGCTTCCTTTGTGGAGGGAGTTAAACCCGGGAGCATTTGGTGACACCCCCTGGTGACACCCTCTTGCTCCCTGCCAGGTTGCCATGAGGTAACCTGGCACCAGGGCCACCTGCCAGGCCGATAAGAGGGAGCTGTGATTAGAAAGGCGCTGTGCCCCAGCCCCCTGACCTGCGCTGACTGTGGAAGCCCCGTTCTTTTTATTTTTGTGGGGGTGGAGCCCTGGCCCCGGCACCAGGAAGGCCGCTCCCCAAGCTGCCGCTTTTGCAAGAAGAGATTCAGATCTGTCAGCGGCCCCCTTCCCTCCCAGCTGTGCTTTTGTTTTGCCTTTAAGCCGCAGACTGTGGGGCGCCCCTCCCCCACTCCCAGACACAAAAGCAATCAGACCCCCTGCAAGGCGGCCAAAATAAAATCGCACGCGCAGTTCCGGCCGAGAGTACGCGGCGATCTCCAGGGAAGGTACGGGCCCAGCTGTTTCCTGGAGGGGGCACTCTCCTCTGCCTCCCTCCTCTCCCAACGTTGGGGTGGGGGGCAGGTGTTGGGCATACACTACAATACTGGGGTTTATCCCCGCCTCTGAGATGGCATCTGGTGGTGCTCAGGGGACCCTGTGCAGGGCTGGGATCAAATGGATGGAAAAGAAGCATGTCAGTTCTTTAAAGAGATGCTGGAGGGACTGGAGTCAGCAGGTAGGGTGTTTGCCTTGCACATGCCGGGCCTGGTTCGATTCCCAGCATCCCATATGGTCCCCTGCGCACCGCCAGGAGTAATTCCTGAGTGCAGAGCCAGGAGTAACCCCTGTGCTGGGTGTGACCCCCGAAACCAAAATAAATAAATAAAAATAAGTAAAGAGATGCTGGAGAGATCATAGGGTGCTTCCCTTGCTGGGGACCATCCCGGGTTCGATGTCCTACAGCCCATATGGTCGCCCAGCAAGTGCCAGGGATGGAACTGGGATTGGCCACCTGCAGTCTCAGTGGTGGGGCCACCCTACTGTCCTGTTGGGGCTGATTTGTACCAGGACCTCACTCAGCTCAGATGGTTTGCCTGGGCCAGGCTTATCATGTGGCGGGGTAGCAGAAAGTGGAACAGATGGACCCAGATAAAAGGTCGCTGCGAGGCCACGGATAGCGTGGAAACGTGTGCTTCTGCCTCCCAAAGGGCTTGGGCTGGACCCCCAGGGGCATACGCCAAGACAGACATTGGGACAAGGCTGAAGGCTCTTGGCTTGCACGCTGCCACCCTGAGTTCACCCGAAACACCACAGGGCATCTCCTGAGCATCATCAGGAGTGATCCCTGAGCACCACCCAAAATGGCTCCAGAAGAGCAGTAGGGGTCTGAGCAAATAGTACAGCGGGGAGGGCATTTGCTTGCATGTGGCCCAGCCGGGTTCCATCCCTGGCTTCCCACAGGGCCCTTGAGCACCACCAGGAGTTAATTCCTGAGTGCACAGCCAGGAGTTACCTCTGAGCATCACAAAATATGGCTCCAAAACCCAAAAAGAAGGGTAATGTCGAGGCTGCCACTATTTCTGTAGCCAATTTTTCCAAATATAAAATGCAGCATGCCACACCCCGTATACCAAGGCAGTTTTATTTAGCCTTTCCAAAAACAATACTTAACTTTCCATGCACTACTGGTTAACTCCTTTTCCATTGTTACTTCATAGAAAGCGGGGATCATGACCCCGTCACCCCAGATTGTGGAATAGGTCACAAATATGTCCTGTGTTTTGGCAGAAATACCACCTGAGCAGGCAGCTCGCTCACTGGAAACCCACCTAATCTTTAGTGTTTTTTTGCTGCTGCTGTTTTAGTTGTCGGACCACACCCTGTGATGCTCAGGGGTTACTCCTGGTTTTTGCACTCAGGCATCATTCCTGGCAGTGCTCAGGAACCTTATGGGGTGCCCTAGCACTTTACAATCTCTCTGGCTCTAATTTTGGTTCTTTTTTGGGGCCATATCAAGCAGTTTTCAAGGCTTACTCCTGACTCTGCGCTCCTGGATCGCTCACAGTATAGCCCAGGGGAACTGGATATGTTACCAGGAAGTGAACCCAGGTTGGCTGTGTGCGAGGCAACTATTACCTTACCCACTGGACTGTCTCACCTACCGTCTGCCTAATTTTATTGTTGGAGGTAGGAGGGTTTGGGCCATACCAAGCAATGCTTGGGCTACTCCTGGTCCTGTGCTCAGAAAAACAACTGTGTGTTGATGGAACCAGGATCGCATGCTGCAGCTAGAGACAGCTCTGGAAGACTAATCCTTAACTACCTCGAACCCGAACCCCGTCCCCTCCTAATGTTCCACGTGAAAACGCTTGCTGGGTCCAAGCCCATCCTGGTTTAAAATCTTGATCCCCACCCAGCCTTTTAACTGACCCTCGAGAAATCAAGGCATAAAGAGCTTACTTAAATAATTGCCCAGCGAGGCAAACTGGGATTCGAACCCCAAAAACCTATTCTCACACTCCATGGTGTTTTTTTTTTTTTTTGGAGGGGGGGTAGGACACCCGGAGACGCTAAGGTTACTGCCTCTCCCTGCTTCTGTACTCAGAGATCACTCCTGGTGGTGCTCCTGGACCCTGTGGGACGCCGGAAATCTAACCTGGGTTGGCCACGTGCATGGCAACCGACCCGGCCCCCGACTCCATGCTTGCTTTCTCCAAGTACTTTTTGGTCGTTTATTGTGAGCACCACTCCCCTAAGAAAAAAAGGAAAAAGATATATTCTGACCACCCCCCCGCCCTCTGCAGAGAAAAACCGCCCGGGGCAAACGGCGCGTTACAGCCCGCGCAGGCGCATCCCCCGCACGCCCCTTCCAAGCGCCAATTGGTTCTCGCCGAGGAGTGACGGACAACGCGGGCAATGGCCGGAGGCCCTCGTCGGAGCCCCGCCCCCTGCTCGCGGACTGAACCAATAAGAAGCGGGCCTCCCCGGCTGCCGCAGCCAATCAGTCCGTCGCGGGCGGCGGTTGGATTTGAACGCGACGGGCGGCCATGGCGGCGTTTCGGGACATGGAGGACGTGAGCCAGGGGCTGATGAGCCTCCTGGCCGCCAACCGCGCCGAGGCGCAGCAGCGGCAGCTGCTCGAGCGCCAGGAGAAGGTGGTGGAGCGGCTGACGCGGGCCCAGGACGAGGCGGAGCGGCGCCTGCAGGGTGAGCGCGCTCCGCGGGGGTCGCAGCTGGGCCCGCGGTGCCCGGGATCGAACCTGCGGCGGCGGCCACGCCCGTCCCGACTCGGGGCGCCTCGTCTCTGCAGCCCGGAGACGACCCCGGCCTCCGCGTGCAGCGCCGGCCGCTGCAGTTGACCCGGCGATTTGTTCAGGGTCAGTCTCTTCGTTCTGCGGCGCAGCCGGCGGTGCCAAGCCGGGACTGGGCGCTGCGCTCAGCGTCCCTCGGGAGCCCCGGGACGCCCCTGTGCGGCCCCAGGGCTCGAACCCGGCTCGGCTGGGTGCCAGCGACACGCCCGGCCCGCTGCGCAGCCGTTCCACCTGTCCCCCTCTGACCTGAGTTTTCCTTGCGCTGACCCTGAAATTCACCTTACGAGATGAAATTCGTGCACTTAAGTTTCGGGCACAGCTGGCGATGCTCGGCATCAGCCCTGGCGGAGCACAGGGCACCGTGTCGGGTGCCGGGGATCGAGCTCCCGTCGCCCCTGTGCCAGCCAGACGCCCCCGCCCCCGGCGCGGTCCTGGGGACCGGGCCCGTCTCGGGAGGGAAGGTGGGCTTCACGGGACCTGGATACGAGCGCACCCCCCCCCCCGCCACGTCTCCCACCCCGCAGAGATCACAGCGGCGGAGGAGGAGGTGGCTAAGAACCTGCTGCAGGCGCAGGCGCAGGCCCAGGCGGGCCGCGAGGAGCTGCAGCGGCTGCAGGAGGAGATGCAGAAGGTCGAGGAGGAGGACACACGCGTCCAGGCACAGCTGATATATCCTGGCGCGAGTGGGTGGGGGGTAGGGGTAAGGGGCGTGGGGGGGGTGCCCACGGACCAGCCAGGCTCCTTAACTCCCGGCACCCAGGTGCTGCATGATCTCAATGAGATCAAGGATGAAGAAGCTGATCTGGACAAAAGCGAGAAGAAAGTGGACGAAGACAGCACCGTGACCATCCCGAGCGCGGTGTATGTGCGGGCCTCGTGCACACGTGCTTGCCTTCCCGCGTGTGCATGGAGACGACGAGGTCTTTATCCCTCTTCTCTCTCTTGCAGATACGTGGCCCAACTCTACAATCGCATCAGTAAAATCGAGTGGGATTACGAGACCGAGAAGGATGTAATCAGAGGCAGTATCCTTTTAAGGGCCCGGGTGTTGGGAATGGGGGAGGTTCTGTGCCCACCACCATCTCAGGAACATAATCTGGGGGCTGGAGCGATGGCACAGCAGGTAGGACATTTGCCTTGAACGTGGCCAACCTGGATTTGATTCCCAGCATCCCATATAGTCTCCTGAGCACTGCCAGGAGTATAATGAGTGCAGAGCCAGGAATAACCCCTGTGCGTGGCCAGTGTGACCTCCCCCCACCCCCCCAAAAAAATTTCCCAATCAAGAACATGTTCCAGGGTTCCGCTCAGCACACTTGTGGCCGTGGTGGGAGCCTTGCCTTGCCTGAGGCTGCCTTCCATTGGCACCCCGGCACTCAAAATGCTCCCCTAAGTACTACCAGGGGTGTGACTCACAGGATGCCTGGGGGGTTCAGCCCCTTTCAGCCTCAGTATTGCCCAGTGCTGGGGACATGCAGGAGAAATTCGGGGTGGAAAAGTACATGCTCCCAGGTCTGCAGAGCCCCCTACCCTGTATCTCCCTGTGTGTGTGGTTTCCTCAGCATTCGCCAGTTCACCATGGCCCCAGCGTGGCCCAGCCCATCAACCTAGACGCCTCTCAGCACTCCAAGAAGTTCATCAGCGACTTTCTGTGGAGCCTGCTTGACACCCAGTGGTGACCTGCCAGGCTCAGCCCCGTGTGACCCATCTCCACTCGGCCATATTCTGTCGCCTGCTCTAAGCTCAGTGCCCAGGAGTAGGCCAGATGCGGAGTTGGCTGCATTGCTGCTGTTTTGGGGGATCCACAGCCCCCTGATCCCTGTGGGCATAAGGGGCCACCCCTGCCTCTTCCGTGTGCAATTCCCCCCACCACTTGGCTTCCCGGTTACAGCACTTTTTCTAGGCCTTCCCTTTTCGGTTATGTTTACTTAGGTTTGAAATAAAGGTGGCAAGAGTTCTTGATTCTGCGTGGCTGTTCGATTAGGGGTTACTCCTGGCTCAGTGCCGGTAAGGCCTGGGGTTGCCGGTTTGTGTGGGGAGGGGAGCACAGTGGGAGGGGAGGGATGGAACCTGGGTTCGCTCCATGAAGGCTGTTGCTCCTGCCCTGGAGGCTGTTTCCTGGTCTGAAATGTGGCAGGAGTCTCAGCACTGTAGGACCAGACCAGAATCCCTGAGGGTGAGAAGGGGCCTCTGCCCTTGCTGGTTGCAAGTCAGGCCACACTGCCCACTGAGTGTACCCTGTCATCGTCCATCCACTGGGCACCACTGCCCTGAAGGAGATGAGGGTCCATCCACAGGGGTGGCTGTGTAGGGCTTGGCCTGGGAGAAGAAAATGCCCTAAACGGGGCGGGGCTTGAGGCCAGGATTCCCTTATCCCCCAGCTTAACTAGGTCTCCGGGTGACCTGACCCATCAACCAACTGCCCCTAAGAAAGCCAGAGGCCTCTGCTAGCCTGTGCAACCCAATCTCGACCTTAGAGGCCTTGTGTCCAGAATCCACCCCCACCTCCCCCCAGGACAGGCTGGGCAAGGGGGGAGAAAGGTGGTGGGGTGGGAGGGCGCAGGGAGGCCCCGGTCTCCCGCATGCCTGTCCTCTGACTCTGCTGTTGGCTGGACGCCCAGGCTGGCCTGTGGGCTGGGCCCGCAGCCTCTGGTCCCCACTTTCTCCTGGTGAGGATTGGCCTGTATTTGAGACTGGCTGGACACTGAGGTCCCCCCCTGCACCTCACCATGTTCTTGCTTGGCCCCCACCAACCCTGCTGAGCAGCTGGGGAGCAGCTCGGGTTACTCGAGGGTCCCCAGGTAGAAACCAGGAAGGGGGCGCCCTGAGGCCACACCTGCACTGCACTGGCCTTGCTTGTCCGGTGTGTCAGTTGGGGAAGGGCACCACATCGCCACCCCCTTACCTGAACCTCCTACCAGCTGTGGGGATGGTGAGGTGCTGGGGACCCCCTGAGATACTCTCCCTTGGTCTTCCCCTGCCCTGCCCCCAAACAAAACCAGATTGGTAGCCAACAGCACCTCAGGAGCCGGAGCAATAGCACACCAGGGAGGGCATTTGCCTTGCATGCAGCTGACCCTGGTTCGTTCCCTGCACCCATATTTCCTGAGCCCACCAGGAGTGATGCCTGAGTGCAGAGCCAGGAGGAAGCCCTGAGCACTGCCGGGTATGGCCAAAAAATTACCACCTCAGTGATGGGGTGTGTGTGTGCGGGGTGGGGGGGTCAGAGTGTCTGATGCTGGATTCAGCCCGCGTCCAGGAAAAGGGTGCCAGGAAGCAGGGTTCAGAGGGGCCAGGCTCTGAGCAGCCTGAGAATGAATGGCAGAAGAAACTCGTCCACCAGCAGGGTCCTCCCAGCTCTCGGGGGTCAGCTGGGCCGCCAGCAGTGAGCTGGGGGAGCCAGACCACGAGGGACCTGCAGTCCGGCGCCGCAGGCACTGGCCACATTGCGCCCCAAGCAGGGTCAGCCTCCTCGGGAAGCCCCAGGCTCTCCGAGCCAAGCCCTGGCAGCTGGGCCGGGGAGGGTGGGCTCTGGGGTGGGGGAGCCCCTCTAGTCCGCCTGGAAGGGCCGGAAGAACACACTGAAATCGGAGCTGCCCAGGGCAGCGGCTGGGCAGGGCTGGCTCTCGGAGCACAGCGGGGCTCACTCAGCCGCCACCAGTGGCATTCCAGCACCCCTGAGCCCGCTGGGCTGGGCCTGTGCCGCCTCCCTCGGCCACATCTGGGCTCGGTCCCGGGCTCCAGCCTGACTCACCGCAGCAGCTGTGGTTTGGGCGGGGGGGTGGGGGGGTGGAGGCGCCGAGGACAGAGTCTGGGGGAGCAGCGTCCTCCCCACCCCTGGCCTGACCACAGTCCACAGCCGGGGGAAAAGCAGAGCCTAGAGCGCCCCACCCCCCAGGCGCGTCTGGGCCAGGGTGACATCCACACTTTGACCAGGGGAGGGCGCTGGAGGGGTGCATGAGTCACCCTAGCAGTTGGGGAGCCGAGCCCCGCTGGCCCAGGACCCTAACACGCCCCCGACACACAAGCGCAAATCAGCGTTTTCCCTTTAAGAGCCCCGTGGCCCTCATTCCCGGGGGCTGCGCGAACTCCCGCCCCTTCCGTGCGCCCCTCGGGTATCCCTTTCCGGCCCACGGTTCTCTGCGCCCCCCGGGACGTGCACGGAACCGGTCAATCAACCAATTATCGACCCAGGCCCGCGGCTTCCGGCGAGGCGCGGCAGCCTGCGCCTCCTAAGGCCTTCTGGAACCTTCCCAAGGCAGCGTCCGCACGGCGGGACGCGCGTGCCCCCCAGCGGACGCCGGTGGGATCGGCGCGCGAGGCGCGAGGGCTCAGGTCGGGAAACTGAGGCTGGGCGAGGCCTCCCCACACGGCCGCGTCCATGCTCTTGCCCCCGGCCTGCACACCCCTGCCCTTCCTGGATCTGTATATCGGGGAACCCCGCTGCCCAGGTGGAAGGGCACTGGGAGAGAGAGGGGAGATGCAGAGGGGTTTAAAGGGTGAGGGGGTGCCGACCATTCCAGCAGACTCGGGAATTCGGGTGCTGGGGTGGACGGACGCTGCAGCAGGCCTGAGAAGATTCGCGGATTCTTCATTGGATTCTTTTGTTTTTGTTTGGGGCCCATGCCCGGGGATGGCTCTGCGCCCAGGTGTTGGGGGAGTTGATGGGGTGCCCAGGATCAAACCCAGGTCAGCCAAGTGCCAGACAACCGCCCCACCTACCCATTGTACTGTTGCTCAGGTTCCCTTAATGTGATCTCTTTTTCTTTTTCTTCTTTTGCTTTTTTGGGCCACACCCGGTGATGTTCAGGGATCATTCCTGACAGCATCCAGGAATTACTCCTGCCGATGCTGGGGCACCATATGGGGTGCCTGCTGCGTGCCAGGCAAACATCCGACCTGCCGTGCTATTGCTCCAACCCTAAATTAAGTCTCTTGGGACCTAAGTGATGATAGTGCAGTGGGGAGGACGTCTGCCTTGCACTAAGCCAACAGAGGTTTGATCCCCAGCATCCCATAGGGTCCCCCGATCCCACCAGGAGTGATTTCTGAGTCCAGAGTTAGGAGCAAGGCCTGAGCACTGCTGGATGTGACCCCAAAACAAAACAAAATAGTAACTGAAGTGCCTTTCAGAGCTATTATTTTTTGGTTTGTTGGTTGGTTTTGGATTTGGGGTCACACCTGGACATGCCAAGGGGTTATTCCTGGCTCTGTACAGGGATCATTTCGGGTGAGGCTCATGGAGTACCAGGGATCGAACCCAGGTAGGCCGTGGGCAGGCGAGTGCCAGACCAACATACTATCTTGCTGGCCCCTCAGAGCTTTTGCTTGTGCATTGATGAAGTCAAGTGTGTTTGTGGGTGTCTTGATCCAATTTTTTTAAAAGGGGAGCTTGAAAGATAGTACAGCAGGTAGGGCACTTGCCTTGTACATGGCCAACCTGGGTTTTACCCCCAGTATCCCATCTGGTCCCCAGACCATACCAGAAGTGATCCCTGAGCAGAGAGCCAGGAGTAAGCTCTCAGCATCGCTACGTGTGGCCCTCCCCCAACAATTAAAAAAAATTCCCCTTCCCTTCCCACCTCTTGCGGTCCAGCTGCCTGGGAGTTGTGCATTTTTCTGTGCTCCTGAGATGACACTTGATCGTGTTGGGGTCCCACTTGGTAGCTCCATCAGGATTTCACTTGGCATGAAGGGCAGTACCGGGGATCGAACTCTTGCCCTGTCTTTTTTTTTTTGGGGGGGGGTCACACCCGGCGATGCACAGGGGTTACTCCTGGCTCTGGCTCTGCACTCAGGAGTTACTCCTGGCGGTGCTCGGGGGACCATATGGGATGCTAGGATTTGAACCCGGGTCGACCGCATGCAAGGTAAATGCCCTACCTGCTGTGCTATTGCTCCAGCCCCTGGACCTCAGTCTTACAAGGCGGGTGCTCTATCACAGAGCAGTGCCTGGGCCACCAACTCCTCTTTCTTCCCCCTCGGAGACTGAGCTCAGGTGTCTCAGAAATTCTCTCCCAGGGCTTCAGTGACAGTACAATGGGGAAGGCACTTGGCTTGCATGTGATGACACTGTTAGGCACCCCATTAGGTCCCCCGAGTTTAACAGGAGTTATCCCTGAGCACCAAGCAGGAGTAATCTCTGAGCAGACCTGGAAATGACCCCCCAAAAGAAAGAAAAAAAACCTCTCCCAAAATAAAGGAGGTTCCTCCTACCAGTTAAACTTCCAGCTCATTCCTGTGCAGAATATTCCAGAACATTCTTGCATACACGAGGCATCTATTTTGCCTTCAGAAATGACAACTGAGGGGCTGGAGCGATAGTACAGCAGGTAGGGCGTTTGTGCAGTCGACCCGGGTTTGATTCCCAGCATCCCATAGGGTCCCCGAGCACCACCAGGAGTGATTCCTGAGTGCAGAGCCAGGAGTAACCCCTGTGCATCACTGGGTGTGACAAAAAAAGCAAAAAAAAAAAAAAAAGATAACTGAAAGCTGACAGGGCGCTTATGTGCTTATGCACTACAGGGCCCAGCCTGTAGGGCAGCCCACGGGCCCTCTACATCGTCCTGACCATCAGTGCTGCCCAGCGCCCCCTGCGTGCTGCCGCTCGCACCGGCCCTCCTTCTGTGGAGCTGAGCCTGATTCGACCCCTGCCTTCCCATGTCTCCCCTTTAGGCACTGGCCTCCCTGGCCTGGGGACCCCCATCTTCATTCCCGGCAAGAATCGCATTAGGTTCGGGACCCGGGACTTGGCGGCAGTGGGGGAGCACTGGTTTTCGGGAGTCCCGCCAGGCAGCGCCCTGAGCACCCCCCAGCACCACTGGGTCTGACCCCCCGTCCCCCAAATGCAGCCGAACTGAAGTGAACCCAGGGGAGCGCGAGGTGGGGGAAGGCGGGGCAGCGACCCGGCTCTGGGGTGACGGCGCCTCTCCCCCAGCGCTGATCATCCTGCTGGCCCTCGGCACTTTCCTCATCTGGAGGAACTGGCGGCTGAAGAGCGTCAACAGCATCAACTTCGACAACCCGGTGTACCAGAAGACCACGGAGGACGAGGTTTGCATCTGCAGCGCCCAGGACGGCTACAGCTACCCCTCGGTGAGCTCAGCCTCCACCTGGGACCCTCAGGACCTGCTGGGCGGGGCTTCGGCGCCACGGGGCGGGGCTTCACTCGTGTGTGGGCGGGGCTTCACTCGTGTGTGGGCGGGGCTTCACTACAGGGGCGGGGTTTATATTATGGGCGGGGCTTCACAATCCGGGAGAGGAGCTTCAGGGGAGGGGTGGGGCTTTCAGCCACCTGGAGACCAGATGCCAGAAAGACCCCAGGCGTTTGTGGCCTGGGAAGGGAAGGGTGACGTTTTGTTTATTTTAATTTTATGTCATGGAGTCATTTGTGGCGCTGCTTGGGGTCCCTTGGCAGCTGGGGATCGACCCTCAGGCCTTCCATCTCCAAGGCAATCACACTACCTTGGGAGTCGCATTTCCTATCCCATTTTCTGGGGTTAGGGGTGGGTCGCCTGTTTCTGGGGTGTGTGGGATCACACCTCAGGCAGGTGAGCCCCATCCTGTATCTCTGAGGCCAGTCAGGGTCCCTAGAGCATGGGGAACAGCCACCAAGCACTCACAGCACGTACCCCTCCAGCACTGTCAGAGGTAACCCCCAAATGTGAAAACTACAATCAGTGAAGCTAGATAGTAGGACCCAGGCTGGTTCTGCATGACAGACTGGACAGCGGCCACTCATGCAAAGGCCCTGGGGCCAGCACATGCTCAGCCTGAGCAGCTCAGAGCAGCTGGTGCTGTCAAACTGGCGCCCAGGTGGGGCCGCGGGGGGCTGGGGACAGGACCAGGACTCTGGACATAGCAGGCCGGAGAACGGCTTTAGGGTTTGCTCTGTGGAGAGGCGGGAGCCAGGGATGGTTCTAGTCCTGCCTTGGCCTCTGGCTTCCCTGATGGGGCAGAGGGGCAGCGGTCAGGAGCCTGGAGACCCGGTGGGCAGTCACGAGGAGGTGAGGTGCGCTGCCCCCCACCCTTCATCTTTCTCCAGCACCAATCTGATTGTTTCTGCTGTTTGTGCCTTTGTGGACAGAGACAGATGGTCAGTCTGGAAGAGGACACGCCCTGAGCCACTGTGTCCGGCCTCCTAGGTGAGGAAGAGGAGGAGGAAGTTTTCCCCAGTGATCCCTGGACCCTCGCTCCTTGCTTCCTATTCCACACCCCAGGAGTGCCTGGGATTGAACCTAGTCGGCCAAGAGCAAGACCAGGTTCTTCCGATTGAGCCAATGCACCATCACCCCCCATTTCTTTCTTCTTTTTTTTTTTTAATGAATCACCATAAGATACAGGTACAAAGCTTTCATGTTTCAGCTTCAGCCACACAGTAATCAAACACCCATCCCTACACCGTTGCACTTTTTTCACCACCAATGTACCCAGTACTTCTCCCCATCCCAGTCCTCACCCTGCCTCTATGGCAATTTTTCCCATACTCTCTCAACTTTTGCACTCCACATTTCTTTTTTTGCTTGTTGGGTCAGACCTGGAGATGCTCAGGGGTTACTCCTGGCTCTGCACTCTGCACTCAGGAATTACTCCTGGCAGTGCTCAGGGGACCATCTGGGATGCTGGGAATCAAACCCGTGTCGGCCGCGTACGAGGCAAATGTCCTACCCGCTGTGCTATCGCTCCAGCCCCATGCACCCCACATTTCTGAGGGTGCCCCAACACTCTTCTACAAGGAGGAGGGCATGAAAGGAAGAAAAAACTCAGAACCCCCCAAGCTGGAGTGAGGGAATCCTCCATCAAGGGACCGAGGCTGCTTTTTTCCTCTCTTTTTTTGTTTGTTTATGGTTTGGGGGCCACACCCAGTGATGTTCAGGGGGTACTCCTGGCTCTGTACTCTGAAATCACTCTCTGGCCCTACTAGGGGACCATATGGGGAGCCTACAAAGGAACCAGGGTCCTACGAATGCAAGACAACAGCCCTACCAGCTCTGCTCCCGCTGCAGCGGCCAGAGCTGTGTGCTTGATCCTTAATGACCCCATACCTAACACTGAAGCCAAGAAAAGGGCTGGAAATCTCAAGCGTGGGAAAGTCGGGCCGCGGCAGTTTCGCCAAAAAGCCACCAGAAGGCGCTGTGGGGTTTCCGTCCTTCTCCAGGCCCGTTTCTCTCAGAATTTTCCACCCTTGGGTACGCTGTAATGTTAGGTATGGGGTCATTAAGGATCAACCACGCAGCTTCGACAGGTGCAATGGTAGGAGAATTGTGTGGGTGCTTGTCTTTCATGCGGGCAACTTGGATTCGATTCCCGCCATACAGACTTTTAGGGGAGTACGTAACTGAATCTTCATGGAAGCAAACCGAAGGGTGGAAATTTCTTTTTTTTTATTAAATAAATAGATTTTATTTGGAGGTTTTGGAGAGGAAGAGAGTGAGAGAGTAACGTACTCAAGAGAGAACACAGACTTCTCCAAGGGCAGAGAGAGAGCCCCTACACACATCCTAGCATTAGACAGAAAAGCATGAAAGTACACATCTCAAGAGGGGAGATGCTGACGACACATGTGCTCAGCCCACATGTGCTCGGCCACGTGGGCGCAAGCAGCACAAGGGCTCTGGCAGCATATGCGCCAAGGGTGGAAATTTCTTAAGAGAAACGGGCCTGGGAGGGAAGGAAACGCCCACAGCGCCGTCTCGTGGCGTTTCCGCGGAACTGCCGCGGCCCGACTTTCCCACGCTTAAGATTTCCAGCCCTTTTCTTGGCTTCAATGTTAAGTATGGGGTCATTAAGGATCAGGCACACAGCCTAGGGCCATGGATCAAATACTGAGCCAGGAGGGCAAATGCTGCGCTATCCGGCCCCTGTATTTTACATCCACGCTCGTCGGGACTCCTTGGCTGGCTGTTGGCTCAGGGAATCATCCTTGGTACTTTGGAGACTATACGGGGTGCCAGAAACCGAGCACTGTGTGCAGGGCAAGCACCCTACTTGCTATACTCTCTCTGTCCCCCTTCTCTTAGCCTTTCATCAGTATTTTTTCAGTAGTTTGGTTTTGGGACTACACCTAGCGGTGCTCGGTTTTTTTTTTTTTTTTAGCGGTGCTCAGTTCTGACTGCCGCTTTGTGCTCAGGGATCACACCCAGCAGTTTTTGGACATTGTGGGGTGCAGGGGATAGAACCTGGGTCATGTGCATGTGTGGCAAGCGCCTTCCCTTCTGTACTATAGCTCTGGCCTGTCACCCCCAAGTTTAAATAGAAACAAACTTTCCATGAATTCCCCTTCCCTCCTGTGGACCAGCTGCCTGGGAGTTGTGCATTTATCTGTGCTCCTGAAATGACACTTGACCATCGTGTTGGTGTCCCACTTGGTAGCTCCATCAGGATGTCACCAGGCATAGAGGGCGGTACAGGGGATCGAACTCTGGACCTCATGCTTGCAAGGTGGGTGCTCTATCAGAGCTGTGCCTGGGCCCCCAACTCCTTGGAGACTCAGCTCAAGTGTCTTGGAAAACCTCTCCCAAATAAAGGAGCCTTCTCCCACGGCTGCCTCTCTGGTCATTCCTTGGCAGAATGTTCTAGACCATTCTTGCACACACATGACTTCTATTTCCTCTTCTGGCATGACAGTTTACAGCATGCGGGGTATTCCGGCATAAGGGAGGAGAGGGCCTGGAGAGCAGTGGATGATGTGGGAGGAATAAACGGAGGGAGATTTAGCAACCCCCCCAGTTCAGGGTGCCCCAGACACACCCTCCTGCCCATGCCCAGGAGGAGGTCCCCCCATACCCCGGAGAAGATGAACAGTGGAGAAGAAAAGCGCATCAGATTTGGGCAAATGGTTCATTTTGGAAGCACCGTGCAAGCTTGGGTGACAAAACTCTCAGGGGTTCAGCAGAGCACCCGCTCCCGAGTTTCCCAGATGGGCACTCTGGAAACAGGCTTCCCAGCGACACTGCCATGCTGTGCAGCCTGCAATGAGGTCGGAGCCCTCAGGCAGTACAGAGCAACTGGGGCCCCCTCCAGCCCGGGGCACCCCCAGACACACACAGTCAGTAGGTTTGGCAAAAATAAATAGATCTTCTTTTCTTAGACGTGAGAATCGTTCCAGCAAATATACAAAGTGCAAACGACAAGGGTGTATGTACAAGGCTTCAGGGGAACGCGGCATCCTCGGCCCGACCCTGGGCGGGGACAGGGTGCAGGGACCTGGTGACACCAAGCCCTCTCCACGCTGTTCCCACGGCTCCTTCCCTTGGAAACGTCTTCGGGCTAGTTGGAACCGTGGGGGCACGAGACCAATCCTCCGTGCAGGGCACCAACCCCGCTCCTGCCCCCAGGTGCTCCGGATACCCTAAAATTCAGCCCGGCATGTGGGCAATCCTGAACTGGAACAGGGCAGGGGAGGGGGAGCGGGGCCATACCGGCCTGCAGGCCAAGGCCAGTGCCACGTCTCAGGCACTTTCAACATGGGGCGCCGGGGCCCCCCTTTCCCTGGGTCAGTGGGGGTTTTGGTGACTGAACCAAGCTCCTGGTCTCAGTTCCCTTCATCCCGACACCTCCAATACAGCCTGAGTGTGGGGGCCCGGTGCGACTCCTCCAAGGTCAGGGGAATCGCCAAGGCAAAGCCTAAAGGCTGAGGTAGAGGCGGGGGGCTCCTGAGTGTGGGGTTCACCAGAGTGGGGGGCCCAGGCAGCATCTGGGATCCCATGGGTGGCAGCGCCGGCCCATGGCCACAAAGATACCCCAGCTTTATACCCTCTTTCCCTCCATGTGGAGAGAAAGAAATTGAACCTTCCCCCCTCACCTGCACCCCACATCCGCAGGGCCTCTAGCTCTGCCTCAGATGAATAAATAAAGCAAACAAAGCCTGGCGGGCAGGCCCTGAGTGGTGACCGCGGAGGGGGGCGTCTCAGGAAGTGAGGGGCGGGGGTCCAGGGATCACTGGGGAATTCTTCTTCTTCATCTTTCTCTTCCTCGCCCAGGAGGCCGGACACAGTGGCTCAGGGCGTGTCCTCTTCCAGACTGACCATCTGTCTCTGTCCACAAAGGCACAAACAGCAGAAACAATCAGACTGGTGCTGGGGAAAGATGAAGGGTGGGGGGGCAGCGCACCTCACCTCCTCCGGGCCGCCCACCGGGTCTCCAGGCTCCTGACCGCTGCCCCTCTGCCCCACCAGGGAAGCCAGAGACCAAGGCAGGACTAGAACCATCCCTGGTTCCCGTCTCTCCACAGAGCAAACCCTAAAGCCGTTCTCCGGCCTGCCATGTCCAGAGCCCTGGTCCTGTCCCCGGCCCCCCGCGGCCCCACCTGGGCGCCAGTTTGACAGCACCAGCTGCTCTGAGCTGCTCAGGCTGAGCATGTGCTGGCCCCAGGGCCTTTGCATGAGTGGCTGCTGTCCAGTCTGTCATGCTATCTAGCTTCACTGATTGTAGTTTACACATTTGGGGGTCACCTCTGACGGTGCTGGAGGGGTACGTGCTGTGAGTGCTTGGTGGCTGTTCCCCATGCTCTAGGGACCCTGACTGGCCTCAGGAATACAGGACGAGCTTGCCTGCCTGAGGGGTGACCCCGCACACCCCAGAAACAGCCGACCCACCCCAAACCCCAGAAAACGGAACAGGGAATGTGGTTCCGGAGGTAGTGTAATTGCCTCTGAAGGCCTGGGGATCCCCAGCTCCCAAGGGACCCCAAGCAGCGCTACAAATCACTCCATGACATAAAATTAAAATAATTAAAATGTCATCCTTGGGGGCTGTAGTGATAGCACAGCGGGTGCGGAGTTTGCTTTGCACGCTGCCGACCTGGGTTTGATTCCCAGCATCCCATATGGTTTCCTGAGCACCACCAGGAGTAACTCCTGAGGGCAGAGCCAGGAGTAAACCCTGTGCATCGCAGGGTGTGACCCAAAAAGAAAAAAAAATGTCATCCTTTCCTTCCCAGGCCACAAACCCTTGGGGGTCCTTCTGGCATCTGTTCTCCAAGTGGCTGAAAACCCCACCCCGGCCTAAAGCCCGTCCCCTGAGCCTGAAGCCCCACCCATAGGACCGACTGAAGCCCCACCCACAAGACTGAAGCCCCGCCCCGTGGCGCCGAAGCCCCGCCCAGCAGGTCCTGAGGGTCCCAGGTGGAGGCTGAGCTCACCGAGGGGTAGCTGTAGCCGTCCTGGGCGCTGCAGATGCAAACCTCGTCCTCCGTGGTCTTCTGGTACACCGGGTTGTCGAAGTTGATGCTGTTGACGCTCTTCAGCCGCCAGTTCCTCCAGATGAGGAAAGTGCCGAGGGCCAGCAGGATGATCAGCGCTGGGGGAGAGGCGCCGTCACCCCAGAGCCGGGTCGCTGCCCCGCCTTCCCCCACCTCGCGCTCCCCTGGGTTCACTTCAGTTCGGCTGCATTTGGGGGACGGGGGGTCAGACCCAGTGGTGCTGGGGGGTGTTCAGGGCGCTGCCTGGCGGGACTCCCGAAAACCAGTGCTCCCCCACTGCCGCCAAGTCCCGGGTCCCGAACCTAACGCGATTCTCGCCGGGAAACTAGAGGCCACAGCTTGGGAATGACGATGGGGGTCCCAGGCCGGGGAAGCCAGTGCCCAGAGGGGAGACACGGGCAGGGTCCGGGTCGGGCTCAGCTCCGCTGAATGGGGGTGGGGCGGGGGAGGGGCGCGGGGTAGCCTGGCTCACCGATGGGCAGGATGATGTAGAGGGCCCGCGAGCCGGCCCGCTGCTCCTGGTGCTCTGTGCCAGCTCCGGCGCCCTGGACTGTGCGAAGAGGGACAAAGTGAGGCTGATGGCAAAAGGGGAGCCACCCGTCACCCCACATTGTCTGCAGAATGGCAGACGCCAGGATTCCTTCACCCCAAACTTGCAGGGTAGTGAGATGTATAATAACTTTCACTCTCCTCGTCCAGATAAAGCATGGAAGGGGGCACCCTCAGAACTGTAGGGTGATGGGGCTGAAGCGATAGCCAGTGGTAGGGCGTTTGCCTTGCAATCGGCCAACATGGCCAACCCGAGTTTGATTCCTCCGCCCTTCTCGGAGAGCCCGGCAAGCTACCGAGAGTATCTCGCCCGCTCGGCAAAGCCTGGCAAGCTCCCGGAGACGTATTCGATATGCCAAACACAGTAACAATTGCCACAATGGAGACATTACTGGGCCCGCTCGAGCAGATCGATGAACAATGGGAGGACAGTGACAGTGACAGTGGGTTTGGGAATGCCCAGGACAGAAATTCCTTGGAACATGGTTCTCTGCAATAGAGATAGTTCTGTGGCAAAGGCACTTCCCTTGCCTATGGTCAACATAGTACGGACCCCTGCACCATATAAGGTCCTGTGAATCCCACAAGACTTTTTTTGTTTCTTTTTTTGGGTCACACCTGGCGTTGCACAGGGGTTACTCCTGGCTCTGCACTCAGGAGTTACTCCTGGAGGTGCTTAGGGGACCCTATGGGATGCTGGGAACTGAACCCAGGTGGCTGCGTGCAAGGCAAATGCCCTACCCGCTGTGTCATCACTCCAGCCCTGCCCCCAAGAATTTCCGCTATGGGCCTGCAGCCATAGTACAGTGGGAAGGGCATTTGCATTGCATGTGGCCAACCTGGGTTTGATCCCCAGCATCCCAGAGTCCCCTGAGAACCACCAGGAGTAATTACCCTTGAGCATCGTAGGGTGTGGCTCAAAAAAGAAAAAAAAGAATTTCTGCTATGGCCACCCCCTCCCCTCCAAATCAACACTCCACAGAGCCATTCTGTGGCTCCTTGGTGGAAAGATGTATTTTGTATTTACCTGAAGGAGACTGCCCTGTCCGATGGTGGACAGTGTTGCTTTTTTTTGGTGTTACACCCATTGATGCTCAGGGCTGACTCTTGGCTCTGCGCTCAGGAATTACTCCTGGCAGTGCCCAGGGGACCCTATGGGATGCTGGGGCTTGAACCTGGGTTCGCCATGTGAAGGCAAATGCCCCCTCCTGCTGTGCTATCACTTCGGTCCCAAAGGGTCATTCATAACTATGTGAATTAACGATCTTCCCAAGCACCCCCAGTTCCTTTAGATGGCAGTTCCCTCACCCCAATGTTTGGGGGGGTACCAAGCTGAATCTTGCCTCCGTCCCCCTTCTCTACAGAAAACAGGGAAGCACAGATCTTGGGACTTCACTAATGCATGGGAACCCCAGAAATTCTAGTAGCCAGGGAGAAATAGGGTACCCTCAGAAATGTGAACTGGAGTGATAGGACAGCACGTAGGGCAATTGCCTTGCCTGTAGCCCACCCAGGTTTGATCTCTGGCACCCCATAGGGTTCCTTGAGCCCTGCCAGGAGTGACCCCTGAGCACAGAACCAGGAGTCAGCCCTGAGCACTACCAGGTTTGTCCTGGGCATCCCCAAACCCAAAAACCAAAAAAAAAAAAAAGGGAAAACAAAAAAGAGTAAGAAGTAGATCTGTCCTTTTTCAGGAGAAATCAGGACCGTGCCCACTGTCCAGGTATCTGGGATTGAGCCAGACTTGGCCATGAGCAAGGCAAGCAGCTTCCCCAGTGGACATTTTATTTATTTATTTAATTTTATTTTATTTTTGCTTTTTGGGTCACACCCGGCGATGCTCAGGGATTACTCCTGGCTCTGCACTCAGGAATCACTCCTGGCAGTGCTGGGGGACCATATGGGATGCTGGGAATCGAACCTGGGTCAGCCGCATGCAAGGCAAACGCCCTCCCCGCTGTGCTATTGCTCCAGCCCCTTCAGTGGACATTTTAAAAAATTTTTTGGGCTGCACCTGGTGTCCCTACTCCCGGCTCCACTTAGTGATCACTCCTGGCATGGTTTGGGGGGACCCTACTTAGCCTCAGGGCCAAAAACAGGGTCCCCTAGGCAAGCGCCCACCCCACTATCCTATCTTTGTGGCCCATTGTTGCTGATACTTGGCCCCTGGGTCTGATGGGCTCTGGGGTAATTAACCAGCACATTTTCAGGAGTCTACAGTTTCCAGAAGTAGGCTGGGGAGGCCCGTCAGCACCACCTGATAAACGAAAACCCTAGGGACACACACACCAAGTAGGCAAGAGTCCTCAAAGGCCCCTGGACTAAATATGTGCATTTTTTTGGTTTTCGGGGTCTCCCAAGTGGTGGGGTGATGACAGCTCCCCACTGTGATATTCCAGCATGATCTTCCATACCACTAGGTCCATGCAAGTGTCCAAGGAATGCTCCAACCACCCTGACACTCCAAGAGTCTCCCTGTGGGGCTCAGGAGACAATCAATGCAGTGCTAAGAATCAAACCCTGATAAGGTGTGTGCTAGGCAGGAGCCCTAACCACTGGGAAACCTCTCTGGCCCCTAGGCTCTCTCTCGTTGCCAAGACAATTCAGGTCCAAAATGGACCCACTTGGTGCTCGTCTCTATGACGCAGACCAGGGCAGACCAGTCATTAATTACCTGGGTGGGACAAGGTCACCGTCTCCACTGTGGTAAGCTCTGGGAAGAATCGGGGTCGTGGGCTGGCCGTGTGCTCTGATGTCCTCTCTGTTGCGCTGGTCGCAGGGGATCCCGATGTTGTCACAGGTTCTGCAAACAAGAGACATCCTGAGCTGGGGCTCCCCTGAACCTCCTCCCAGGCGGGCGACCAGCCACCAAGAAATCACTGAGGTCAGGGGCTGGAGTGACAGTCCAGCAGGGAAGGCATTTGCCTTGCATGCGGCTGACCCAGGTTCGATCCCCGGCATCCCATGGTCCCCCAAGCACCGCCAGGAGTCATTCCTGAGTGAGAGCCAGGAGGAATCCCTGAGCATCACCAGGTGTGGCTCAAAAAGTCAAAAAAAAGGGAAAAAAAAAGAAAAGAAATCACTGAGGTCCAATGCAGGAACATCTGCCACACGGACATCGCACCTGTCATTCTACACAAAGTGTCATGGTGGGAAGGCGTGAAAGGTTCCAGAGTGTGGGTTTGTTCGGAGTTTGGGCACATCACCTGACAGTGCTTAGGCCCAATTCCTGGTTCTGTGCTCAGGAATCACTTCTGGCGGGGCTCGAACCCTGTTTGGCTATGGACAAGGCAACAGCTTTTACCTCTTAGGTGCCAGGACTGTTATTATTTTGTTTTGTTTTGCTTTGGGGCCATACCTGGTGGTGCCCAGGACTTAGTCCAGACTCTGAGCTCAGGGAATCACTCCTGGCAGGGCACGGGGGACCCCATGGGATGCTGGGATTGAACCTAGGTTGTCACATGCAAGGTCAGCACCCTCCCAGCCGCCATATCCCTCCGAACTCCAGGACCATTTTCAGTGGCTAGAGAGAACTGACTCCTCGCGTGGTCTCACCTACAACCTCAGGCCCAGATCCTCAGAGCCTGAGAGTTTCCTCAGTACTGAAGCCCCTCGAAGGGTCTCAGGGGAGGGCATGCAGTGAGTTCGGGGGGGGAACCAACAGGGAAACGTCTCTGGGCTTGGGGCTGGAGCGATAAGAGCAAGGAAGGCTCTTGCCTTGCATGTGGCCACTGGGATTCCACCCCCAGCATCGCAGTGTCCCCTAGCACACGAGTGATTCTTGAGTGCAGAGTTGGGAGTCAGCCGTGAGAATCACCAGATGTGGCCCCCACGCAAAGCAAAGCAAAAATTTAAAAAAAAAAAAAAGAGGGATTTAGGAAACTTCAGTCGTGCACCCCTCCCCCCAAACTCTGGGGGAGTGAAGTGGACTTTGAGGATTTGAACCAGTGTCCTAGGGCAGTGAGTTCATCGGTCATGTCTAAGGAAATCTCCAGAATTTTTTTTGGGGGGTCACATCCAGCAATGCTCAGCGGTTGCTCCTGGCTCTGAACTCAGGAACTACCCCTGGTGGTATTTGGGGGACCATATGGGTTGCTGCGAATTGAACTTGGGTTGGCCGCATCCAAGGCAAATGCCCTACCGGCTGTGCTATTGCTCCAGCCTCGAAATCTCCAGAATTTTTAAAAAAGAGGAAAACAAGGAGGTGGGGCCGGAGCCACAGCACAGTGAGGAGGGCACTTGCCTTGCACGCAGCTGACCCGGGTTCCATCCTCAGCACCCCATGGGGTACCCCACTATCTGAGCGCAGAGTCAGGAGTAAGTTCTACCCCCTATTATGGCTCTAGCCTGGCACCCAGAGAAGAGGTGCGGGTGTCACTCTGGGCCTAAGGAGGGGATGTGGAACCCTCAGGTCTCACGGGGCTCAGGGTGCAGGGACCAGCCCCAGGGCCCAGGGGCTGACATTTCACCTGGCTGGCAGCTCCTTCTGTCAGTGCCCAGCACCAGGCCGTCAGGACAGGCGCAGGTGAACTTGGGGGAGTGGATGTTGATTTGTGGGGCTGGGAGACACAGGTACTGGCAGCCACCATTCTGGAGAGCCGTCTTCTCGCACCAGTTCACCCCTGCGGTGGAAGAGTGTGTGGGTGAGAGGGGGAAACAGGGTAAGGACAAAGTTGGAAAGTTCTAGAAAATTCTAGAAATTTCCAGAAATGTCTAGGGCAACCCAGGAAAGGGGGGTGGGCTTTGCAGCCACGCCATCTTTACCCATGGGCTGGGTCAAGTTGTGGAAAAGGACAATGTCCTCTGGGGACAGCAGGTTTTTGGCCACCAAATGGATGTCGGCACCCGTGAGGCGGTTGGCACTGAAAATGGCTTCATTGATGATGTCTGTCCAGAACACTTTATCCTGCGGGACACGAGGAAGAGAAGACAGCAGCTCGGTTTGGGAGTCACAGTCCAAGGTGAAAGCATTGTTTCTTTGGTTAAAAGAGAAAAGTTTTGGGGGCTGGAGTGATAGCACAGCAGTAGAGCGTTTGCCTTGCACGCGGCTGACCCGGGTTCAATTCCCAGCATTCCATATGGTCCCCCCGAGCACCACCAGGGGCAATTCCTGAGTCCATGAGCCAAGAGTAACCCCTGTGCATCGCCGGGTGTGACCCAAAAAGCAAAAAAAAAAAAAAGAGAAAAGTTTTTCGGGGGCTTCACAGCCGGTTTCACGGACTGTGCACGCCTGGTCCCCCGGGAAATGCCTCGAGCAGCCTCCATGCCCAGCCACGGGTAACTGAAAAATCCCTCATGGCCCAAAGGGAAAGCAGGCCCAGTGCGGTAGGGCGGCAGGGAGGGCGCTGGCCTTGCACGCGACTGACCAGGGTTCGACCCCCAGCTCCCTGCAGGGTCCTCTGAGCACCACCAGGATTCATCCCTGAGTGCAGAGCCAGGAGTAATGTGCTCCGCTGGGGGTTACCCCCCCAATCCCTACCCAAAAAAGGGGAAAACAACCAGGCCACGCATTCTGCCTTTGCATCTGGAGTCCCAGGGCGATCCCTGCCACCACCACTGGGAGACGCTGGCTTCCAGGCAAACTCCACACCCGCACCAAAGCCTGCTTTTGGGTTTTCGGACACATTGGCTGGTGCTCAGGCGGCGGGGCCTGAACCCAGAAGGACTCCAGCGTCCTATCAACCACTAACCTCACCCCGGCAGAGAAGTGCTCCCTGGGGCTCACTCCCCACCTCATAACCACCTGCGAGTTGCAGTTAAAAATCTGTGGGGGCCAGAGAGATGGAACTGCAGGGAAACTGCTAAGGCCCTTCACCCCGGCCCAGGTTCGGTCCCGGCAGCCCATAGCAAGAGGGTCCTGAAGAAAGTAATTCCTGAAAAGAGAGAGAGGGAGAGGGAGAGAGAGACAGGGAAGAGAGAGGGATAGAGGGAGACAGAGAGAGATAGGACAGAGAGATGGAGGAAGACAGGGAGAGAGGAGGGAGAGGAGGGAGAGAGAGAAGAAAAGTGACTGCCACAGAGGTAGGTGGGAGTGGGGGAAGCGGGAGAGAAACTGGGGACAGTGGTGGTGGGAGACGTACACTAGTGAAGGGACGCGTGTTGGAACATTATATGGCTGAAACCTGATCAGGAACAGCCTTGTAACTGTGTCTCACTCTGATTCAATTTAAAAAAATTTTTAAAAATTAAAAAAAAAGAGTAATTCATGAGCATTGTGGGGTGTGACCCCAAGACAAAAAATGTTTCATCATTGGGCAACCCTAATTGAGACCGCCCCACCCCTCAAAAACTTTTTCGACATCCCCAAATGTGCAAAGCTCGGAGCAAGAACCCCTGGGTCCGACCTCATCTGTTTGGGGAGAAGCCCCGGGGGTGGGCCCTCTGTTGGCCCTCACAGCCCACCTCATAGATGGCCAGCGAGAACGGGTGCGCCAGCTTGGCCTTGTCCTCCAGCACGGTCTTCCGGTTCCCTCCGTTGACATCGATACTGGAGATGGAGTGCAGCTTGGAATCCACCCAGTACAGGCGGCCGCTGGAAAGATCTAGAACCCACATGGAACAATGAAACGTCAGGGATGGAGGGTGGGGGGCTTTGGGTGCTTGGCTTTGCACCCAGTTCAATCCCCAGCACCCCACAGGATCCCTCAAGCACTGCCAGGAGAAATTTCTGAGCACAGAGCAAGGAGTCAGCCCCTAGTGTCAACCAGGCGTGGTCCCCTGAGGAAAAAAATAAACAAAGCCCAGACATCATTTGTTTTTGTTTTGGGCCACACCTGGCAGTTACTTTGGGGTTACTTCCAATTCTGCACTCAAGGATCACTCTTGGTGGGGTGCCAGGGATTGAACCGCGGTCAGTCGAATGTTTGCAAGGCAAACGCCCTACACTATGCAATCACTCCAACCCCTATACCACATATCATTTAAATTAAAAATAGTAAATGAAAACCCCCACGGCCGGAGTGATAGCCCAGTGGGGAGGCAGTTTGCTTTGCACACGGCTGACCCAGGTTTGATCCCGACACCCCAAAGGGACCCCTGAGCACCACCAGGAGTAATTCCTGAGTAGAGTCAGGAGTCACCCTGACCATCGCCGGGTGTGACCCCCGCCGCCCCAAAATAGAACAACAACAACAAAAAAACCCCGGGGGGTTGTGTGTGGTCCATTGGGGGGTGCACTTGCTTCTCCCCTTCTCTTCCATGCCACCCTGTCACAGTCCAGGCACTTACCCAGGGTGATGCCGTTGGGCCACTGAATGTTGTCCGTCACCAGCGAGTAAATGTCCACTCCGTTCAGACCCCCCTTCTTAATCTTGGCCGGGGTCCCCCAGTCAGTCCAGTACATGAAGCTGGTGGGGGGCGGGCACACAGAGAAGGGGTGAGTGCCACAGTGTTGTCGTGGGGGCAGCTGGGAAACTCTGCTGCAGCAGATGCTTTCGTTTTCACAACAATGTCGGGGCTGGAACCAGGATTCCCAGGGGCCCTAAGGACCTTTGCAGTCTCTGATTTGTTTTGGGGAACAGCCCCAGTGGTGCTCAGGGCTGACTCCTGGCTCTGTGCTCAGGGATCACTCTAGGCGGTGCTCAGGGAACCCTATGGGGTGCCAGAGATTGAACTGGGTCGGCAAACGCCCTCCCCGCTGGACTATGGCTCTGGCTCCACTTCACATCTTCCTGACATTGAGGAATCTTGAGAATTCAAAGGATGCTCGGGCCAGGCCTTGAGTCCACCTGCCTCGCATGGCTGAGGCGAGTTCAAACCCAACACCTCACAGGGGCCGGAGTGATGGGATGGCGGGGAGGGCGCTGACCTTGCACACAACCGACCTGGGTTCAACCCCTGGCACCTCATAGGGTCCCCAAGCACTGCCAGGAGTAATTTCTGAGTGCAGAGCCAGGAGTCACCCCTGAGCACCGCTGGGTGTGACCCCAAACAACAAACAAAAGAAGGGACTGGAGAGATAGCACAGTAGGTAGGGCGTTTGCCTTGCACACAGCGGACTAGGTTCGATTCCCAGCATCCCATATGGTCCCCCAAGCACCACCAGGGGTGATTCCTGAGGGCAGAGCCAGGAGGAACCCCTGTGCATTGCCAGGAGTGACCCCCCCAAAAAAAAACACCCAAAAGAAAAAAAACATACCTCCTGGGCCCGAACCCTGCTGGGAGCAGCACCTGAGCACAGAGCTGGGAGGGGCTTGAACAGCCCGGAAGGGCCTGAAAAACCTCTACTACCCCACCCCGCCCCCAGCAAAAAGAACAACAGGAAGCGCTTGAGAGTCAAAGGAAGCTCGGCAGGGGCCAGGCCCAGAGTTTGACTCCCTGGCTCTGCACTCTGGATCACTCCTGGTGGGGCTCCTGGGACCCTGCAGGGTGCAGGGGATCAAACCCAGGTCGGTTGTATGCAAGGCAAACACCCTATGCACTCTACAATCGCTCCAGCCCCTATACCAAATATCATTTAAATTAAAAATAATAAATGGAAACCCCTGGGGCCCGATAGGACAGTGGGGAGGACGCTTGCCTTGTACACACCTGACCCGGGTTCGATGACTGGCACCCCATAGGGTCCTCCAAGCACCGCCAGGAGTGATCCCTGAGTGCAGAGCCCGGCACCCACAGGAGAGGGGACACCCCAACACTGGCACTGGAGAGGCTGAGTCTGGGATTGTCTCTGTCCTCTACAATGTCCCACGATGAGAACATCTGGAGGGTGTCAGGTCCTGAACTCAGCTTTGGGGGCAGGAGCGCTGGGGTCCACCCTCAGCACTGCGGGGTCCCCAATATCCCCCTGGACCAATGGACTGGGGGTAGACCCTGAGCCCCAAACACCATCTTGCATGGAGTCCTGCGGCCCCAGATCTGCCCCTTGGAGCCTTGGCCCCCACGTCAAGAACCCAGTGCCCTCTCGGCACCAGCGGGCCCCCCCACGCCCCGGGTTATGAAATCCCACACGTGGCAGGCCAGGTGGGGGCTGACAGGTACAGAGTCCACCGAGCCACCTGCCAGGGGACACAGTCGGTCCCCGCAGACCCCGGGGCTGCTGAGTAAGCAGTGATGGGGGCAAGCAGACATCCACGAGGACAGGAGGTGATTGCGCCCAGGGCCAGTGACCTTGCAGCCACCACAGTGGCCTAACGTTGACCGGGCAGCCCAGTGTCCTCCTGGCCTGGTTCGCGTGGCCATCAAACCTCCAAATCCCAAAGTGTGATTCTCGCTCCCATGTGGTTCTGGGCCACGGGTTTCTATTATTTTTTTTAATGCATTTCCTTTCTTCATTATCTATTTATTTAGCTTTTTTGGGTCACACCCAGTGATGCTCAGGGGTTTCTCCTGGCTCTGTACTCAGGAATTACTCCTGGCCGGTGCTCAGGGGACCTTATGGGATGCCGGGGATTGGAACTGGGTCAGCTACGTGCAAGGCAAACACCCTCCCTGCTGTACTATCGCTCCAATCCCAAGAGCCACAGGGTTTCTGGGGTGAGCAGGAATAGATTTCAGGTTTCAGGGGTGCTGGCGGGTTACTCCCAGCTTTGTGCTCAGAGCTCACGCCCCAAGGGACCGGGCTTCAAACCAGGATCAGCTGCATACAAGCTGTCTTGGAAGACCATCTCTCCGGGCCCCCAGGGACTGATTCTATGTCAAGGACCCAGCAGAGAGGGAGTTCACCCAGCACATGGCCGACTAGGGTTCGACCTCCAGCACCCCTAAGTTCCCCTGGCATAGCCAGGAGTGATTCCTGAGCACAGAGCCAGGAGTCAGCCCTGAGCAACACTGGGTATGACCCCCAAACCAAGCGGGCTCTACCCTGCAGTCCCCCAGGGTCTTGCGCCCCCGCCCCTCTGTCTGATGTACAGCCTTGAACCCCTTCCCACCTGGGGCCAGGACCCACCCGTGGACGGGATCCACCACGATGGCGCGCGGGCGGGAGCCTTTCTCAGCGAACAGCGTCTTCCTCTTGGCGCCGCTGGTGTCGGCCACGGACACGGTGCCGGGCCCGGAGTCAGTCCAGTAGAGGTTCCCGTGGATCCAGTCCACCGCCAGCCCATCGGGTGCCTGCAGGTTGTCGCCAATGACCGTGAGGTGCGGGGAGGAGCCGGGGGCGCCGCTGATCTGGGTGCTGGGAGGAGAATGAAGGGGGTGCAACGTTAGGCCTGGGGACCCCTGCCCCCAGCCCCTCACCACCCCCCACGCCTCGCCTCCCGCCGGGCCCCACCTGTAGATCTTCTTCTGTGACAGATCGGACCAGTAGACGCGGTTGGCGGCCACGTCAGCGTCCAGCGCCACCACGTTCTTCAGGTTGGGAATGAGGCTCGAGTACTCCTGCCGGTCCACAGCCATCTTCCGCACCTCGTGGCGGTTGGTGAAAAAGAGGTAGGCGATGGCACCTGGGGGAGCAGGAGGGAGTTGGGAGGGGCAAGGAGCCCCCACAGAGCCAGGGTGACCCCCAGGCCTGGGCTGTGACATTCTTTTTTTTTGTTTTGAGGCTGTACCCGCCAGTGCTCAGGGCTTCCTCCTGGCTCTTCGCTCAAGGATCACTCCTGGTGGTGCTCAGGGATGTTGGGGATTGAACTCAGATTGGCCGTGCTCATGGAAGAAGCCCTCCCCACTGTCCTATCGTTCTGGCACTCCTGTTACTATTCTCATTCGGGGTGCAGGGATTGACCCCGGTGCCTCTAGCCCCAAATATCACATTTCAATTGCTGTTTCACCTCTTCTTTTTTTAAATTTAATTATTTTTTAAATTTTTGGATCGCTCCAGCATAGCACAGCGGTAGGGCGTTTGCCTTACAAGCGGCCAGGTGAACATGGCCGACCCGAGTTCGATTCCTCCACCCCTCTCGGAGAGCCCGGCAAGCTACCAAGAGTATCTCGCCACACTGCAGAGCCTGGCAAGCTATCCCTGACGTATTCAATATGCCAAACACAGTAACAACAAGTCTCACGATGGAGACGTTACTGGGCCCGCATCGAGCAAATCGATGAACAACGGGAAGACCGTGACATTTTTTTATTGTTGGATCACACCTGACGATGCACAGGGGTTTCTCCTGGCTCGTGCACTCAGGAATCACTCCTGGAGGTGCTTGGGGGACCACATGGGATGCTGGGAATTGAACCACGTGCAAGGCAAATGTCCATCTGCTGTGCTATCGCTCCAGCCCCTTGATTTTATTCTTCATAGAATTGTTCACAGTCACTGATTACTTTCAATATTTGCTGGCTCACCTTCTAAGTGAGATGCAGTCATCTATATTTTGTTTTGTTTCAAGCACCAAAGTACTGAGGTCTGTTCCTGGCTCTGTGCATGGGGGTTCAACTGCGGTGGTAGTCGGGGTGGCACAGATGAAACCAGATGCCTCAATCCCTGTACCACGTCTCAGAACCCAACCTGTCCAACACCTGCCTTGTCCGCCTCAGCCCGGGAGTGGGCAGGAAGGTTTAGCGACAGGTGAGAAGGCAGATCATCCACTTTGCTTTTCCAACAAAGTTTTCTCAAATGAGTTCTCTCTGGCCATCACGGTCCCCAAGAGACAGGGGCTGTGATCAGCCCCCTGCCTTGGCCAGGGTGACTATGGCTCAGAGAGAGTGCATGGCTTGCCTGAGGTCACACAGCAGGCTGAACTGGGAATGGAAGCCAAGTCACCAACTCTGGAGGCTGTCAGGAGAGCAACACCCCATCCAGAATGTGACGCCTCTTTGACTGACTGGGTTCTCAACATCAGAACCGGGCTGAGGCAGGAGAAGACGTCCTTCCCCCCTTGATTAATCAGCAGCTGGACCCAGCAGGGCAGCCCAATTCTCAGTTGACACAATTATCTGGGGCCAGAGCGACAGTCCAGCACGGGGGGAGAAGGGAGGAACGACTGGCCTCGAACATAGTTGATCCAGGTGTTAAATTCCTAGCATCATCCCATAGGGTCCCCTTGAGCAATGCCAGGAGTAATTCCTGAGTGCAAAGCCAGAAGCAACCCTTGAGCATCGCTTGGTATGACTCAAAAAGCCAAAAAAAAAAAAATTGTCTGTCCCTAGGTCATTTCAGCAGAAGTGAGGTTCCGATGACAAAAACCCCAAGGCTGTGTCCCTGGAACGCCGGCCCCTCCCGCGTGCCCTTGCCCCACTCACTGGTGGCCTTGCAGGTGCCAGTGAGAGGGTCCAGCCGGAAGCCGTCCATGCACTCGCACTTGAAGCTGCCCTCCAGGTTCACGCATAACTGGCTGCAGATATTCTCCTCCTGACACTCGTCGATATCTGCCAATGGGGGCCACATAGAGAGCTCAGCGGTTAGAGCACAGCTTTGCACCTGGCCAACCTGGGATGGGTCCCCAGTAGTGCCTAGAGTCCCTGGAGCCCTGTCAGGAGTAATCCCTGAGCTCAGAGCCTTCAGTACACCTGGGTGTGGCCCCCCACATAATACATGGCTGCCAGTGGATTCCGGGGAAGGAGCCAGGCTGTCTGCCAAACTGTCTCAAATGCTAAACTCTCAAACTCTCCCTGCCAAACTGTCTCAAATCTCTAGATGGTTCATAACATGATTTTTATTTGGTGGGATCTCAGCACAGTGCTCAGGGAGCCCTGCAGGGCTGAAGGTTAGACCCAGGGCTTGCCCATGCAGAACCTGCACCCAGTCCTTTGATTTTGGGGGAATTTTTTTTTTGCCACACCCGGTGGTGCTCAGGGCTGACTCCCGGTGGGCTTGGGTAAGGGGCATCATATGGGCTGCTGAGAATCTAGCCTGGGTGGGCTGTGTGCAAGGCAAGTGCCTTTCCTCCCTGCCTTTCCTCTGGCCCATGCGCCCAGCCCTTTGATCCATCTCTCCAGACCCCCCTATTCTGAATCGTGCACCCCCAAACGAAGCATGGACACCTCATTCTCTCCTCCAACTGCAGGACCGAGCAGAACGGAGGTGGGCTGTGGTGTGGGGAGCGACACTCTGGACTCACCTTCACACCTGTGCTGGTCTGCCAGCCGGAAGCCGGGGGGACATAGACACTCGAAGCCGATCTTGAGGTCTTGGCAGATGTGGGAGCAGCCGCCGTTGTTGTCGGCACACTCGTTGGTCTCTGGGGGTGAGGGTGGGGGTAATGGGTCTCACTCGGGCCTCCTGGCCCCCTTCTCTGCACCCCTGGAGCCCCCAGTTCTATCGCCAGCACTGCTGGGAGTGAGCCCCAAGCAGGGCTCAAAAAACTAGCCAAAAGGAATCAGTTAAGAAAACGCCAGGGTGGGGCTGGAGCGATAGCACAGCAGACACGGCATTTGCCTTGCACACGGCCAACCCGGTTTGATTCCCAGCCTCCCAATATGGTCCCCTGAGCACTGCCAGGAGTAATTCCTGAGTGCATTGCTGGGTGTGACCCAAAAAGAAAAAAAGAAAGAAAGAAAGAAAGAAAGAAAGAAAGAAAGAAAGAAAGGGTAGGGGCCAGATGCAGTGCCAGTGTATGGACCAGAACATCTGAGCCCCAGAGCCCCGAGGCAGAGTAGCTGCACAGTCACGAGTCCAAGATCTGGGCACTCCACATGCGATTTGACCATCTCACCTACCCCCACCCGCCCCTGCCCAGCCCCTGGGAACTCACTGCATTCCTTGAGGGGTTCGTCCGACCAATCCTGGCAGTTCCTGACCGTATCGCATACTTTGTCCATGGAGATGCACTCGCCGCTGTGGCACTGGAATTTGTGCGGTCCCTCACAGAGGGTCACTGGGAGCAGGAGGGGAAGGTCAGTGTCCCGAGGTCACCAGCCTGCATGGGCGCAGAAGCCTCGCCAGATGTGCTGGGGGCCTCAGAGCCCCGTGGTGCTAGGCTCAAACCCCGGGCCCGCACACTCAGGATCAGTTACATTGGGCTGGAGCAATAGCACGGCAGGGAGGGCGCTGGCCTTGCACATGGCCAAGCCGGGTCTATGCCTGGAGCCCCACATGGTCCCCTAAGCCCAGCCAGGACTGAGTCCTGAGCACTGTTGGTAGTGACCCTCCCTCCCCGCGGCGACTAGGGCCCCGGAGCCCCAACACACACTGACCGTTGATGCAGCCACGCTCGTCACTGCCGTCATTACAGTCCACTTCCCCATTGCACTGGCCGCTGCCGTGAATGCAGCTGCCATCCGAGCACTGGAACTCGTCCGGGCGACACGTGGTGATGGCTGCGGGGGGTGGCAGCAGACAGATCCCATCAGGGAGTGGCGAGAGTGGGAGAACCCCCAGTTTTCTGGTTTGGGCTCTGAGCCTCACAGGCGGCATCAGGATCAAACCTGGGGCTTCCGTGAGTGAGCAAGGCCTGAGCTCGGCCCTTCAGAACCTTCTCGGGTCTCGACGTCCCCCTTCGTGTCAGTAACCCAAGAGGCAAAGGAAGGCGAGGGCCAGGGGGTGGGTGTTTGGGGATAGCGGGAGCTGGGGATAGCAGCGTAGATGCTGAGGGGCCTGGTTGCAGTGTCGTGGATGGCACGAGGTCATCCGCCTGCAGGGCAAATGTCCTGAGCCCCGGATTCTGTCTCAGTCCCCTTATATAAAAAATTTTGGGGGGCTGGAGCGATAGCACAGTGGGTAGGGTGTTTGCCTTGCACACGGCCGACCCGAGTTCTATTCCCAGCATCCCGTTGGGTCCCCTGAGCACCGCCAGGAGTGATTGCTGAGTGCAGAGCCAGGAGTAACCCCTGAGCATCGCAGGGTATGAACCAAAAAGCAAAAAAAAAAAAAAAAAAAAGTTAATTTGGGGGCACACCCAGCAGTTCTGAGGGTTTACTCTTGGTTCTGCATCCATTCCTAGTGGGCTTAGGATACCCGTTGATGTGCCAAGAACCAACCTGGGCCAGCTGTGTGCAAGACCAGTGCCTTACCTGCTGTACTATTGTTCTAGCTCAAAGAGCGATTTTTTTTTGTGTGTGCTTTTTGGGTCACACCCAGCAATGCTCAAGGGTTACTCCTGGCTCTACACTCAGGAATTACTCCTGGTGGTGCTCGGGGAACTATATGGGATGCTGGGAATCAAACCCGGGTCGGCGCATGCAAGGCAAATGCCTTACCCGCTGTGCTATCACACAAAGAGCGATTTAAAAAAATTTTTTTTGTTTTGGTTTGGTTTTGGACCCCACCCAACAGTGCTCAGGGTTGACCCTTGACTCTGTGCTGAGAAATGACTCCTGGCGGGCTCAGTCAGGGACCATCTGGGATGTTCGGGATTAAACCTGGGTCAGCTGAAAGCACCCTACCCTCTGTACTATCATTCTGGCCTCATTGTTTTTTCTTTTTTAATTTTTAAAAGATTTACTGATGTCATAGAGCAAAATGAAAAGAAGTTGGGGTTCAGGGCCCAGGATGGCACTCAGAGGGCTGGTGGCAGGCTCTGCACACAGGACTCCCAAGAGGGACCCCCAGAACCACATGGTCTCCCCAAGCACTGAGCACCACCGAGTAGGGGCTGCCTGAGTCATCCTGCCCCCACAGAAAACAAAATATGGGGCTGGAGCGATAGCACAGCGGGTATTAGCCTTGCCCACGTCCGACCCACGTTCGATTCCCAGCATCCCATATGGTCCCCTGAGCATCGCAGGGAGTAATTCCTGAGTGCGTGAGCCAGGAGTAACCCCTGTGCATTGCCGGGTGTGACCCCCCCAAAAAATAGGAAAAAAAAAAAGAAAACAAATAGGATCTGGGGTCTACTAACACAAACACAAATGTTACATTTCTCTCAACTTTTCCGCACCTTTCACTCATGTATTATTTTATTATTTTTTCAATCGATTTGTTTTTTTAATTGATTTGTTTTGCCAGAAAGATAACGCAGTGGATAGAAAACTAGCCTCGAAGGCTCCTGACCCTGGTTTAATTGTTGGCACCCCAGTAGCTTCGCCTGAGAACCGTCGGGAATAATTCTTGAGCACAGAGCCAAGGAGTAAGCCCTGAGCACCGCCGGGTGTGGCGCAAAAATCTGAAGAAGAAACAAGAAAAATTAATGGTTTTGGGGACGGAAATATAGTACAGCCAGAAGGGCACTTGCACTGCACACGGGTTGGATCTCTGACATCCCACAGGGTTCGGGAGCACCTCCAGGACTCATCCCTGAGCACCGTGGGGTTCCCCCCACAAAAATAAAAAGCCCAAGCAAACCAAGTACCCCCGGGGCCCCTCACCGCAGTCGTCCTCGTCGGACTTGTCCTTGCAGTCGGCGCTGCGGTCACAGCGCCAGCTGGCGTGGATGCACTCGCCGCTGCGGCAGTGGAACTCGTGTGTAGAGCAGTGGCGCTGGGCGCGGCGCTCGGCCAGGGGGTCGCGGCCCCCGCAGCGCTGCGGCCACTCGTCCGACTCGTCGTCACAGTCCGGGTCGCCGTCGCACGCCCACAGCTGCGGGATGCATGAGCCGCTGCTGCAGCGGAAGTGACCCGGCTCGCACGTGATCACCGGGCAGCCCACCTCGTCCGAGCCGTCCTGGCAGTCGGTGTCCGAGTCGCAGACGAACTCTGGGGCCACGCACTGGCCGTCTCCGCAGCGGAACTCCTGCGGCGAGCACGTCTTGGGGGCTAGCAGGCAAGTGGGAGAGAGCAGGGGACCCCAGCGTCAGACCCCTCCGCAGAGCTGGACAGCGGAGGCCCCCACGTGGGGTCCACTGCGGTTTGCTCATCCGGCTCTGCTGGGCCCAGCCCGCACACCGTCGAAGGGGATAGATTTTATTATTGGGATATATTTCATTATTACTATTTTTCCATAGAGCCCAAGACAGGGCAGATAAGAAGGTGCTGGAAGGTTCCTGGGGTTCACTTCTGAAGCCCACAGAGTCCCCAACCTTGCCAGGAGTGATCCCAGGTGTGGTCCAAAAAACAAACAGAAAACTTTTTAATTTGGGTGTTTTTTGGGGGGAGGAAGGGTGGGTGCCACCCCCAGAGATGCTCAGGGGTTGCCCCTGGCTCTGGGCTGAGGAATCACTCTTGGTGGTGCTCCACAGACCTTATGGGAGGTAGTTATCGAACCCGGGTCAACTGCATGCCAGGCAAGTGCCCTCCCGCTATACTATCGCTCTGGCCCCAGCAAAATTATTAGGAGCCCAGCCTGGGCCAGAGATGAGACAGCGGGGAGGGTGTTTGCCTTGCATTTTTATTTTATTTTTGGTTTCTGGCAAAATCTGACAAAAATTTTGGTGATCCAGCCGTGCTCAGGGGACCGTATGGGCAGCTGAGGATGGAACCTGGATCAGCCGCGTGCAAGGCAAATGCACGCCATAAGAAAACGCCAGGGTGGGGCTGGAGCGATAGCACAGCAGACACGGCATTTGCCTTGCACACGGCCAACCCGGTTTGATTCCCAGCATCCCATTTGTTTCCCTGAGCACCGCCAGGGGTAATTCCTGAGTGTAAAGCCAGGAGTAACCCCTGTGCATCGCCAGGTGTGACACAAAAAGCAAAAAAAAAAAAGAAATTGATCAGGGAGCTGGAGCAATAGCACAGTGGGTAGGGCATTTGCCTTGCACGCAGCTGACCTAGGTTCGATTCCCAGCATCCCATATGGTCCCCTGAACACCGCCAGGAGTGCAGGAACCCCCGAACACTGTTCCTGAGTGCATGAACCGGGAGTAACTCCTGTGTATCACCGGGTGTGACCCAAAAAGCAAAAAAAGAAAATAAAAAAGAAATTGATCAGTGACACTGTATATCACTATGTAGTGTTATTGATCGATTTCTTCCTGTTCATCAATTTGCTTGAGCAGGCACCAGTAACGTCTCCATTGTGAGACTTGTTGTTACTGTTTTTGGCATATCGAATACGTCACATGGGGAGCTTGCCAGGCTCTGCCATGCGGGCGGGATACTCTCGGCAGCTTGCTGGGCTCTCCGAGAGGGACGGAGGAATCGAACCCGGGTCAACTGCGTGTAAGGCAAACGCTCTACCTACTGTGCTATCGCTCCAGCCCAATAATAATAATAATAATAATAATAATGAAAGGCTGTCCCCGGCTAACAGAGAACTCAGCCTTTAATGAGGTGACCACAGCAGTGGACAGGAGGGAAGGGGAATCTGAGGGGCAGCACTTTTGTTACCCAGTCAACGTGGAACTTAAGGCAGGGCTGGGGAGGGTCACAAGACCATCTGCAGTGCGGCCCCCCCAAGAGATGAAGGCCGGGCAGAGCAGCTGGTCACCCCACGGTAGAAACTCGATGCCGGTGGGGGTCCCCGGGCAACCCGGCATGAGGCCAGCAGGATGCTCACTCACCGCAGTCATCCTCGTCCGAGCCGTTCTTGCAGTCCTGCTGCCCGTCACACCTCCAGGACTGCGGGATGCAACGGTTGACCTGCCCGCCGCAGCTGAAGTCCCCAGCGCTGCAGGTGATGGACACTGCCGGAGAGAGAGTCTGAGTCCCCGCCCCTCCCCTGCCCACTAAGGAAAGCATTGGCAGCACATGCGCACTGATGACTCCCTCTCCGTCAGTTCAAAATGCCAAGACTGGGGCTGGAGCGAGAGCACAGCGGGTAGGGCGTTTGCCTTGCACGCAGGCGACCCGGGTTCGATTCCCAGCATCCCATATGGTCCCTTGAGCACCGCCAGGAGTAATTCCTGAGTGCAGAGCCAGGAGGAACCCCTGTGCATCTGTGCATCGCCGGGTGTGACCCAAAAAGAAAAAAAAAAAAAAAAAAAAAAGCCAAGACTGGGGGGTCGAGAGAAAGGGCAGGGGAAGGTGTTCACCTGCCAAACAACTGAGCGGGTGCCATCCCTGGCACCCTCACAGGGTCCCCTGAGCCCCGTCAGCAGTGATCCCTGAGCTGAGTGCAGAGCCAGGAGTCAGCCCTGAGCACCATGGGGCGTGGTCCCCAAAACAAATCCAAAGAAAGACGGAAATGGCAACACAGCAGGTGGGGAGCTTGCCTTGCATGCAGCTGACTCGAGTTTGAACCCCAGCACAGCACAGGGGCAGCCCTGATCATTGCTGGGTATGGCCTCAAACAAACAAAAGCAAAATATAGAAAAATAGGACAGGGGCCAGGGCAATGATACAGTAGGGAGGGCGTTTGTCTTGCATGATGCCGGTTTGATCACTGGCATCCCATAGGGTCCCCCGAGCACTGCCAGAAATAATTCCTGAGTGCAGAGCCAGGAGCAACCCCTGAGCATCACCGGGTATGGCCCCTGCCCCAGAAAAGTAAGTACAGGGGGTAGAATGTTTGTCCTGCATGTGACCAACCTGAGTTCGTTCCCTGGCACCCTATAGGGTCCCCAGAGCAATGTAAGGAGTGATCCCTGAGCACCTCAAGGAGTGATCCCTGGGTGCAGAGCCAGGAGTCAGCCCTGAGCTTTGCCAGGTGTGACCCCCTGGGCCCCCAAAAGAGGAATGGGTGGGAGGAGATGAAAATCAAAGACTCCCAGGGGTTGGAGTGATTGTGCAGCAGGTAGGCCATTTGCGGCCGACCCTGGTTTGATCCCTGGCATCTCATATGGTCCCCCGAGCACCGTCAGAAGTAATTCCTGAGTGCAGAGCCAGGAGTAACCCTTGAGCATCCCTGGGTGTGACCCAAAAGGCAGAAAGAAAGAAAGAAAGAAAGAAAAAGAGAAAATCAAAGACCCCATAAAAAAGCCACTGGAGGGCACTGTCGGTGACATTCTTTCTCCCATTCTCCTGGTTCCAGAGTCACCACGTCTGTCATCCTTAGGCCAGCTCCACCCCCCCCCCCCCGGCCCCCGTCCGTGTCACCCGCTGTCCCCAGGGGAAGGACACTCACGGCAGGTGTCTGGGGACTCGTCGGAACCGTCCGGGCACTCAGGACTGCCATCGCAAACCCACTTATAGGAGATGCATTTTCCGTCTCGGCACTGAAATTCCTTCCTATCACACTTGCCTTTGGCTGAGAAAAGGAGAAGAAAAAGGAAGATCAGGTCCAGGACAAAGCAGCTCCCGGCACTCGCTCCTGGCACCTGAGTCATCGACACTGTCCTCAAGGCAGCTTAGACTGGGTCCTAGTCCCAGGAAACTGACTCACACAAAGCTCTGAGGAGACCAGCACAGCAGAACCGGAGAAGGTGCAAAGGTTACAGGCCTCACCTATAGTGTGCAGTGGGGACCGGGGCCCAGGTTCGAATCCCCCCATCACACAGGGGGCTGGGGAAATGTCAGCGGTAATCCCTGAGCACAGAACCTGGAGTGTCCCCAAATTTCCTTTGTTTGGGGGTCACCAGGGCCACACTTGGTGACGTTCTGGTTCTGCCCCTAGGAATGACTCCTAGTGGAGCTCCAGGAACCCATGGGATGCCAGGGATCAAACAAGGTCAGGCACGTGTAAGGCAAACACTCTTCCTGCTGTGTCATCGCTCAGATCCTGGGCCCAAAAATTAACCTACAGGCCGTTCGTTGAGTTCAAAGGACGTGTGAAGATGAGCTGAGTGCAAGCTTTGCATGCAGGAGGCCAATTCCACCTCTGTCACTGCAGGATGTCCCCCAAAACAAACAAGGGTCAGAGAGATCTGACAGCAGGCAAAGCACTGGTTGACCCAGGTTTGATCCCTGACACCTCATTAAGGTCTCCAAAGCCCCACCAGGAGTGAGTGATCCCTTAGCCCAGAGCTGGGAATAAACCCTGAGCACTGCTGGATCTGCCTCCCAAGCAAAACAAAACAAAACATAACAAAAACACACCAAACCACGGCCACCACCAATAAAAAGCAGTCTCTAGGGGCTGGGGCGATAGCACAGTGGGCAGGGCGTTTGCCTTGCACGTGGTCGACCCAGGTTCAATTCCCAGCATCCCATATGGTCCCCTGAGCACTGCCAGGAGTGATTCCTGAGTGCAAAGCCAGGAGTAACCCCTGAGCATCGCCGGGTGTGATCCCTACCCCAAAAAAAGTAAGTAGAGAGGGTAGGATGTTTGCCTTGCATGTGACCAACCTGGGTTCATTCCCTGGCACTCTATAGGGTCCCCAGAGCACTGCCAGGAGTGATCCCTGAGCCTTGCCAGGTGTGACCGCCCCTAGACCCCAAGAGGGATGGGTGGGAGGAGATGAAAATCAAAGACCCCCAAAAAGAGCCACTGGAGGGTTCCAGAGTAAAACCAAAAAGAAAAAAGAAAAAGAAAAGGAAGAGAAACGGGCTTATGAAAATCTCTGGAACCAGAGATTAAGAACCAAGAACCAGAGAGGAAGCCGGATGGGAGCCAATCTGAGGATGGCGACAGTTAGGAAGAAATGTAAGAACCAACAGAACACGCCCCGGGTGAGGCCCTGGGCAGTGACAAGGAAGTGACCCCCAAGGGACCCACAGGGCCTAGCTGGGCAGGTGAGGGGCCCCCTGGGGCGGGGCGGGAGTAGGGGGTTGAGCTTTGGAATCTGCTGCAGGCACGCACCCCACCGATAATCTACATTGCCCAATGGAGGCTGGGATCAGGTCGTGTCCCTTTGGCTGAGCCCCAAACACGTCTGGCTCTGACTCACTCAGAAAGGGGGGAGCCAGGGGAGCTGAGCTCCAAAAGGAGGAAGTGAGTCACCAGCCCCAACCGCTGCGAGCCCGGGCAGAATGCAAGTGGAATGCCACAGCACTCAGGAAAAGAAAGGTTTGGGCCAGGGACGGTTTGAGATAATGACACTGCTGAGGGGGAACGTCTGCCAGCATCCCCCCCCATAAAAACAAAACAAAACAAAATCCAGAGATGCCAGGTTGGGGTGCTAGGATCCTCTGCTTTCTCTCAGCCTTTGTACAAGGATCTATGTTGTAAATGAAAGGTGCCCCTGAAATTGGAGATACTAATTACAGCTTAAAGCCCTTTAAAGAGGAACAAGGAGTGTCCAGAACGATGATTCAAGAGCTCAGACTTTGCATTCAGGAGGCCCAGTTTTGCTCCCCACAGAAAGTTCCCCACAGCACCACTTGGAGTGACACCCTGAGCACAGAGCCAGGAGTAAGCCCTGAGCACGAGTGGGTGTGGGCTTAACCCTCAACCCCCAATTCTGACAAAAGCAAACCAACAAAAATTCTGGGGAGATGAAAAAAAAAAGAAGTTCTAGATGAAGTCATTTCCTGAAAGAAAAAAGCACGGCCTGGAAATAGAGAGAGAGTTCCAAGGGCTGATCCCAGGGTTCACTCATAGGACACCTGGGTTCTACCACCCAGTAATGCTTGGACCCCAAAACACTGCTGGTAATGACCCCCCTGAGCACAAAGCCAGGAATAGTTGCGAAGCATAGCTGGGTGTGGCGTGCGCGCGCGCACGCGCGCACACACACACACACACACACACACACACTCTGCAGTCCTCTGGGTTCAGGATCCCTGAGAACACTGGGAATCAGAGAGAAGCTGGAGGAGAATCTCAACTCCCCAGGGGCATTAATGCCATTTCAGGAAGGAATCCATTCAGCCACCAGCCATCATCCACCCATCCATCTCTCCTATCTCCATCCATGGGTCCATCCTCTTTCTGGGGTGGGGGGGGGGGGGAAGCTCAGTCAAGGGAAGCTCAGTCAAGTGCCCCTGGACCAAACCCTCCATCTCTCTCCGACAGCAATAGCAACCCTCTCCCAGGGGCTCCTGTGGATTCCAACGTTCCCAAGTTCTCTGCTCCAAGCCCCCCAACCCTGAAAATGTTCTTGGAGCTTGTTCTGGGACTTTCCCAGGTCGCTGAAGGGCAGAGCTAGTCCTAAGTAGGAAAAGGATCATTTACTTATTCGCCGGGGTGTGGTCAAATGCACAAGAAACTCCTTTAAACTATCTGGGTGGGAGACACAGAGATGGGAGGCGTTTAAGGCACTTTCCCCGCATGCAGCTGACCCAGGTTCCATCCCCAGCGCCCCATCGGGTGCCCAGAGCTCTGCCAGGGTGAAATCCTGTTTCGTTTTATGTCGTTCGGGGCCACACCCAGCTCTGCACTCAGGAGTCGCGGAGGTGAGGCGGCACCCTCTGGGGAGCTGGTGGGGGTGCCCGGATCGAACCTGGGTCAGTCTCCTCCCCGCTGGACTACCTCTCCGTCCCCGATTAAACCAATGTTCATCAACAAATAAAACCACCACGAAAACTAGTCTCTAAACCAAACACAAACGGAGAACATCCCCCACCCCAGTCAAGACTGCGGTGAGCGCCAGGTGCTCAGAAAAGTTTGCGTCTCACAGAGCGGGGGCGGGAGGAGAGTGAAGGTCACGCACAGCAGCCTGGGAAGAGCGGGAGCGGGAGCGGGGGTCCCGGGACCCCCGGCCCTGAGGTCGCCTTTGTAACCCACCGCCGCGCTCCTCCATCCTCAGGGCCGCGCGCGTCCCGGCGACAGGCCCCGCCCCGAGCCCGCTAGCCACGCCCAGAGCCCGCGGGCCTCCGCGAACGCCGCCTGCCATTGGCCAAGGGGAGTGGCTCGAGGCTCGCCTGTTTGAGCCGTGGCCAATGGGAGAGGCGAGGGCGGGCCTCGGGACTGTAGGCGGGGTTGGAGGCGGTGGCCCGGGAGAGACGCGCGCCCGGGGCTGGGCTCTTCCCGGCCGTGGCGCTTTCAGGGTGCACAAAGGCCACTTCGGGGCTGGGGTCGCCAGTACATGCTCGGGAGAGGCGTGTGTGGGGCAGGCACCCTCTAGTAGCCCCTCTGCATCCTCGCCTGGCTCGCCCTCACCCCTAGGATGACCGCGCGGGTTGCACGCGCCCTCCTGCCCTGAAGTTGTGTTGGGGTTCCCCGCTCTGCTGAGCAGTTCCCGGATTTCCTCTCCATCCAGCTTGGAAGAACTTGGTCCCAACAAGGATGAAAAGTGATGTTTTCCACTTCTACCCACCACTCCCTCGCCCCCACGTACAAAATTAACTCTAAAGGGGCGTCCCCACGTCCTGGGGCCAAGGAAGGGGGTTCCCCCCTAAACGCGCGGCGCCTCCGATTCAGCCTTACCTGCAGCCCCCGCCGCGGCGAGGAGCAGGGCGACGACCCAGCGCAGTAACCAGCTCGCAGATCTCATGTCCCCAGCGTCACCCCGGCTGTCCCGTGTGTCCGCCGCGCTGCACTGCCCGGCACGCGGGTCCCGTCTTTTGCAGTCTTTCAATGCGGCCTTTCTCGCGGGGGCGGAGTCTGCAGTGGGGTGATTTTCAAATAATGTCCATCCACACCGGCGCGGGAAGGAGGAGTTTCGCAGGCCCGGGGCACATGGAGTCCTTAACCCTTGATGCCCGGGCTGCCAGTTGGGGAGCTACAGCTACGCCTGGAAGTCTCCCTGAACGACGCTTCCCTCAACCCACGTCACTGTGGAGGGGTCCGGACTGTCCTTTCAAAACCATTTCACCGTCTAAGGAAGCCCCCTCCCCAGGCCAGATAGCACTAGGGGTGAAGTCTCGTTTGCTTTGCATGTGACAGACCCATTAGGTCTCTGATACCCAGGCCCTGAGTCCAAAGTCAGGATAAGCCCTGAGCACAGTCCAAGTGGTCCCCAAACCAAAATAAAGACGGATCCCACCTGCCATTTAAAGAGAAAATAACTTCTTGGAAACCCCACCCTATCCCACCCCAATTCCTTACTTTCCTTTGCCTTTTCCGATCTAGGAATTGTATAGATTTTAAACCAAATGCACCCATCTACCGTTTTGGAAAATGCGCTGCCAAATCGCTGTATAGATAGGAAATCAATGTGGCATTTAAATACAATGTGCAGGGTGAATTCCAGCTCCACGCTACTTATCGTTCCAGGCTCCTGGGTGAATTGGAAGCCAAAAGCATCTCTAAAGCCATTGACCTTTCAGGACCCAGGGCCTGGACAGAGATATCGATTTCTCCTTTCAGGAGTTCAGCAAACAGATAAGCGGCTCATCCTTCCCAAAGCAAAAATCAAAACAAAATGAAGTTTGTTCTATTGCATCTGAACTCCCGAAACCCCAGTCCATTGCTGTCTGGTCAGTGTGGGTGGGGAAGAGGCTTCTAAGAATCAGGGGTCTCTCTGGGGATGCATGTGGCATCAGGGACCTCTTGCCAAAAAAGGCAGCTGTGAGAATCTTGTTTGGGGCCACACCCTGTGGTGCTCAGGGCCTACTCCTGACTCAGTGCTCTGGTGGTCACTCTCTGGGGTATGGGGGGGACCGCGCAGTACTGAACATTAAACCTGGGGTTCCTGTGTGCAACTGTAGTCCTTTAAGCATCCCTGGGCTTCTGTCTCAGGGGCCATTTATGGTGCCAGGGATGGAACCAGGGTCGTCTGTGCCCAGCAAGCACCTTGTCACCTCTGTACTGTCTCTCTGGGCACCCCCTCCCTGCCATGGGTGAGATGTGCCTGAGTCCACCAGGGGTCTGGCGGTTTTGCAGGCTCCCCACTGCCCTGGCCAATGGTAGGGTTCTGATACAGAAGAGGCAGTGGGTGGAGGAAACCTTCAGAAAGAAAGAGGTTCCGAGCGAGCTCTCTTTGGAGACACAGATACTGAAATTGAAATGATAGATTAGCACAGCCCTGGGCAAAGATGACTCGCATATTTATGAAGGACTCCATGTCTGAGAAAAGAAAAGAGGGTCACAGACAAGGACTTAACTTTGTGGCGAGATATAATGATTTTCACATTTTCCTTTGCTGAAGAAGTATTCTTGGTTACTGTTAGCCATTTAGTTATAACAAGCAATCTAACAAATTGCTGTGTGTTGGCTAAGCGGGCAGGTTTGCAAAATTGAGAGAGTGGTGGAGGGAAGGTTACTGGTGGTGGCATTGGGTTGGCATCAAAAGCTCCTAACAAATGTATTATGAACAACTTTGTAAACCATGGTGTTTAAATAAAGTGTTTTATTACTTTTTTTAAAAGCGGTCTATCCAGGGGCTGGAGAGATAGCACAGCGGGTAGGACGTTTGCCTTGCACGCGACTTCCCAACATTCTATGTGGTCCCCTGAGCACTGACAGGAGTAATTCCTGAGTGTAGAGCCAGGAGTAACCCCTATGCACTGCTGGGTGTGATCCAAAAATAATAAATAAATAATTAAATAATTAAAAAAAAAAAGCGGTCCGTCCAGAGGAGGAAGGCACCAGCAACTTTGAGCAGTTTGGAGCCTCAAATTTGTGGGTTTTTTTTTTTTTTTTGGTTTTTGGGACACACCTGGCAATGCTCAAGGGTTATTCCTGGCTCTGCACTTAAGGATCAGTCCTGGTGGGCTCAGGGTACTCTATGGGACACTGGGAATCAATCCCCGTTGATTGTGTGCAAGGCAAGTGGCCTCCTACCTGCTTTTTATTTATTTATTTTTGCTTTTTGGGTTACACCCGGCGATGCACAGGGGTTACTCCTGGCTTTGCACTTAGGAGTTACTCCTGGCGGTGCTTGGGGGACCATAGGGGATGCTGGGGACCACAAACCTGGGTCGGCTGCATGCAAGGCAAATGCCTTTCCTGCTGTGCTATCGCTCCAGCCCCCTATCTGCTTGCTTGCTGTGGTTCCTCTGGGAGCCAGCATTTGCTTTGTTTTCACCCCTTCAACAGCATCTGCCCCAGTTGCTTACAAATCAACAGCTCTTTGGGGTGGCCTGGAAAAATACTCCGGACCAGTCTTTTTGATTTTGGGGGCCGCAGTGGCAGTGCTCAGGGTTGACTCCTGGCTTGATGCTCGGGGGTCACTCCAGAAAGGTTTTGGGACCCTATGGGGTGCTGGTGATTGAACCTGGGTAGCTTTGTGCAAGGCAAGCACCCTCCCCACTGCCCTGTCGCTCCGACCTCCCACTGGTCTTTCTTACAATATTTTAATTTTTTAGCTTTTTGGGTCACACACAGCAATGCACAGGGATCACTCCTGGCTCTGCACTCAGGAATTACCCCTGGCGGTGCTCAGGGACCACATGGGGACGCTGGGAATCAAACCCGGGTCGGCTGCGTGCAAGGCAATGGCCCTACCCACTGTGCTATTGCTCCAGCCACCCCCTCCCCCCCACCATGGTCTTTTTAGGAATCACTTAGGATGTGTCCAGAAGGACCATTTGTTATGAGACTCCCAGTAAGAAGTCACCTGCATGGGGGGGGACGAGGGACCAGCCCAAGCCAGCTGAGCTGTGGCTTTGCCAGGCTGGTGACAGGAAACCAGCAGGGAGTGAGGGCGGAAAACTGGAGTCCTGGGAGGCTCTGAGCACTCGATCTGGAGTGGTGTTGGGGGGTTCAGGTGGGGACCGAGGAGGGGAGAGGAGCCGGGAGCGACAAGATACTTGGGAAGGGGCTGGGCTGATTTGGGTGCAGGGGGGCCCAAGAGTGTGTTTGGGGGTGGACGGAGGAGCAGGATGAAGTGGAGAGACCAGGGAAGTTGCTGGCGTGGGAAGCTCTGGAGATGCTTGCCCCGACTCTTTCGCTGGTGCTCAGGCGCTGCTCCTGGAGGTACTGGGCGCTGGGGGGCCACCCGTGGGAACAGGACGTGGGGCTGTCACGTGGGCATCAGTCACGGGAAGTCCTGGATGGTGCAGCGGGCTCCTGCCATGAGCCCACCACCTGGCTTCCCAGCCCTTCACGGGGCATGTCCCCCGGGTCCCAGCCAGGGGCAGGGGCCCCTGTCACCTTCCCAGCATCAGCTCCTGCAGTGGCAGTTGTAACTGGCCCCTGAAGGCCTCTGACACTGCAGGGCTGTGTGTGCAACCCCCACCGGGCCTGACCGGTGTCAGCTGAAAAAGGGACTGAGGCCCCACCTGGAGGAGGAGGGGCCGGGGGTGGGGCGGCAGGTGCCCAGGCTGGTGTTGACCGGCGTCATCAGGGGCCTCAAGCCAAGGTCAACACAGCAGAGTCCGGCCAGGCCTGCAGCACCGACCCTGACCCCTCCACGCCCCCTATCCCAGGCCAGCTGTGGTGTCTCAGCACGTGCTGAGGGGTCAGTCACCATTGGAAATATAGAAACGGGGGCCACCGGAGGGGGCACAGGGCGAGGGTGTGTGGCCCAAGTGATTGCTGAGCACTATTAGTGTGGGACCCACTCAATCCCCCCACCCCCCATTGCCAGGAGGATACAAAGCAGCATCTCACGGTGCTGGTTTGCCCAGAGCACGGGGACGGGGTGTCTACCAGCAATAGGGGACCCCAGTGAGAGCCACACCTGGCAATCTAGGCCTCCCGGGGTCACTGAGGGGAGGTGCAGGGAGTAAGTGCGCCACTGGCCACCTGTGCACCTGTTCCGAGCGGTGATGTGGGCCCAGGGCCCACAGGAGCTGGGTAGGGCAGAGGCTAGTGACCGCAAAGAGCAAGGGGGAGTGGACTCGAGGGTCTGAGTCCAAGAGGGCTGACCTGGAGGGTGGATGGCTCACTGCGATGCCTACAGGGAAGTGGCTAAAAAACAGGACCCAAGAGAGGACAGCGGCCGACCTGGGTTTGATGCCTGGTACCCCCAGGGTCTCCCAAGCCCCGCTAGGAGTGATTCCTGAGCACAGAGCAAGTCAGCCCTGTGCACTGCCAGGTGCGGCCCCCAAAGAAAACAAAGGCCAAGTGTGGGGCTGGGGATCCGTGTCCAAGGGCTGAGTGCAGCATTGCTCACAGCAGACCTGGGTTCCAACCCTGGTGCCAGTCTGGGCCCTGGGGCACTGCCAGGAGTGATCCCCGAGCACTGAGTCAGGAGTCCTCCCGGGGCACAGCCGGGTGTATCCCCAAAACACAGAAGAGGGAGAGGAAGACAGTAAGGACAAGAATGGGAAATGCAAACACCAGGCCTCCCAGAACCAATCCAGCTCTTGGAGATGAAGCCATGGGTAGACCTGAGCAGGAAGGGGCCGGCCACCCCACTTCCTCTGGGGCCCAAGGCCAGGACGCAGAGCCACTGCCAGCCCCTGGAGCAAACTGGAGGCAGTCGCAGGGGGAGACGGGCTCGCTGGACAGAGGCTGGACAGAGGGCGCCGTGGCTGTGCTCATCTGCTCATGGCACGCTCTCTGGGGGTCCCCGCAGGCCCCGGCTGCTGGGAAGGCCCCACGGTAACAGCACCCAGTGAGGCCCGAGTCGAGGTACAGAAGGACACAGCAGCAGCGGGGACTGTGTTGTCATCGGCTTAATTTATTACTGTTTGACATCCAGTGACACTGACATTCGCCGCCAGGCCTGAGGCCCTGGCCCGGCGGGTGTGGCCTGTCCGAGAAATACAGTACGAGGAGGGGCCGGCTACACGCATGCACCCCCGGCCCACACGACAGTGGTCCCCACCGCGGCTACCAGGGCTCCCCGCCGAGGGAGGGGGGAGCCGGTGGCATCCACCCGCCCCCTGCACCCCCTCTGGGCTGGGCCTTGGTGCGAACATTAATGCTCTGACCGACCACCGGCCCCAGCACCGGGGCCGGGCCGGACGCAAACAGTCCTACATCTTCTCTGTATAAATATGAGGGGGCGCGGATACACTTTCACCCCAAGTCGGAAACTACGTCAGCTGCTACCCGTTACTGCTAAGGGCTACACCGTCTTGGCTCTGGAACCAGGGGCTGGGGGGCGGCTCTGGAATGTCGGGGTTCAGTCTTCCTCGCTGCCACTTCCTGAACGGTCCTGGAGGGATGGCAGGAGAGAACGTGAGGGGTCCCCAGGCAGCGGCAGACCCTGAAACTCCTGCTCCCAGGAGGAAGAAGGGGTTCGCAGCGCTGAGCACAAGTCTGCATGTAGGGGCCTGGGCTGCCACCCCGGCACTGCAGGGTCCCCTGAGCACCCCGAAATGAAGAAGGAAGAGAATCTGTTTATGCAGTTCAGCTTTTGGTCAGCAGGCCTGCAGGACAGCGGGCACATCCCAGGGCGACCCGGTCATGGCTCGGACCCACCCAGAGATGGGGCTGCGCACCTGAGCTGGGCCATCACGGCACCCTGCTCGGAGGCGTGGGAAGTGAGAGGCATCACAGTGGGCACCAGGTGAACGTGATCAAGCCACATGCATGCCCCGCAGGGTTTTGTGACTTGATTCTGAGTTTGTTTGGGGCCTTCCCAAGGATGCCAGAGGCCTGGGGCGGGCTGTGTAGATCTTGGAGGCCAGGAGGCTGCGCTCACCTGTCACACACCCAGCCCTTCAGCCCTGGCCTGGCTGTTCCTACCCTCCCCAAGGCCCCCTAAGAGCTGTGCAATTCCGGGGGTCCTTGTGGACCACACCTGGCCCGCTGTCCTCTATCCCTTGCACAAAGGCCCAGGTCAAGGGTCACAAGGATACGACTCTGGGGATGGGAGGCTGGCACAGCTATTCCTCCTGGCCTCAGTTTCTCCATTTATGCACTGGAGGAATAGGGTACCTCCTCATGGGGTCACTTGTGTCCCTGAGGGTCCCTTGGGCCTCACCTCCTCCTGCTCCTCTTCACTGTCGTCGTCGCTCACCACTGGCTTGGCCCGAGACCCCCGGCTCGGCCGTCGCCGACCCCCCTTGAGCCGGTCCTGTGCCTTCTCCTTCCGGCCCAGCTTGATCTTCACCTTCACGGAGCGGGCTGGGGGAGCAGGGGAACCCCAAGAAGGGAGGAGGGTGCGGTAAGCCTGGGGGCAAGGACTCGTCCCCTTCCCCGGGGATCTGCATGCCCCTCCCAGGGACTCACACTCAGACTCAGAGCCTTCCTCTTCACCCTCCTCCTCTTCCTCGCTCTCCTCGCCCTCGCTGTCATCCTCCTTCTCGATTTTCTGCCGCACACTGGTGAACACGGACTGCAGCACGATGGAGTCTTCGTAGATCTGAACGGGAGTGTGGGGCACTGGAGTGGCAAAGGCCTGTGCCCCACCCACTAAACTTTCCCAGTACCCACCAAAGAGCCCCAAAGATCAGTGTGTGCCCCGCCCCTCCCACCCACCACTGACCACGCCCATGCATGGCCTCGCCCACCAAAGACCACGCCCACCCACCAGTGAGCCCTCCAGGTTGAAGGTCTGCGCGTTCTGGCACAGCAGCATCACGTCCTTCTCCAGGTCGTTGAGGCTGCGGTATTTGTGGTTGCGGATGCGCTCCTGGGCACAGTGGGAGAAAGACGTTCAGGGCTCCGCCTCGGACCCACGTATCCACACCCCCTCGGCACCCTGGTCCCACGGGGCATGGGGTCTCCTGCCCGCCCCCACCTTTATCTTCTTGAAGTCCACAGGCTTGCGGATGAGCTCGTAGTACTCCGGCAGCTCCTTGCGGGAGGGGAGCTGGATGAAGACCTCGCTCAGCTGCCGGCCGCTACTGCTGCAGGGGGCACAGGGCGGGGTCAGCGCTCCCGCAGTGTTCTGGAATATTCCCGAGATGCTGCCAAGCTTCGCTGCCTGCCCTGTGCCCCTTGCTGCCACGAGGACCATCTGCCTCGGTCCTGCAAAGCTTCCTGGCCCCGGGGAAGTAGGGAGAAGTCTGAGCTATTTAAATATGAGGCAAGGGGCTGGTGCGATAGTACAGCAGGTAGGGTGCTGGCCTTGCATGCAGCTGATTCTGGTTCTATCCCCAGCATCCCATATGGTCCCCCAAGTACCGCCAGGGGTAATTTCTGAGTGTAGAGTCAGGAGTAAGCCCTAAACATCACCAGGTGTGACCCAAATAAACAAGTAATTAAAAAATAAATAAATACATGCGAGGCAAACTTGGAGAGTGGCTGCCGGGGCCAGTTTCTCTGAGCCTGCACATGTGGGCACAAACACCGGGGGTGGGGGGTGGGGAGGGGACACACAGGAAGGGCCTGGTCTCACGGGTCCCCAGTCTGCCCCCTTCCCCCAGCCTCCTGCAATGGGTTGGGGTGCTTTCTTCCTGGATGATGAGGGGCAGTTCAGACACCAGTCTACCTTGGTGAGTGGAGGGGTGGGGGGGTCTCCCTCATCCTCTAACCAGTGTCATCAACCTCTCCGTCGAGGTGTCTCCGGATCACTCAGCCTATACCCGCCTGGCAGCTGCCCGGGACACTCAACAGCCAATCAGAGCCAGCCCCTGCCCAGGGACTCTGTGCGGATACTACTGGGTTTCTTTAACGAATGTGACAGGAGCCTGTAGCACAGAGCACTCCCCCTGTCTAAAAATGCCTCCGCGAAACTGAGGGGTGAAGCTCCCAGGCCGGGTCAGCAGGGCTGTCCTGCTCTGCCCATAAATGCGCCTGTGTGTGGGGGCCCGGCGGGGAGGCCGCGCTGCTGAGGTTCCGGGGCTACCTTCTCTCCCTCCTGCAAACCTCCAACTAGCGTCCACTTTTATTTACTTATGTCGTGTTGGGTCACAACCCAGCTGGGCTCAGGAATCACTCCTGGCAGTGCCTGGGGGACTGTGTGGGGTGCTGGGATGAACCTGGGTCGGCTATATGCAAAGAGGCAAGCGCCATCCCTGCTGGCCTAGGCCTCTAATGCTGGAGCGCTTTCATTTCTTTCTTTTTGGGTCACACCTGGCAATGCACAGGGGTTACTCCTGGCTCTGCACTCAGGAATCACTCCTGGTGGTGCTTGGGGGACCATATGGGATGCTCGGAATCAAACCCGGGTCAGCTACGTGCAAAGAAAACGCCCCACCTGCTGTGCTATCATCACTCCAGCCCCCGGTTCCATTTCTAACTAGCTTCGCCTTCTTAATTTCCTTCTGACCAGAATGTTCTGGTGATCTCAGGATCTGAGCTGAGTGTTACAAGGGCCGGCACTCGAGACTTGTGCGGGCATGGCCTGTCCCCGGGCCCCACCTCGTCGACTCTGGCCGCCAGGACGCCTTCCTGGAGACGGCCTGGCTCTTCCCTCTCACCTGTGATTTCTCCTGCGTGTGACCTCTGGCCTTGGGGCTCTCCCACCTAAGCTGCGCCAAGCGACCCTGACCCTAAGCGGCCCCCGCGCCCGCCCACCAACCTGTCCTTGTACTTGATCACGGCATCCACAATCTTCTTCATCTTCTTGGTGAGGCTGGGCGGGTTGGGCGAGAGCTTCTCGGCTGGTGGCCGCCCGCGCTTCTTCTGCTTCTTGCTCTCGTCGTCCTTGTCGCGGCTGCGCGTGCTGGCCGTCGGGGTGGAGGGGCCGGCGTCACTCTCCCGCTTGCGCTTGCGCGACGACTTCTTCTGCCGAACCTCCTCTTCGATCTCCTCCAGCGTGCCCTCCTCGATGGCCTTCAGGGTCAATAGTGGTGGAATAGGACAGCCAGCACCCAGGGCCAGGAGAGGCGCCTGCCCGGGTGGGGACCGGACACCCCCAACCCTCCTCCTGCAGGGGTGGGGGCACCATACCCCAGGGGGGCCCCTGCTGGCGTCAGCAGCACGCCGGGCACAGAAGGAGGCCACAGGTGCCTGGTAGAGTGCGTGTCATCCCCCGAACTGATGTCCCTGGAGCCCGAGAGCCCACGGGGGAGGTGGGGTTCAGGCGGGGCAGACAGGCACATACAGGCCCAGACCCGGGCCATGTGTACTCGACCCCCGGGTCCGACGAGACAGAAAAGGCCCTGCCAGGTCAGAGCGCGGCCTGAGCACACACAGCGGCTAGGAGGGTGGACTGGGGGCCCCACACCTTCCACGGGCAGCTCCACTCCCTGGAGCAGGCTCGGGACAAACCAAATCCCACCCGCCTGGGCCCAGATGTTCCCGGCAAAAGTGGGGAAGGCGCCTGCCTGGCAGGCGACCAAATGGGCTTCATATCCAGGCACTGCCCAGGGCCCCCGAGCCCCACCAGGAGTGCCGCCTGACAGCTGCTGGGTGTGGACCCTTGCAAAAAAAAGGTCCATCTCAAGTGGGCCGGGTTGACGCGATGTCTCCAGGCGTGGGTGGCAGCAGCCCCTCCCGAGCTGTACCTTCAGCCACTGCTTCTCGGTGAGCGAGTCGCTGTAGTCCACCTCCTTGCGGTGCCGCGAGCCGCGTCCGAACATCTTCTCCTCCTCCTCCTCGCACGTCAGCCGCTCCACCTCGGCGTCGTCCTTGATGATCCACGACGGCAGCTCGTCTTCCTCCATCAGCCGTGGCTTCCGCTTGGGGTTGCGGGCCTCCTCGCGCCTGCGGTCCAGGTCCATGCGCTGCGGGGCCACGGGCGGCGTCAGCCGGGGGAGCAGGCACGTCCTGGTGCCCAGCCCAGGCTCTGCTCCTGTGGCCCCCCACCGGTCCCCTGGACACTGCTGGGCACGACTCCAGCACGGCCCAGGTGGGCTCTGGCACTGCCTGGTCCACACGGCACCTTCGCAAGCGGCGCCCAACATTCCCAACCAATCAAAGCCCTGAACTGAAAATGGAGGCGGGCACCGTGAAGGACCACCTTTGCGGAGGCAAGGCCGCAGGGACATGGTAGTCCCATTCGTGAATGTGTGTTCTGGGGTCACACCCAGCAATTCTCAGGGGTCACTCCCGGCGGTGCTTGGGGTGCCAGGGATCGAACCCACATTGCCTACGTCAAGGCAAATGCTCTCCCTGCAGTCCTATCACTCGGCCTCTGCATATTTCTGCCCATTTGTCTGTCCCATGGAACGTGTGCGTCTGCGTGCGGGGGTGTGTGTGTGTCTATCTGTGTGGAGATATCTGTCTTCGAGGTGTCTGATAATTTTGTGTGTGTGTGTGTGTCTGGGCTGTGCCTGTCCCGGGTGTGCCTGTGTGTCTGTCTGGGGTGTGTGTGTCTCTGTCTGTGTATCTGTCCATGTGTCTGTCTGTGTCTATGTATATTTGTGTACACATATCTGCCCAGGCTGTGTCTACTTGAGTGTGTGTCCACGTGTCTGTACAGGCTGAGTGTGTCTGTCCAGGGTTATCTGAGTGTGTTCCTGTGTCTGTCCAGGGCTGAGTGTGTCCATGTGTCTGTCCAGGGCTATCTGAGTGTATGTCCACGTGTCTGCCCAGGGCTATATGAGTTTGTGTTCGTGTGTCTGCCCAGGGCTATATGAGTGTGTGTTCGTGCGTCTGTCCAGGGCTATATGAGTGTGTGTCCACATGTCTGTGTACCCATACATCTATGTGTCACAAGTTTACCCAGGATATACCTGTCTGTGTATGTGTCAATGTGTCAATGTGTCTGTGTGTAGGTCTGTTTGTGTGTCATGTGTCTGTCCAGAATATATCTGTCTGTGTGTCCACATATCTGTCTGGGGTGTCTGTGTGTCTGTCTGCCCCAAGAACCCCGTGCTCACCATGAACAGGTCGAACTCCTCCTCATGCCGGGCGATCATCTGGTTGACGGTCTCATCGTCGGGCACCTCATCTTCCTCCTAAAAGACGAGACAGGCTTAGCGGAGGGCTGCGAGGCCGAGCTGGGTGGCAGCTGGGCTCGGCGGCGAGCCGTGGCAGTCGGTCAGTTGGTCTGTCCGTAGGAGACGAGCTGGCGGTCTCGTTCCGGTGGGGGATGGGCACCTGGCCGGCCATGGGGTGGGGCACACGCACACGCACACGCTCGCTCCGTGGGACCAGGGCCCTGCGGGCCATGTGGGAGGTGGCGCCGAGGCTGGCCGGGGCATGGACAGTGCCCCAGCCCGCTCACCTTTAGAGGTGGCTCCTCCAGGTCGGGGTTGAGGCCCGCGGGCGGAGGGGCAGAGTGGGCGAGGCTGGCACTGCCGCTGCCCGGGCCGCAGTGTCTGCTCTGTGGATAGATAGAGGACTTCAGTCTCCCGGGCTGATGATCCATTTGGTGGCTTTTTTTTTTGGTTGCGAGAAAAAAAAAAAAAAAAAAAAAAAAGCAAATGCTCCTCTTCTCGTTCCGATCAGCCCACATTCCCTTTACTCCAAAGGGATGCAAAAAAAAAAAAAGTAAAAAGAAAAATGCAAAAAAGGTAAAAAAGGAAAAAAAAAACACACAAAAAACACCAAAAAACCAAAAATGGAAGCGGCTCAGGCGTCCAGCACTCACGCTCGGGGCGGCACGGCGGGGGGCTCACCTCGTCCTGCTCCTCGTGCTCCAGGATGGCCTGCAGGAAGGCGCGGCGCTCGTGGCTCGAGGACTTCTGGTCGAACATGCCCGCCTGGATCACCTTCTGGTCCACGTTGAGCTTGTACTTGGCAGCCGCCAGGATCTTCTCCTCCACGCTGTTGACCGTGCACAGGCGCAGCACGCGCACCTCGTTCTGCTGCCCAATGCGGTGGGCGCGGTCCTGTGCCTGCAGGTCCTGGGGGGTGGAGGTGCCGTCAGTGCTGAGGCTGGCACCCCAACTCCCTACCTGTTCCCCCAACTTTGTTTCGGGGCCACACCGGGCGATGCTCTGGGATCACTCCTGGCGGTGGCTGGGAGGCCACACGGGATGCCGGGGGTCAAACTGGACCTGCTGTGCGCAAGGGAGGTGCCTCCCCACTGTACCATCTGCTCCGCCCACAGCCCTTTCACCTTTTGGGCCACACCCGGGGATGCTCAGAGGCTGACTTTTGGCTCTGTGCTCAGGAATCACTCCTGGTAGGACCCAGGACCCTATGGGGTGGCAGGGATCGAACCCAGGGCCAGATGCATGCAAGACAAGCAACTTGCCCTTGACCTCACCAGCCTGGAAATGTCCCATTCTGCAGGACAAGGCTCCTTGAAGAAGTGCGGTTACCCAGGTCACCCATGGGTGCACTCTGGGTTGTAGGCCCCGAACCCATCTCTTGTGGCCCAGGTGCCACCCTGCCTCACAAAGTCAAAGGCACCCACCCTTTAGAGCCCCACTGCTGCTTTTTGGTTTTGGTCTTGGGGACACACCCGGCGGTACTCAGGGCTCACTTCTGAGGGACTGGGGGGAACCATACGAGGTGCTGGGGACAAACCCGGATTGGCTGCGTGCAGGGTGAAGGCCAGCCCCACTCGGTCTCTCTGGCTCCAGTGTCCTGCTTAGTTTTTTCTTCATTTTTTTTTCCTATTTATTTTTTGGCTATATCTGGCTGTGCTCACGGCCGACTCCAGGAGGAGCTTGTGGGACCACATGGGGTGCAGGGGACCAAACTCGGGTCAGCAGAGTGCAAGGCAGATGCCCTCCCCGCTGTCCTATCGCTGCAGCCCGAGTCCTGTTTCCAAATGTGGGTGGGACGCGAGCACAGTGTGGCATTGAGCGGCCAGTTGGCGGATGCACAGAGACAGAGTCCCGCTCAGTGCTCATGAGTCCGAGGCAGTCAGGCCCGGCAGCCGAGGAGAGGCTCCTGCGGCCAGGCGCCAGTGGGTGCATCCCAGGGCCCCACGAGTGGCCTCCACGTAGTGGGGTCGGGCTGGACAGCTCCACAGGTGGGGCTCTCTGAAGGGACCCTCCCCCTGGACGTGGGATGTGTCCTGCGCATTTCCGGGCCCTTGTCAAGAACCCTCTGGCCGAGCAGGAGGGGCTGAACCACACGCACACCCCGGGAAGGGCTGGGATCAGAGGTCCGCGTGTGTGGGCAGAGGGTCTGGGGCAGGGGCAGTGGGTGGAGAGGCCTGGCAGGTGGCATAGCGGAAGAGGGTGCATGGCACGGCCACCAAGATGGGATAGTTAACAGCTTGCTGAAGAGGGCGGGGCCGAGCTAAGGGTAGGACCAGGGTCTCTGGCGCAGGCGGCCAGCCAGACCCCCATGCAGGGCTGCGTGCGCAGGGACAGCCACAGTGGACAGCTCCGCAGGATGCAGGAGTCATGAAAGGCACATGGGCTGCTGGCAGGGAAGGTGGGCAGGGGCGGGCGCACGCAGGTGGAAATAGCCACACAGACTGCTCCCTGGCCGTGTTCAGGTTTGGGATTTTATTTTTGTTTTAGAGCCACACTGCCAGTCCTCCGCGCTGGTTCAGCACTGGTGCTTACTCCTCGCTGTGTGCTCAGGGATGACACCTGGCACTGTGTCTAAGGCGAACTCCAAGCCCTGCACTTAGGGCTGACTCCTGGCTCTGCGCTCAGGACAGACTCCTGCCTCTGTGCTCAGGGTTGACTCTGGGCTCTGCGCTTAGGACTGATTCCTGGCTCTGCACTTAGGACTGACTCCTGCCTCTGGGCTCAGGGCTGTCTCTGGGCTCTGTGCTCAAAGATGACTCCTAGATCTGCACTCAAGGCTGACTCCTAGTGGGGTTCCAGAACTGTATGTGGTTACAGGAATTGAACCCGGGTTGGCCACGTGTAAGACCAGTGCATTTCCTGCCGTACTACCACTCTAAGCCTCTTCTGTTTTTTGTTGGGGCCTCCTCCCTAACAGTGCTTGGGGAATGGAGAGCTATATGTAGTGTCCTGGGGACTTAACTGGGGTCTTAACTGGGGTGCTCTCCTTCTTTTCTTTTAAAAGAAATTTTTTTTTTTTCCTTTTAGGATCTCATCTGGTGATGCTCAGGGGTTACTCCTGGCCCATGCACTCAGGAATTACTCCTGGCAGTGCTCAGGGGACCCTATGGAATGCTGGGAATGGAACCTGGGTTGGCCGCATGCAGGGCAAACGCCCTCCCACTGTGCTCCTAGGGCTATCACTCCAGCCCCGGATGCTCCCCTTCTGACCTATCTCCCAGCCCCCAGAAGATGCTGGTAGCAAAGGGACCCCGTGCTCCGTAAGAACAACAAGCCATAGAGGGTATCAAGGATGGTTGCAAGCCGGGCTAGTGCTGCCCCCAGTCCTGGCCCCTGGATGAAGGTCAGACGCGCCCACAGCTGGTGACGGTCAGGAGCAGCACCCTCAGCCCCTCACACCTGCCCAGTCCAGCTCGGCTCCAGTGCCCTGCAGAGATTCTGGCTCAGAGAAACCCAGGGTCCTCCTGGGCTCTTCCAAAAGGACCGGCACCCCCAGCCCCTACGCCCTGCCCTGGCCAGGCCAGCTGTACCTGGTGCGGGTTCCAGTCGCTGTCGAAGATGATGACGGTGTCGGCCGACTGCAGATTGAGGCCCAGGCCGCCAGCACGTGTGCTCAGCAAGAAGATAAAGTACTCGGAGCCCGGCTCGTTGAAGGTCTTCAGCAGCATCCCCCGGTCCTCAGCCTTGGTGGTGCCTGGGCCGGCCCATGGGAGAGAGTGGGAAAGAGGTGAGTTGGAAGGAGCCTGGAGGGAACTGCGGAACCCAGCAGTCCAGGGGAAGCGCTGGACCCCAACTGGACAGAGGCACCATGTGAAGATCCCCAAAACTCAAGCTGCTGGAGGCCGCATCGCTAGGAGACTACGCACAGCTGAACTGCCCCGTGGCTCGAGGCCATGCCAGGGGCCTTTTCAGGGAGAGGCGATGCCTGGAGCCTGGCAGCTCTGGCAGGGTGGGGGCCAAGCTGGGTTCCCGCACAGGGAACGATGCCGTCTCACGGAGGTCCCCTCACCCAGCCCTGTCCACCCCCAAGTCCAGCTGCACAGTCAGACGTGAAGGAGAACAGCCCGAATAGAGGGCTGCCTGCAAAGGCCTGGCCACCAACACCACACCACCTGGGAGACAGGCCCTGGGGACCAAGGGGAGGCAGCAGAAGCTGCGGGGAAGGAGGAACCCCAATTCTGCACGGCCCTCAGGTGAGCTGGGGCATGGCAGGTGTTACTCCCAGAGAGCTGAGCATCCCTCACCCCCACCGTAAGCACCAGGGGACAAGGGGCTCCCAGATCCTGGAGCAGAGCACGGAGAGGTGCCGTGAGGAGAAAGCCCTGCTGAGGGCACACTGGATGCACCGAGCCTGGGCACCTGGATCCTGCTGCACCTGAAGCCCATGAGCCTCTGCAGTCTGGGACAGCCTGCGGGGAGTGGAGCTTCCCGCACTCCCAGCTGGAGCCAGCCTGGCAGGGCCAGGGCCCGCCACCTTCCCTCTCAGGCCTGCATCCTGAGCCACTCGAGCTGCGGCCGGGAGGACAAAGGAGGCCCTGGGCCCCTGGGTTTGCAAGTGGGAAGCCCCGGCCCTGGTGTCTGCCTGCTCACCGTCCAGGCGCAGATACTTGAAGCCGCGGTAGGCGAAGTAGTCCTCCATGATGGTCATGAGCGAGGTCATCTGGCAGAAGAGCAGCACTTTGTGGCTGGTGGCTCGCAGCTTGGGCAGGATGCGGTCCAGCAGCTCGAACTTGCCGGAGGCACGGTACAGGTCCAGCCTGGGGTGGAAGAAACTGGACCTGAGCGTGGGCCCCGGGCGCCCGCAGCCCCCCACAGGGCAGGGCTCAGAGCACCACTGGAGAGCCCAGCTGTGGCTCAGGAGACGTCACGTGCCCCTGCTTGGGACACGGGTTCCATCATGGGGGAATGCGGGCAGAGCCGGCCCTGGTCATTAAGAACTGGGCTGGGTGGTGGCCCCCAGATACCACAAGGGCCCCTCATACTGGCAGAAACAGTTCCTGAGCACCCCAAAGTCAGAGTGTCCCAGCCACACCTGCCCATGACCCCCGGAGTCACGGCCCACAGGCCCAAGATGCCGCTGCCTCCCGCGTCTGCATGTCTGCCCCTCCCCCCAGCTCTCGCGGCTGTCGCTCCTTCCGCCTCCCTTGACAGAGAAGCAGTGTCCAGGCCACCCCGTGAGGCCCGCCGGGTCCTGCCTCCCGCCCATGGCACCCCACGTGACTTACCCCTGCACAATGCCACCAGTGAAGCCCAGGTGCTCGGAGAAGGACTCCTGCAAGGAAAGACGGGGTGTCAGGGGGGCCTGCTCCAGCGCTCCCCAGGGCGCGCGGCAGGCTCGGTGGGGTGCAGGACGGGATTGGGGCGAGTCCGGGCCGCACCTCGATGTGCTGGAACATGTAGGGGTGGTTGCAGATCTTGCGCAGCTGCATGATGGTGTTCATGAGCGTCTTGGTGCCGCCCTTGCCCTGTGGAGCAGAAGGGCGCTTAACAGTCTGCTCGTAAACCGAGAGGGGAAAGGAGGGGTGCAGAGGGAAGAAGGGCCGGGAGGGGGAGGGGTGCCTGGTGGCGGCGCCCACCTTCTTGTCCTTCTCGGAGCCGTCGGTGAGCAGCACGCCCTTGGCCTGCATGTGTCGGTACAGCACGCGCTGCAGCGCCGACATGTCGCACTTGATGACGTACTCCACCTGCGGGCGCGACAGGGCTCAGGCGGGCCGGGACCCCCACCTCCCCACCTCCCCACCTCCCAGACCCGGGACCCCTCACCTTCTCGGGCAGCTGCGCCTCGACCTCCTTCTTGAGGCGCCGCAGCAGGAAGGGCCGCAGCACCTTGTGAAGTCGCCGGATAATGAGGATTGTCTCCTCCTCGTTCAGGTCCACCTGTGGGCAGCCCACCCGTCAGCGCTGGGCTTTGCGGATCCCCGCCCTCCCCCGAAACAAGCCTGCGGGTCAGAGGCGGGGCTCGCTCCCCAGATGGGGCTGTACAAACACCCTAAGGGCTGGACCGAAGGGGGTGTCCCAGAGCCCCTTTTAGCTGAGCATGGGGCGATGCGGCAGTCTAGAGCCGGCGGGGTTCCATCCCTGGCACCACAGAGCGTCCCCCAAGCCCTGCCAGGACCCTGAGTGCAGAGCCAGGAGAGAGACCTGAGCACCGTGCTGGTTAGCGCTGGAGCTGGGTACAGGAGCCGGCCCAGGAGGCCACGCTCAGGCCCCACATGGTCCCCCGCATGCCAGAATATAGTCAAGGTCAAAATAAGAGGGTTTTTTTCCCGCCCACACCCAGCGATGCCCAGGGGTTACTCCTGGCTCTGTGCTCAGGAATCACGCCTGGCGGTGCCTGGGGGATCATATGGGATGCCAAGACTCAAATCCCAGCCAGTCACATGCCAGGCAAGTGCCCGCCCTGCTGGACTATCGTTCCAGAAGTACGTTTTTGAGGCCACATGGCTGGAGGACCCCACGTCATAGCTCTGGAGCCTGGGCCCTCCACCCTTCCCTGGCACCACCTACCTTCTCGCCTGTCATGGCGAAGGGCGCGTTGAACCACTGCTCGAACGTGCTGCAGCTCTTGAAGATGGTGGGGAGGAGGAAGTTGAGCAGCGCCCACAGCTCGGGGAGCTTGTTCTGCAGCGGGGTGCCCGTGAGCAGCAGGCGGCGGGGGGCCACGTAGTGCGTGTTCAGCACCTGCGTCAGCTTGCAGTGGTGGTTCTTCATGCGGTGGCCCTCGTCCACGATCATGTACTTCCAGCGGATCTGTGGGAAACAGGGCCCAGCAGGGGGTGGGGGCGTCATCCCAGCACCTTGGGGCGGGGACCCAGGCCCCTGAGCACTGACTAGAAGCAACAAGGCCCATGCAGCCCCAGCGCAGGCCCTCCAGACACGGGCCCACAGCCAGCAGGGGCCGTGGGACCCCCGCACCTTGGCCAGGATGTGCTTGTCCTTGATGATGTACTCGTACGTGGTCAGCAGCACATTGAACTTCCCACTGCGGAGCTGTGGCACAAAGGCGCGCCGGGCGGCGGGGGAGCCCTATGGGAAGAGGGGCGCGGGCCTCAGCAACCCCTGTGCCCCATGGCAGGGAGGCCACTCAGGCCTTTGGGGGGCCTGGATCGCCGGCGGGGTATGCCCGGCATCCTTGCTCCCCGCAGGACTGAGCAGCTCTAGGAAGCCTGCAGGCCCACTGACAGGGATACCCTGGTTCTGTGGCGAGGTGTCGAGAGGGCTCTGAGCCCCTGGAGCAAGCACTCCCGTGACCCCTGCCCCCCACAGCCGCCCAGTACTGAGTTCGAGGTCTTGCTAGTGATGTGAGACCTCGGCAGGGGCCCGGCACGGCCGAGAGTCCGTCCTTGCATGAGACAAAGCTCAGGGGAGAAGAAAATCCAGAGGGAACTGGGGACCCCTCAGTCAAACAAGTACCGCCACCCCCAAATTGCCCGTGACCCCAAAGCCCCCCTACCTTGTAGGACACCTTCACCACAGACGGGGCCCACTTGTCGAACTCATATGCCCAGTTGGACAGTGTCCTGCGAGGAAGAGGGGGGTTGGGGAGGGGGCATCGGACCCCAGCAGGGGCAGGTGGGGGCCACACCAGCCAGGTACAGGGAGGGCTGCCTGCATGGGGGTGCCGGACCCTGAGAACTAGGTTAGCCCCAGGTTCTGGAGTCAGCGCATGAGGGGAGGAAACACGGCGACGCCCGGGGAGCGTGCATTGGGTTCCCAGAGGGGCGACCCTACACGGGGCAGGTCTCGATGGGGGGCGAGGGAGGGGAGGCGGAACGCACGAGAGCGGCACGATGATGAGGAAGGGGCCGTTGATGCGCTTGTGCTCCATGAGGTATGTGATGAGCGCGATGGTCTGGATGGTCTTGCCCAGGCCCATCTCGTCGGCCAGGATCCCGTTCAGGTTGTTGTTGTACAGAGACACCAGCCACTCCAGGCCCTTGATCTGCGGGCCGGGCGGGGGGACAGGTGGCTGAAGGGCAACGGCCGTGGCTCCTCGCGGTCCTCCCGGTGCCACCCCGCACAGGCCCGGGCTTCTCTGCCATGCGTGAGCCCCTTCGGGACCTCCGGACATTCCCACAGGGGCCGAACGGTGGATCGGGCTGGTTAAGGGGCGCACGGGTCGGCCCCTGAAGAGCGGGGCAGCTGGGCAGTCAAGGGCTCTCCGACCTCCAGCAGGCCGGGCCCATCCCGGGGCAAGGGGGCCACCCTGTGCCCCACGAAGGCGCCTCACCTGGTACTGCTTGAGCACGCCGTTGACCATGAGCGCAGACTGCTTGTCCACGCGCTCAGTGACGGCGTGGGCCACGGCGTAGTAGGACTGCAGCCCGCGCGCCAGGGCCTGAGACACGCCGTACTCGTCATCCACATCCTGCTTGGCATTCCTGAAGGTGCCCAGGACAGAGTCCGTGTGAGGACACCGCGGGCATAAGACTCCCCCCACAACGATCTGCTCAGAGCCCCACACCCCAACAGTACTGGGAGGCCCCGGGTCCAGTGCTCACTCGATGATGTGGCGGGCGTCCACCTCAGAGACGTCATCGCTGTCAGGGTCTGGAATCTTCTTCTTCTCCTCCACGGGCAGCGCGGGCGGCTGTGCAGGCTGCGGCTGCTCCTCCTCCTCCTCCTGCAGGGACCGGCCCACGGCACAGCTCGCCAGCTCACCCACCACTCACCCACCGCACCGGATGCGGAACGCACCTGCCCCTCTCTTTCCTCACCCTCACTCTCCTCACCCATCACCCACTCACCTCACTCACCTCACTGCACTCTCACCAATCCCACCCGCATAGAACCAAGGCGGGCTCCCGCAGTCTAGGGAGCTTCCTGTCTGTCCCCCTGCTGTCCTCCTGACCAAAATCATTCCTTCGTTCAGTGTCCCACCCCGTAGTAACAACCAGGGCAAAGATGGACAAAAAATCAGAAAACGGCGAAGCCTGGCCGAACAGAACCTTCTGGGACCAGAGTGACAGTGCCGCAGGAAAGGAGCTGGCCGTGCATGTGGCCAGCCCAGACCCGATCCCAGCAAGTGGGAGAGAGATCCCTGTGCGTGGTCAGGAATGAGCCCCGAGCACTGCCAGGCAAGGCCGGGGGGAACGTGGGCAGGGGTGGTGCGGGGTGAGTGCGTGAGAAATTCGACCGCGGACGCGACCTTCACCCTGACAGCTGCACATGAGGACCACAGGGCAAGTGGCAGGGCCCCAGTGTGCTCTGGCGGACAGATGCGGCGGGTGCAGCCCCTCACCTCCTCTTCCTCTTCGGAGCCGCTTTCCTCGCTGTCCGATCTGGGAGCCACCTCGTACCTGGACGGACAGAAGCAGCAGTGTGGACGTGCAGCTCAGGGTGCGGACGGACCCCGTCCCCTCAGGCAGGAGTGTGCTCACCCCACTCACCCCGGGTTCATCTCGAGCCAGGCCTCCAGCTGGCCTGCCTTGGGGGCATCCGTGCCCGTGAGGATCTTGCCGCTCTCCACATGGATCACCTTCACCGGCAGGTCGCTCATCTGGCTCGTCTCATCCAAGGGCTACAGAGAGTTGCGCTGTGATGCACGGCCCCCGGGGCGCAGGGCCCCCCAACCCCCGCGTCACAGGAGCCCCCGAGCAACACAGGGAGCGAGCCCTGAGTCACGAGACAATCAGAAACACACAGAAAAAGTGGACATGTGTGCGTGTGTAGTCCAGGATGAAGCCCAGGGACCAGCCCGGGAACCGCCACCGCGTCCTCACCTCCCCATCAGGGCCGATGGCGGGCGTCTGTCCCTCTGCGTTTTCTGCCTTCTGAAAAGAAAAAAAAAAAAGAAAAACGGTGAGAACAGGCGCCACAGATGCCACTAACCCTGCCCGCCCCACCTGACCAGACCTTCTTCTTCTTCTTCTTCTTCTTCTCCTTGGCCACCTGCGCGGCCTTGTGCTGGCGCACCAGCTCGGTGAGGTTGGCCACGTACTCGTCTGTCTGCTGCAGGAGGTAGGCCAGCCGCTTGTCCTTCTTCTGGTCAATGAGTTTGCGGTAGCCCTCCTCGTCCTCCGCCTGCCACGGTGAGGTCAGTCAAGAGCGGTCCCTCACCACCACCCCTCCCTCCACCCGCCCAAACCCTGCCCTGCATCCCTGCCTCCCACATCCATCCTTCAGAAGCAGGTGCTGCAGCCCTCGGCCCCCTCCCCAAGACACTCCCTCGGGTTCAGTGTAAAGGTCAGGGCACCCTGCTGCCCTGTGATGCCCCCGGGACCCCCCCATCCTGGCTCTCGGCGCTCATGCCCTTCCCACCCCGTCCATCCTCTCCCTTGCCCTCTGCACCTCCCAGCACCCCCATTTCATGGAGGATCTCCCTGAGGGCAGGGATCGCCCCATCGGCCCCACGGGAGCCCGTCCAGAGCTGAGCCCCGCACCATGAGCCGCCGCATGCGCTCCTTCTCGATGCGCTCGTTCTCCTTCTTCTGCTCGCGCTCCGTGTTGGCGTGGTAGGTGGCCACCGCCTTGGTCAGCTTCTGGATCTTGCCTGTCACCGAGCGGTGGTACTCCTTGAAGTCCTTGGCGTGCTGGAGGATGCTGTTGAGGTATTCCTGCGGGCACACGGACGGGGCGATGAAGGAGCACCGCTGGGGCCACGCAGCCTCCCAGATGACAGAGGCCCACCATGTCCCCCAGGCCAGGCCCGTCCCCACAGGGCCCTCACCTGGTGCTTCTGCCGGCGCTTCCGCTCCTGCTCGATCTTCTGTTGCTTCTCCAGCTTCTCCGTGATGCGGGCCTCGCGCAGGGACTGTCGCTTGCTGCGCTTGTAGGCCTTGGCGTTGAGCGCCGTCTCGAGGGCCGTGTCCCGCCGCATGCACACCACCACCTCCTGCCGCAGCTGCGGGGCAGCGGGCAGGCATGGCGCCATCAGGCCTGCTCTTCCCTGGGCGCCCAGCAGGGGTCGCCCACGGCCCCCCTCCCCACTTTGAGCACCATTTTTTTTACGAGTTTTTTTTCTTTCAAATAAGTTTTTTTTCTTTTTGCTTTTTGGGTCACATCCGGCGATGCATAGGGTTTATTTCTAGCTTTGCACTCAGGAATTACTCCTGGCGGTGCTTGGGGGACCATATGGGATGCTGAGAGTCAAACCCAGGTCAGCCCGTGCAAGGCCAACGCCCTGCTACTATCACTCCAGCCCCCTTTAAATAAGTTTTTCTATAGTTCTTGGGATGCACCTGGCAGTGCTCAGGGATCACTATTGATGGGGCATGGGGGACCCTATAGGGTAGCAGGGAAAAAACCCTCACTGGCCACGTACAAAGTGGGCACCCGCCCCACTGCACTATTGTTCTGGGCCTCAAGCGCCTTCTCCTAAGGGACTACTGCAAATAAAAAACCACTGGTCCCCATGGAAACTGGCCTGGCCTAGCCCACTGCCTCGCAGACCACACTTCCTTGGGAGGGAATGCCGGGGGAGTAGCCAGTCCGCAGACCATCCTGGGACAGCTCGGGGGGCAGTGCTGGAGGATATGAACTGGGTGGGGCAGGCTGCAGGCAAGGAGCCCCTCGGGCGGGGCCTGCACCCACCTGCCTCTGGAAGTTGAGCAGCCGGAGAGCCTTGAGCTCGATGGTCGCTTTGGTTCGCAGATCTCCGGCCAGGGAGCCGGGGAGGTTTTCGAGTTCCTGAATTCGGTGTGCGATGCGCGCCTGCAGCCTGGTGGGAAGGGCAGGTGACAATGAGCAGGCAGGGCGGGGATGTCAGGAATAGCCCGGGAGACCCCGACATTCCCGGGGGCTGCTGCCCACACAGTCTCACGGCCTCGGGCTCGCCTGGACGAAACCCTGGGGTCGCAGGAGGAGGCAGGTGCTCAGCCCCGCGCCCCGTTTACCGAGGGGCGCCGCACCTGTACTCGCGCTCCTGCAGGATCTCTACGGGGTCCAGGCCCCGCGGCTTCTGGATGGGGGTGATGCGGCTCTGCTTCTGGTGCAGTGGCACCATGGGCGCGGGCTGGGCCGGCTGCCCAGGGGACTGTGTCTGCGGTGGCATCACGGGCGAGGCAGCAGGCGGGACAGCGGGGGGCGCGGGTGAGGGGCGGCCCGTCGGCTGCGGGGGAATCAGCTTCTGAGGTGTGCTGGTGGGAGCAGCAGCATTGGCCAGGGGCCCTGGGGGAAAGGGGAGTCCAGGGTGAGCAGGAGACGCGGTGAAGCAGCGGCCCCACCGGCCGCCCACCTGGCAATCCATCTGTCCATCTTGGGCTGCTCCATCCCGCCCCACGGCCTCTACCCAGACACGTGTGATGGAAGAACCGCCGGGGCCACCCCTGGCACTGAGTGCGGGGCCTCCCCGGCACCCCAGTTCCCAGAGGGAAGGGGTGCAGCCAGGACTCCCATGCCCCAGGCTCCGCCGCACTTACCATCAGGCCAGGGCTTGGGAGGCCCTCCAGGGGGCTGGCCCGGCATCCCGGGGGGCACGCCTGAGGGTCCTGGTGGGGGCATGTTGGGTCCGCCCATACCTAGGTGGGAGGGACGGGCACAGTGTGGAGTGGGCCCCACAGGCCCCGCCCTGCCCCCCACACCCCAGGGGAGCAGCGGGCAGCAGACCCCCGGCCACTCCTTACCGTGAGGGCGGCTATAGTTGGGTGGTGCAGGGCCGGGGCCAGGGCCGGGCCCAGGCCCTGCAGCAGACACGGAGGGCGGGGGCAGCGTGGGCATCTGCTGCTGCATGGCCGGCAGGGGCCGCTTGCCCTGCACCGCCATCTGCAGATGGTCGGGCAGGGGCTGCCCCCGGGCCAGCATCTTGTAGGCCATGATCTGCGCCCGCAGCTGGTGCAGCTGGTTCTGGTTGAATGGGGTCGGGCCCCGGTTCTGCTGGCCCAAGGCCTGTGGGTCGGCGGCATCGAGTGGGGCGCCTCCGGGCCCGGATGCCATCTGGGGGCCGGAGGATGGGCCGCTGGCGGGCACGGGGCTGGAGGCGTGCTCGGAGCCACCCAGGGGTGAGGGGTAACCTGTAGGGGTGGTGGGAGGGGGATGCAGTCAGGGTCAGGCGGGGCCGGGCGGGGCCGGGCAGGGCCGGGGGGGGGGGGGGGGGCTGGGACAGTACCTTGAGAATGCTGGTCCATGGGGCTGGGCGGGGGCCCCATCCCGGCGTGGCCCCCGGACCGCAGGCCCAAACCCTTCATCTGGCCATAGCGGGGGTCATCGGAGAGGCCCTTCTCGTGCATGGACTCCATTGGCTGGGGGATGGGGGAATGCAGGTCAGTCAAAGGTACCCACCCGGGTCGCGTCACGGCGGGCTGGTGGGGAGTGGACAGGGCGCGGCACATACCTTGTGCATCTGGTGCATGTTGTCCTGCGGGTATCCGCCGGGCCCTGGCGTGGAGATGGGGTGTCCTGCCGACGGGGGGCCTGGGCTGGGCCCCATCATGCTGTGGGCAGAGCCAGGAGAGGGCCCAGGGCTAGGGCCCAGCATGGCTCCCGGGGAGGGGCCGGGGCCAGGGGAGGGTCCTGGCCGAGGGGTCCCGCCCAGAGGCGGGTCAGGGGTGGACATGGTCAGCGGAGCTGGGCACACCTGTCTCCTGCGGGAGAGAAGCCAGAGGAAGAGCCAAGGCTCGAGTGGGCCCGGGGCTGTGGGACGAGGGGTTGACCCCCGCAGGAGACCCAGAGCCCCCGAAGATCCGTATCAGGCCTGAGACAGCTGACGGCCGGAGCCAGCTCCACAGCCCGAGACCAGCGCGGTCCCTGGGGCTCTGTCCTGGACCCAACAAGGTCCCCCCAGGGAGTACCACCCAGAGGGGCACAAAAACCAAAATTATAATGGGGGTTAGAGGCACTGGAGTGACAGGACAGCAGGAGGGCAGCTGCCTTGCATATGGCAGACCTGGGTTCAACCCTGGCATCCACACAGTCCCCTGAGCATCACCAGGTGTGGCCCCAAACTGAGAGAGAGAGAGAGAGAGAGAGAGAGAGAGAGAGAGAGAGAAGGAAAGTGCCTGCCAGAGGCAGGCAGGGGGTAGGGTGGGGGTGAGGGGAGGGAACCTGGGGACACTTGTGCTGGGAAATGCACACTGGTAGAGGGATGGGTGTCGGGATACTGTATGGCTGAAATCCAATCACAAACAGCTTTGGAAGGGTCTACTTCACAGCAATTCATTAAAAAGTAAAAGAAATGAGTAAGTGAGGGTTAGGGCACACGCTCTGCACGCACTCCTGTGCCCCGCTGCCCTCGCCGCGGCCCCCACAGTTCTGGGAGGAAGGCTTCCAGTACCACCCACACCAAGGGATCACGCCAGCAACGCTAAGCCGGGGGTCTCAGAATGGCAGCATGCCGGGCGCCCACCGCAGCCCTCGGAGCTGCGCAAACGCCCAGAGTCAAGGGTGGTTCAAGGGACCAGCAGTGGGGCCGGACGTGGTTCGGCAGCTGGAGCGCCAGGCAGCGACACAAAGCTGCGCCCTGGGCCAGGGTGCTGAGTCGCAGGCAGGCACTGGGCAACCAAACTGGGCAACCCCACCCCATCCCGCCCCCGTGGGGCACCCTGCACCCAGTGTGACACAGGGACCTGGGGGCCGTCCCAGGAGTGGGTGGCGCCCATGGGGTGACCCAGAGGCGGGGAGGGGGCCAGTTGAGGGGGCCTGGGCAGCCTGAGGAACAGGTTGGGGCTGAGGATCAAAAGGTGTCAGGGAGTCCGGGAGTGGTGCAAAGAGCAGGACGGGCAGGAGCATGTCCAGGGCTATGGGGGGGGCCTGTGCCGCCCCAAAGTCTTCCACCCAAGCAGATGCAGCAGCAACCGCCACGCAGCCACCTGTTTCCTGCACCCATCGGGCGAGCCCACCAGGAAAGCAGAACTTACCCCCGCCTAGTCCCCCAGTACAATCCCCAGGGACCTCCCCGCACCCCCAAGCCACCCCCCCCCCACCATGAGAGGGTGCCTCTTCAGCCCGGTGACTGACCTCGGCTGGGACTAAAGCCACCCTGCAGCAGCCGCCCTACCAGCCGAGGGGCCTGTGCCAGCGCTGGACGGCCGAGTGCAGCTCCCTTCAGCCTCTATTGTGTCCACTCTGGATCCCCCTTTCTGCACTAAGATTCGGAGAGGGGGGTTGGGCCATCCCTGGCAGTGCTCAGGGCCCCCCCGCCCTGCGTTATGCACTCAGGGCCTATGGGGTGCTGGGGGCTGAGTCCTCACATGCCCAGCTCTCTGAACACCTCCCTGAGTCTGGCTTTGTTCAGGGGGAGGATTTCGCCCCCACCAGCCGTGGGGACCCATGTATGGTGGCAGGAAGTGAACCAGAACCGTCCCACAGCAGGCCAGCGCTGCCCACTGGACTACCCTGAACTCTCTCCGGCCGTGCCTGAGCCTTTCAAACTCCTAGCAACTCCCAGGCCAGACACAGGACAGCAGGGAAGGTACTTGCCTTCCACGCAGACGACCTGGATTCAATCCCTGACGCCCCACAGGGTCCCCCGGAGCACCTCCAGAGTGACCCCTGAGCAGAAAGCCAAGAGTCAGCCCTGAGCACTGTGGCTACGGGGTGTTTCGTCCCCACCACTTCGACACATACCAGGGGCTGCCAAGCTGTTCATGTCCTACTGGTTCAAGCCCAGTGACCCCCAGCACATCCCAGAGGTGCCCAGATACCAGGGTGTGGTCACCCCCAAATCACAGGACCCTCGGGAGAGAAATGCTGATTCTCATCAGACACCCACCCCAATGTCTGTTCCACCCCTCCCCATCCTAGTAGTCAACTACTGTCTTGGGGGACCCCTCCAGGTGGCAGGGTATGACACAGAGCAGCATAGGAAAGGAAGAGGGTGTGTTTACGTTAGGGAGCCTGTCAATGACCCCCATGTCTGTAGACACACACAGGCCCAGACAACTCACAGGCACCCCAAATACCCATATAAACATATACACAGGCCTGGAGGCCTGGACACAAGATACAACACCCCCCCAATCCAGAAACACACACACACACACACAGGCTCAGACAGACACAAACACACAGGCCCAGACAGTCCTAAGATTGGGGACAGACAGGACCCGGGTTAAGGTGCTCACCTTGCCTGAAGTTCCCGCCCTGGTGGGTCCCCCAAGCCCCATCAAGGGTGGCCCAAACTCAACCCCCACTAACTCACTAACTCATAGGATCCAACACCCTGAAGGGCTGGGGTCCTTGATCTGGGAGGCGGGATGCGGGAGCGTTTCTAAGTCTCTGCGTGCAGATGCCAAAGGGAATCAATCGGGGGGGGGGGTGCCCAACAATCGGACATACACCAGCCAAGATCAAAGGGCTCCAGTGCCCCAAAAAAGGCACTCCGGGACAGGCACCCCAGGTGACACTGCATCCTGGCCAACTCTGGGTGCAGCCTCACAAGTGGAGAACCCCAGCTGTGGGCTGAGCTGTCAGGGGCTGCAGGCCCAAGAGTGCCCCACCCCACACCCTTGGGGGGGAACAAATTAGGAACCCCCCAACTGTGACACCACACATATACCCTCATTGACAACAACATACCTTCACCAGGTGGACTAGAGAGAAAGAAAGAGAGAGCTAAGGGGGGGGGAGAGAAAGAGAGAGAGGAGAGCCCAATGGGCTTTGCATGCAGGGGGCCTGGATCAATCCCCAGCACCAAAGGGTCCCCTGAGCTCCATCAGGATCAAGTCCCATCCTCAGAGCTGGGGGCAGCTCCAAGCCACCCATGTGGTCCCCAAGCCAAAAAATGTACACACACACTCTCTCTCTCTCTCTCTCTCTGGGGTCATTACAAACTCAGGGCAAAGTGTGGGCACCCCCACAAAGTGTCATGTCCAAGCCTGGACCTTCTCCCAGACGGCCTCTTCCAGGCTACAGGCCCAAACACTTTCTACCCTCTTGCCCCCCGCCCTGGTGCTGCTAAGGGCAGGTGAGAGGCCACAGGGCACCAGACACCAACTGTCTGCCATCCTGTAGGGCCTCATCCAATGTCCCCAGAGGCAGCAATGGGGACAGATAGTTGGGGGGGGTGGGGGGGGAAGCAGTCGCCCACTGGCCAGGAACCACCTTCCGGACTTGCACCAACTCCTCCTGTGACATTAGCCCCAATTTCACAGAGGAAAGCAAAGGTTCAGAGAGATTAAGCCACTGGCCTGAGGTCACACAGCTTAGAGACCCAGAGCGCCAGAAATCAAACGCTAGTAGGTCTCTCAGTACAAACAAAACTGTCTCCAATTCTCCTAAGTTTTCCTGCCCCGAAAGCTCACTGGGGCTGAAAAAGAATCCAAACCAGCGTCCTCCAATTAGGAACAAAACACACTCTTGGGTTTGCTTTTTAATGCAATAAATGCCTCAATCCGGAAAATCGGAATGGAAGGAACAGAAAAAAAGACACCGAACTATGTTTTCAACGGCAGTTTCCCAGGGTCCCCCACTTGCTGTTAAGCGCCCCCCCACACACACTGCACGGCAAAACACTTGCAAGCCATAGGAGGCGACGGCGGTGGGTGGAGGGTGAGAAAAAAAATCGATAAACAATCCGGTTTTTAAGACGTAAAAAATTCGAGGTCGGCGCCACCCCCAGCGAGGCAGGCCCATCTGGGGGTGCCCCGGCGCGCGCCCCAACCGCCCCGAGGCAGCCTCCGGGTCGCACTCAGAGAAGCCCGACTATTGTTGCCGTCGAGGTCCAGACGACGCCGGTGGGGGGGCCGGCCCCCTGCACCGCCCGCTTTTGTCCCCAGACCCCGGCGGGAGCGCGCCCGCGGGCACGCGCGGCCTCCACGCGGCCCGGCTCCCGCCCCCCCAGCCGGGCCCGTCGGCCCAGGGGCCGCCGCCGCCGCCTCGCTCCGCCGGGCCTGGCCCCGCGCGCGCAGAGCTGCCCGGGCTTCTTGACCCTCGGGCGCCGCCGTACCCCGGCCCCGCTCCCCGCGCCCGCGGCCCCCTCCCCCGCGGCGCCCCGGCTCCATTCAAACCGTCCTCCCGAGCCCGCACCGTGCTCCCCGCGACGCCGCGCCCCGCCTTCCTTACCGGGAGCCGCCCGCGCCGTCGCCTTCCCGGCGCCGCCCCCGGCCCTGCGCGCGGGGCCCGAGGCACAGGGGGCGTCTCGCCTCGCCTCAGGAAACAAAGAAGCCGCCGCCGCCGCCGCCGCCGAGCGAGGGTAAAGCCGCGCGCGCGCGCCCGCCCCCCCCCCCGCCACACGCCGCCCGCGCCCCCGCTGCGCGCGCACCCGCCGGCTCCCCTCCCCCCGCCGCTGCTCGGGCCCGTCTCTGTCGCTTCCGCCGCCCGCCCCGCCGCGGTCGCGCGCGCTCCCGCCCTTCCGCTCCCAGCGCGCGTGCGCGACCGCCCGCGGGGGGGCGGGGAGCCCAGGGCGCGCACCCCGGGAGGTGGGCGGGGCCGCCGTGCGATCTCGCGGCCGAAGCTCCGCCCCCTGGGGCCGCGGCGGCACTGCGCCTGCGCGCGGAACCTGGCCGGGTCGCGTGCGCAGAGCCGCTGCCGCTGCGGCGGCGGCGGCGGTGGCTGGAAGCGGCGAGTTGGGGACCGGATGGCAGCGGGGCCTATGGGGACTTCGGGCCAAAGGACACCAAAGAGCGGTTGGGCTCGGACAGAGCAGAGGCGGCTCACGGAACCCCGGCACTGGACCGTTTCTCAAGCTCATGGTGTGACCCGCTTGGTGATTCTGCCTTTGTGGCAAACCTCCCCTGGGCCTCCCAGGTTCTTTTAGCGAATACCCGTTGACCTGCGGCCTTGTGCCGGGTGCAAGTGCCGCACGCATAGGAAAGATGCAAAACTCGGGAGCCAGAGGGATCGGACAGCCCGTGGGCCACTTGCCTTGCATACAGCTCACCTGGGCTCAAACCTCTGCACTTTATACGGTCCCCTGGACCTGTCAGGAGCGATCGATCCCCGAACACATAGCCAGGAACAAGCCCTGAGCACTACCGGTGTGGACCCCTCAAAAACAGGAACATAAGAGGTGCGGTGAAGGGAGTGACAGGCTTGGGGGAGGCCCGCTAGGGTGAGAAGTACATTCACCACGTGAGATGGGAGACCTATGCCTTGGGAGATTAAGTACAGGAAGTAAGGCATGCAGCCAACCCCAGTTTGATCCCCAGCACCACACTGCAGTGTGGTGATTAGCATCACCAGGACTGATTACTGAGTGCAGAGCTAGGAGTAAGCCCCTGGCACTGCCAGGAAAATCTCCCCCACCCCGAAAAAACAAAAAAAACAAACAAAAAAACAGGATTGTAGGCGCCTCTTGGGTGGAGGGGGGGGGGGGAATGACTCTTGCTCCTGGGTGTGAAGACCCCAAGTGCCTAACCTCTGCTCTGTGCTGGGAAAGCCCCCTCAGTCTGCGGATTCAGTTCTGCAACCTGGCTAGGGCTCACGAGGGGCCAAGTCCTGGCACTGGCCTCATTTCTGCATTTCTCAGGTCCAGCTGGACGCCCCCATCCCCACCTGGCCACCTCTGGTCTCCCTTCTGCACGGCTCTGCCATCACCTTTGTGCTTCTGGATTCGATTACCAACTCCACAAAGGGCCCAGGCCCCAGAACCAGGTGCTGGGCATGCTGGTGGGAAGGGGCAGTGACCGTCTGCCTGAGTTCAGAGCTGTGGGGCTCGGCCACCCACGGCTCGTGGCTCAGAGCAGGGAGTAGGTGGCAGCACCCAGCAGAGCCAGAGCTGGACATAAAACCTGACTGAAGAGATGGTACAGCAGGGAGGGCACTTGCTTTGCAGGTGGCCTACCTGGGTTCAATCCCCAGCACCTCATATGGTCCCCAGAGCCCCACCCGGAGTGGCCCTGAGTGCCAGCAGGTGTGGGCCCCCCCCCAAAAATAAAACAAGCCAAAACCTGGCTCCAGGGCACACCAAGGGGCTCACATCAAGCTGGGTTCATTCCTGGTAACACATGCTTCTCCAACACAGCTGGGTGTGCCCCGAGAATGGAACTCTCAGTGCAAACCCAGTGCCCAGGCATTGAGATGGCAAAGGTTTCAGCTGAACTTGTTTTGGAGCCTCACCAAGTAGTATTGGTGCTGGAGGGACCAGGGACCCTGCATGGTGCCAGGGAACAACGTCAACCTCATGACAGCTGCACCTTCCCTGCCCTGTCTCCACCCCCCTCCCTCCATCCCTAGCCTGACTCTGGACTTCTATAGCTCAGATGGAAAAATGCTCAGCATTCTAATACCCAGTGCCAGAACCTTCCCAACTTCCCCATAAAGCATACACATGCATGCGTGCGCACACACACACGCACACACACACACACACACTCACACACCCCGTGGAACTGGAAATGTGTTTGGATCCTGTCCCCTCACCCCAAGGCCCCCAGGCACAAGATCCCATATGGTTTCCATGTGGCTGACCTCAGCACCCCGTAGGGTCCCCAAGAGTGATCCCTGAGTGTAGGCAGAAGCAGGAGTAAACCCTGAGCTCTACTGTGGGTGTTCCCCAAACAGAATGTGTTCCTTCCTTTCAGCATTGCAACACCCAGCAATGCTCAGGGGTCACTCCTACTTTGCACTCAGAAATTAGTTCTGGTGGTGCTCGGGGGACCCCTATAGGATGCCGAGGATCGAACCCCGGGTGGCTACCTGCAAAGCAAAGCCCTCCCCTCTGTCCTATCACTCTGACCCCAAGAATGGATTGCTTTCCCTGCATCTTTGCAAAGAAGTTTTTGTTTCCAATAATAACTATCTTGCTTTGCGAGACAAAAGAGAGAAAATCCATGAGTACAATAGTTTGGGTGCATCCTTCTCTCCACCAGCGATGCCTAGCAGAAATGGGGCCTCATTTGCCAGATGGGCAAATGCTGAAACTGGTTTCCTCTAGCCCCTTTCTGGGGCCAGATCTTGCCTCCCCTGCCACATTCCCCTCCCATTTCTCCCACTGACCTCATCCATCGTGCCAAGAAAGTCTGGGCGTGGCTCACAGAGCTTTGCCGCTCAACAGGTCTTCCAAGCCGAAACCGGAGAAACCAGCCGCTGCCCGCCAGACAGCCGTGCACCTGCACAGACAGCTCCGTGCCTCAGCGGGTGACCTTGGGAGAAGATCCCGCACCTCGAGGCTGCTGCTGGCGCTGCCTGCTCTGGGGGCTGCTCACTGCTTCCCTTTGGGGGCTCAGGGCAACACCCCGGGGTAGTAACCCCTGGCAGTGCATGGGGGAACATGCAAGACAGAAGATCCACTGGGTTGGTTGGGCGTGGGTCAGGCCAGTTGGCTCCTGGAACTAGCCCCTGCTTGTTGCTGTTGGACGTTATCAACCGGAGACATGCTTCGAGAATGAAGGAGCAGCCTCTAGAAACCTGGGAGTGACTCACGCCCCCCAGGATAACAAAAGAAGGGGTCTGGAGAGATAGCTCAGTGGGCTGGAACCTAGCCTTGGCCTGCAACCGGCCAGTGCCAAAAGGCTGCATCCCAGCACCACTGGGTGTGAATCTGGAGGGCTCAGGCACCACTGGAGGACGCGTGTAGCCTTGGCAACACAGGGCTAATCGGAGGGTGGGGAGATCACCCCAGGAGATAATATAACTAGCATGACCATAAGGCAGCATTTCTATTTGGGGGTATACGACGACAGCAGACCCGAAGCAGGGACTCAGACGTACACAGACACGTTCAGAACAGCATGTTATTTTTTTCTCTTTTTTGGGTCACACCCCGCGATGCTCAACGGAATTAATCCTGGGGGTGCTCTGGGGACCAAATGAGATGCTGGGGATTGAACCCGGGTTAGCCACGTTGCAAAGCAAACATCCTCTTTGCTGGACTGTTGCTCCAGCCCCAGAACAGCATGGTTCCTAATAGACCCAAGAAGAGCTCCAATGCCCAGAAGCAGAGGAAAGGGAACGCCACAGGCACACAGATGATTCGCAGGCTTAGAACTCCAATGCTAGAGACCAGCCTTGGTTCTCTGCCACAGGAAAAAAGGGAGAGAGGGCGACAGATGAGCTAGTTCGGGGTTAAAGCTCTTGGCCCCTTTCCTGACCCTTGATTTCTGGTATGTGATCTCCCCAGCACCTTGTCAAGAAGAGGTCCTGAGCACTGCTGAGCATGGCCTCCCATCCCCCGCCAAAATAAAAAGCACAGACAAATGCCTGCAGTTAGCTTTGCAGGCATTGGAGGGGGTTGGGCTCAGAGAGAAGCAAAAGTGGGGCCCAGCGGCTGAGTGTGGGATATAGAGTAAGCCCTCCCATTGATCGCTGATCGTCGATTTGCTCCAGCGGGCCCAGTAACGTCTCCATTGGAGACTTTGTTGTTAATGTGTTTGGCATATCGAATACATCACGGGGAGCTTGCCAGGCTCTGCCGTGCGGGCGAGATACTCTCAGTAGCTTGCCGGGCTCTCTGAGAGGGGCGGAGGAATCGAACTCGGGTAGGCGATGTTAGCTGCTTGTAAGGCGAACGCCCTACCACTGTGCTATCGCTCCAGCCCATATAGAGTAAGCAGTAAACGTAAACGGGGGTGGGGGAAATGAAGAATATAAGTTTTGCAAAATTAACTGGGTTGGGGGCCGGAGTGATAGTACAGCGGGTAGGGCATTTTCCTTGCAGGCGGCCCACCCAGGTTCCATCCCCGGCCTCCAATAGGGTCCCCCGAGCACCGCCAGGAGTAATTCCTGAATGCAGAGCCAGGAGGAACCCCTGAGCATCGCTGGGTGTGACCCAAAAAGCGAAAGACAAAAACAGTGGGGCGGGTTTCACATGTGATTGTGGTTAATGCGCCAGAACCAGCCAGTTCAAGGACAGGGTGTCTCATTTAAGCATCTCTTACCCCCATTCAAAAAAACCCTCCAAAGCGGCCAAAAACCTCCCCCCGCCCAATAGCCGGATAACGAGGGATCCATTTGCTGGTTCGTCGCAGCGCCCCAGAAACGCTGGAGATGACGTTGGAGGAGAGGTGTGTGTGCCAAATTCAACGGGGTGCAGGGACCCCCCCCCAATTACCGCCACGCGGAGATACATTGCGCATGCGCATAACCGGTGGGGTGGGTCCTGGGCGCGGAGGTCGCGGCGCGCATGCGCGGCGCGCATGCGCTCCGCGCTCCTCCGTCTGGCGGAACCTTTTTCTGCCCCTTTGCTTGCTACCTTTGTCTGCCGCACCCTGTGCAAAGCTGTGGGCGCGCCACGCCTCAATTCTCTGCTCTGGACATTGATCTCTCCCCTTCATATAGCAGGCCCATGTGGGGGAGGCCAGGGATCATTTTTCCGGCGTACATGGAAACCAGCATTTCTTGCTTTTGAAATCAGAGATGAGACCCGGCTTGGGGCGCCTGTCTCGCCTGTCATTGGTTGGATCTCTGGCACGGTAAAGTCCCGGCCACCGCCGCGACCGATTCCTACACGCGCAGGGCTGGGAATAGCCCCAACTCCAACGTGTGGTCCAAACTCCGGCACCCCAAAAACCAAATCAGGGAGTCTCAGATATTCTTGGGCCGGAAGGGTGGTGCTGAGGCCCCCTTACCCGGTCTCCCCACTATGAGTGTTTCCTGGTTGCATACCCCAGCACGTTTCCCTAAGAACGCCCGTTACTGAGGGCTACATGAATTCCCAGGTGAGCACCAAACAGTTCAGGAGGTGGCCCTGGCTGAGTGCCCTTTCCCTGTCCGATCCCACCGGTGGTCCACTGAGCACCGAAGGGGGTGCCCAACCCCACCCCCATACTCATATTGGGGGAGGGGGCAGGGTTTGATCCACACCTGGCGGTGCTTAGTGGCTACTTCTGGTGTTGCTACCAGAGATCAAACCTGGGTTAACTGCATGCAAGGCTAGACATTTGGGATGGGTGGTAGGTGCTGGGAATGAGCTTGGCAGTGCTCTGGGGACCACATGAGGTGCGGAGCCTGAACCAGGGTCACTGAATGCAAGACACCACCTTATCCCTGCACACTCTCTCTCTCTGGCAATAAACTCTGCAAATTGTTTTTGAACCACACCCTTCTTTGCTCTGGGCTTACTTTAGGCTCTGCTCAGGGATCAATCCTGGCAGGGTTTGGGGGACCATATGGGATGCCAAGGATCGAACCTGGGTCAGCGGCATGCAGGGCAAGCACCTTCCCCACTGGACCATCCCTTCAGCAAATCGGCTTTTAAACTGCGGCCCCAATGTTTCTGCCTCCTCCCGCTAAATGATCTGCAACACTCCTTCCAGAAGGGTTGGAATGGCCAGAGTTTTGGGATCCCTTTTTCTGGTCATTTTGCATCTTATACTTTCAAGGAGGTTCCAGGACAGGCACAGGTCTGTGAGCGGAAACAAACACGGGAGAAACATACACGAGCTGAGCTGTTTGCAACCTGAGAGGTGCCAGCATGGGCATGTTAATTTTTTCACACCCTTTGCCGGGGGAATAGCTCATGTGATCACAGCTAATAAAAGCAGCCCCTCACTTGTCTCCATGGCAGCCTTTTACCCTGTCAATATCACCTGCTTCCATCCTGGAACCACCTACAAAGCACCAGGCTTAGGCATCTCCATGGTAACAGCCCCTGTCACTATCACGCCATCTGTGGGGAGGGGGAAGAGGTGGATTGGGGTTTACTTCCCTTTCTCCCTTTTCAACAATTTCCATCTCCGTAGATCCCGTTTGCAGTGTTTCTGTTGTTTGTTTTGGGCCACACCTGGCGGTGCTCAGCCTCCTGTAGGGCCCTGATTAGACCTGGGGCTCCCGCACACAAAGCAGGTTGTCAGCCCAGTGAGCCTTCTGGCCCCTGGAGAAGCTTCTGGACCACACCGGCAATGTCCATGGCTAACCCTGGTTCTGTGCTCAGGGGTGCCTCCCAGCGACCCTCAGGGTCCCAGGTGGTGCCTGAGACTGCAGTGTGCAGGGCAAACACCTGAGCCGACTGTCCCTCCAGCTCTCATGTTTTGAAGAGCAGAGAAATGAGGTGTCTTACTCTTTTTCTTTGGGGAGCCCACTCCTGGCTGTGCTCAGGGTTCACTCTTAGTGCTAGGACACCCTATGGGGAACACCTTACCCGTTTTACTGTCTAACATGCTGGGGCGCGAGAGATACAGATAGTACGGAGGGTAAGGCAGCTTCCCTTAAATGTAGCTGACCCCGGCATCACACAAGGTCTCCCCACATCCCAATAAGCATTTTTTTTTCCTGGTTTTTGGGCCACAACCAGTGTTGCTGAGGGTTTACTCCTGACTGTGCTCAGAGATTTCTCCTGGTGGTGCTTGGGAAACTTTATGGGGTACCAGGGATTGAATCCAGGTCAGTGGTGTGCAAGGTAAGCACCTTATCCACAGTACTATTCTCCCCAATTTTTTTTTTAAATATATGTCTGTAACCGTTTATCACATTCCCCTGGAGAGCTCAGGCATATGGGCAGAGCAGGTCAGGGTAAGCTGTTGTACGGACCGGACTCTGCCTTTACTGGGGCTGGTGTGAAAGGGGGCTCAGAGATCCCCCACACGGTACCCTACATGTTTGCTACTCAATGCAACTCCCAAGAAAACAGGAACCTCATTCCTTTGTTTTGTTTTGTGGTCACACCTTGCGGTGCTCAGGGCTTTCTCTTGGCTCAGCACTTAGTCCCGGGAGGGTTCGGGCTACCATATGAGATGCCGGATACTGTACCCGGATCAGCAGCATGCGAAGTATCCTAACCACTGGACTACTGCTTTGGCACCAGAACCTGAACATTCTAGCGCCTGCAGTATTGAGGCTGGAGGGGAAATGGGTGCAGGTGACAGATGGGGCAGCCCCACTTCAGCCCTGCTCTGCCAGGGTCAGGAGAGCTGAAGCCTTGAGTTCCAGAGGCGGACGGCCCCTGCAGCTCAGAGCAAGGGCAAGTCTGCCACACGGAGGACTCTGCCGCCCCCTCTTGGCCGCTCTGAACACAACAGCTTGAAAGTCGTTTTCCAGCGCCAACTCCCTGGCAAAGGTGAACTGAAAGACAAAAGGGCTTATGGAGGACAAACTGTTTTGTAGGTCTTTATTTCTTTTGGTGGGGGCACACCCAGCAGCGCTCAGGTGTGGCTATTCTGGGGGGGGGCAGGGGAGCAGTATACGGTGCTGGGTGTGTGTGTGTGTGTGTGGATAGAAGCAAGAGCCTTAACCCCTGTACTTTCCTCTCAGGCTCATGTTGTTTTGTAAAATGGAGACACTGACTTATAAAACACCCCGACCCCCAAAGTTAGGGTACCAAGAAGACCACATGTCTGACACACCCGGAAAACACATCATGACAAAGACACTGAAGTTCATCATGGGCCACTTTTATTACGTGGCTCCAGGCTGCATCCCTTTTTCAAGAGTGATTGCCACAGCCCAAGTACCATCCATGCCCACAAAACCTGACCGCTGGACTGTGTGTTCAGGGTAACTGAACAGCATAATCCAAATCGTGGTGGCCACTACCAGTTCCAGGACTGAAAATCCCTTAGCTCACCACCATCCATTGTACAGCCGTCAGTGATGGGCATTCCGCCCCTTTCCCCCATACAATCCAAACGAACCTCTCCCTGGATAGCTGGCTGAAATGGAACTATCACTCTTGGGGGTCACGCTGAATCTCCACACCCTTGTTTTCCCCGGGCCTGTAACTACTTCTTCAACCAAGAACCCAAAATGAAAACCAACACTCAACACTCACAGGGAAAGGGAAAGAGAACCACTTCAGCGCTCCATGGCGAAGGTGGTCTCGCAGGTATTAGGAGGAGGAAAAGCCGAGACATCCCAGCTCGTTCCCAGATCCAGAAGATTCTCACTCGCCTCAGTAACCAGCAGCGCGGGAGCAAGACTACCGGGTGGGAATCCGGGGCGTGCTCCCAATGTCCTTCTCGGGGAGCTCAAGACGCACAGGACCCGCTAAATGCCCAGTGATCCGCGGGCTGAGCCCCCCGGGTGTCCCCGCCTTCATCTCTCGCTCTCCTCCTGCACCAGCAACTCAGCCTGGCTCAGGACCAGCCTGTCTCTCCTCTCTTTCTGCAGCACCTGCTCCTCCCACAGCGCCTGGTCCACCTGGTCGTCGGAGAGCACCACAGGCTTGTACTTCTCGTCGAAGAGCCGCTCGTTCGTCTCGGAGTGCAGATGGTGCGGCCCGATGACGCGCAAGTGCGCGGGCAGGTGCAGGAACTCGCTGTCGTTGATGTCGCAGTCGCGCATGCGGGCGTCCAGCACCCACCAGCGGCCCGCGAAACCCACGTCCAGCACCCGCTCGGGGAAATCGCTCCAGCGGGGCTGCAGGTAGCGGCAGCGGGCCTGGTAGAGGCTGGCCTGGGCGTCGCACGGCGCCTCGTACACCAGCGAGCACACGCCCAGGTTGACGTACCGCAGGCGCCCACGGCCCCGCAGCCACAGCAGCCGGTGCACGAACGTCTCCGAGTCCCGGTTGCGCGTGGCCGGCGACAGCAGCAGCAGCGACCCCGACGCGTCGAGCAGCGCCTCCTCGAAGGCCGCCTCGCCCGGCGCCAGCGCGAAGCACGCCGCCACGCCGCCCAGCAGCCCCACGTACACGGTCGCCCGCCCGGGCCGGGCCCGCGCCGCCGCCACCGTGTCGCTGCACGCCTCGGCGTAGTCCCGCAGGAGCGCCCGAGTCCAGATGCCTGCGGGCGAGAGGGGCGGTGAGCGCCGGCCCGGCCCTCCGCCGGCCACCCCGCCGCCACCGCCGCCGCCACTCACCCAGACGCGCCCACGCGCCCGGCTTCCTCGCCGGCGCCGCGTCCCCCGCCTCGCCGGGGCCTCGGGACCAGAACCTCTTCAGAGCGCCCGTCGCCATCCTCTTCCGGCTGGGCGTCCGTGCTCCGGAGAGAAACGCCAGGAACGCCATGGAAAAGGCCCGGTGAGGGGGACGGGCTCCCCGGGCGCCGGCGCCGCCGTCCCGGAAGAGGTTTCCCGTCGGAAGGGAATGGGAACAGCACCGCCCCGGAAGTTGGTGTCCGGGGAGCCGGGGGCGGGGTCGAGGGCCGCGCAGGCGCCGAGTGCCTTAGCGACAGCAGCAGGGGGAGCCGCAGGTGAAAGGGGGGCGGGGTGCAGCCCTCGGGACCGGGGCGGCGGGTTCACGTCCCGGTGGGTGCCTTGAGCCGTAGGGTGGGGCCGGGGATGCGGCCGGGACTCCCGGGAGGCGAAGGGTGGCGAGGAGGGTGGGCGCGGGGCTTGAGCGACTTCTGTCATCAGGGTGGGATGCGGTGACGTCTCTGCGCGACCATGGCAGCGGCGGACCAGCTGGTCTTCCGCGGTGAGTGCGTGGGGGAGGGGGCCGTGCCCCTGTCCGGGACCTCTCAGCTGGGCCGCACTTGACTCCCTCCAGCCCTGTTTTCTCGAACCCTGCTGGGGCGCTGGAACCCATCCTGCGTCACACCCCCTCCGTCCTCCCCTCGACCCGCAGGCGCCCCGCGGACCCCGACCCCACTCTAAATAGTACCCCAATATTGGGAACGCGCAGGTCCCCTTTTCACCTCCCCCAATTATAGAAATTGGGTCCATTTGGGGGGCAACCCAGGGCCCCCCCCCCGGTAGTGTTGACTTGTCGTGGACAAACCCCTAATATGCCTGCGCCCCGTTTTTTCCTGTTTTTTTTCCGAGTTTGGGGGAACGCACCCTGAGGGGTGGGGAGTTGAGGGGGAGCGCACCTGTGGCTCCTGCTGCCCTCGGCGCCTTCCCCACCCCCACCCCCCAATTCCTTCCTGGTAGAGTTCGAGGAAGCCACGATTCTGCTGGCTGAGCCCACAGATGAGGTGGTCAATGGCCCCAGCGTCCTCGTGGCCCCCCAGGGGCACGTGACTGTGACCGTGGACTCGGGAGGTGGCGGCTATGGAGTTGAGGACGAGGAAGGCGACAAGGTGGCGGTGAGTCCCCAACGTCCCCACACCCCACCTCCTTGACTTGGGGGGGCCAGATACTGACACCCCCCCCCCCCAACCCACACCCCACCAGCTCCTGCAGGAGGAGAAGCCTGAGGCGGGCTTCTGGACCTTTGACTTCTATCAGAGCTTCTTCGACGTGGACACCTCGCAGGTGAGGGCCCGGGAGCTGGGCGGGCTTTGGGGTTTCAGCCCCTGAACATCGAGTCCTTCCCGTGTACCGCCCCCCGCCTCCTGTATTGGGAGATAGCCCTGGGCCAGGCGAGGCGGCAGGGCAGGGGGCTCGGGCTGTCCCCGGATGTGAGGGGTTCGAGCCAGACCACCTGGGGAGCTGCGTGATTTGCCTCCTGCCCAGGAGCAGGAGCTGGGCAAGAGCAAAAAGAGGCAGGATCCCTGCTGGGGGACAGCAACAGCAGGGGCGGGAGAGGGGCCGCGCAGTCGCAGAAGCAGCCAGTCCCCGGCTTGTGTGTGTTGGGGGGGAGGGGTCAGGCCTGCGGCAGCTCCCTCACCTGAGATTCCTGGGAGGAGGGGGCTGCCGGAGGACTGAGCTGGCAGCCGGAAAGGCGGGGGGCGGTGCGCCCCCTGCCGGCCACAGGGGGAGGTGCAGGCTGTGCCCGTGGAAGAATGCCGGGGAGGGGGACCTGACGCTGCGTTCCCCGCCCCCAGTCCCGCCAGGAGCGGGCCCAGAGCACCGCCGGGTGTGGCCCCCAAAACAAAACTCAAACCCTGAGAGGGAAGGGTGGCTTTCGGGTGATGGCGGGGCAGAAAGCATCCTCCCTTATGTGCTGGGGTCCCCCAGGTTCTGGACCGCATCAAAGGCTCCCTGCTGCCCTGGCCTGGCCAGAACTTCGTGCGTCACCGGCTGCGGAATCGGCCCGACCTGTATGGTGAGGGCGGGGGGGGGGGGGTCCAAACACGGGACGCGGGGGGCAGCCAGAGAGACAGGAGAGGGGAGAGCGTGCCTTGCCCGAGGCCCACCCGGGGCCAGTTCCTGGCATTCCATATGGTCCCCTGAGCATCGCTTGGAGTACACTGGTGGGTGGTGAGCCCCCCCCCCCCAAAAAAGGAATCACCATAATAAAAATCCATGAGGTGGAGCACAACAAGGGAGGAACCTCCAGAAGGCTGTTTTGGAGAAGCCGCTGGTGCTGGGGCAAGGGATACCATGGCTCCATGTGCTCCGGCAAGGCCTGGAGATGGGAGGTGGCGGGTTCGAGGGTTCTGGCTGTAGGTGGGAGCTACTGATTTGGGTGCTCAGGCTGCAGCTGCTTCCAGGAGGGAAAAGCGCTAGTGAGGAGGGCCCGCCGCCAGAAGTTCTGGCATCTGAATGCCCCCTGCCCCCAGGCCCCTTCTGGATTTGTGCCACCCTGGCCTTTGTCCTGGCGGCCAGCGGGAACCTGACCCTGGTGCTGGCCCAGCGCAGGGATCCCAGCATCCACTACAGCCCCCAGTTCCACAAAGGTCAGCACGGTGGGGAGGGAGGGGGGTGGGTTCTGGAGGCGCAGCCCAGAGGTGACACCGGCTCCCCCCTCCCACCCCGCAGTGACCGTGGCCGGCGTGACCATCTACTGCTACGCGTGGCTGGTGCCGCTGGCGCTTTGGGGCGTCCTGCGCTGGCGCCAGGGCGTGCAAGAGCGCATGGGGGGCTACACCTTCCTGGAGACCGTCTGCCTCTACAGCTACTCACTCTCGGCCTTCGTGCCCACCGTGGTGAGGGGACAGGTGGGGGGGACAAGGCCAATTAGCCCCCCTCAGCGGTGGAGGGGAGTCTATCCTCCCCCAGCGGTGATTGGAAGGGCCTGCTACTCCCTCTCGGCGGCGTGGGCAGGGATGGGAACGGGGCGGGGCCTGCTACTCAGCCAAGAACGAAGGGGCGGGGCCTGCTGCAGGCTCTGCTTATTACGGGTGGGCGGAGCCAGAGCCCAGCACCTCCCCTGGTGAGAAAGGGGGCCTGCTGTTCCCTCAGCAGTGAGCCGGTCAGGAGTGTGTCCAGCGACCGGGGTTGGACCCAGGCCCAAACTAGGGAGGGCTCACACCGAGAGGGATCAGCTAGTAGACCGTATGGGGTAGGGCCAGCGACTGGCTCTCAGCCTTGTGCCCGTGTGCTTAGCGGATGGAGGGGGCATGGGAAGGAGCCAGGGCAGTGCCCACTACTGACCCCTGCCCGCCCCCTGCAGGTGCTGTGGCTCATCCCGGTGCCGTGGCTGCAGTGGGTCTTTGGAGCGCTGGCGCTGGCGCTGTCCACGGCGGGCCTGGTGTTCACGCTCTGGCCCGTGGTGCGCCAGGATACGCGCCTGGCAGCAGCAATGCTCCTGGCCTCGGTCATACTCCTGCATACGCTGCTGGCCGTGGGCTGCAAGGTAGGGCCGGGCTCCCGCTGACCCCTCTCTGGCTGGGAGGGGCCCCTCCCTCCGCGCCCCCCACGCTGACCGGGGCGGGGGGGTTTTGTGGCAGTATTACTTCTTCGAGCCCCTGCCCCCGGAGCAGAAGGCCGTGCCCTCCTCCGTGCCCTCCACCACCGCTGCAGCGCAGCTGCCATCCATCCTTCCGACACCCCACGGCATCTAGCGGCCCCAAGGTGAGACTGGCTTGCGAGGGCTCGAAGGGGATCTGAAAGCCAAAGTTGGGGGCCATTCCTGGGGTCTCTCTCTCTCACAGGCCTGCTGAGTGGCGCCTCTGCCTGCCCCGCACCCCGCAGCCCGCCTGTCTCGTGGTGACCTCGCTCCTGTGACCACTCCGCTACTCTCCAGACGCTTCTTACAAAGCAAACACTTTTATTTCCTATGCAAAGGTGATTCAGAGACTTTGTATAAAGGCGGACCGAAGTGGGGAGGGAGGGACCAGGCAGCGGGGCTTCGGGGCCACCCCAGCGCCCTCCGGCTGCCAAGCCTGAGCTCCACCACCTCCGAGTCTGGGGACTAAAAACGGGGGCCAGGAGGGGGAAGCAGAAGAAAATCGCCTGTGCTGAAACATACATCTCCTTGTTTATTGGGGGTGAGAGGACGAGACCCCCGCCAGCCCCTTCCGGCAGGCGCAAGGGAGGCGCCCTTCCAGGCCACGTCGATGAGGTTTGTGCCGGCCCAGCGGCCAGTGACCTTCCCTCCGGCCGGCCCTGGTCTAGCTGTGGGGGGACCTGCGGGGCTCAGGGGCAGGACAGCAGCAAGGTGCTGGGGCTGAGGGCCTTCCCGACAGCTGGGCGGTTGTACATTCAAGTGTGAGGTGAACCCTTTGGTGGGGGGGCCAGGGGGCTCGAGGCCCCGCCCCCAGCCCGACAGGGCCCCCCTATTCCCCGTGGAGCCTCTGGGGGATGGTGGGGGGGGGCTGCTGGCTCGGCCCGGCCGGCCGGGTTCTCAGAGGGTCTGTGGATTGACACTGGTTCTTTGTCGTAAAAAAATAAAATTAAAAAAAGCAGCACGTCACGCCCATGGGGACCGAGGCCTGGGAGGGGGGAGGCCCTGAGGCCGGGGCTGCCTGCTGTGGGGAGCAGATGGAGGTGGGGGGCAGGCACAGAGGGACGTGCCAGTCACAGCTGTCAGACCCGGGGAGGGGGGGTCCACGGCACGGTCTGGTGTGAGATGTGGCAGCAACGCGCACTCGGGGCCGGGAGGGGGCGGGGGGGGTGGGGGGGTGGCGGCAACGTTGTGTAAAAAAGTGTCCGAGTTCCCATAGCAAAGAGGGCGCTGACCGGTGTTGGGGCGTGTCCGTCGGCCGGGCGCGGCGGCCTAGCTCCCGTAGTGCATGGTGTTGCTGGGGATGGACAGCGGAGAGGCCATGGAGATGGCAGGGCCGCCCATGGTGAACTGGCTGTTGACCGCATAGTGCGCGCTCGAGCCCCCGCCGCCGCCGGCCTGAGCACCCGACGAGCCTGCGGAGCGAGGCACGAGGCTGAGGGGCCGCCCGGGCCGCCCGGCCCCCACCCGCAGAGGCAGCGAGAGCGAGCGACAGGCGCGTTACCTTGGACGATGCCCGTGCTCATTATGGAGCCCATCCGCGAGTGCGTGTGGTTGACAATCCCCGTGTTGGCTGCGGGGCGGGCGCGGGGCGAAGGAAGGAAGGAAGGAGGGAGACGGGGTCACCGCCCGGCCCGCCTCGGGCGCGCTCCGGGGCCGGGCGAGGAGGCAGAGCGAGCGAGGAGGCAGAGAGGAAGAGGGCGAGGCGTGGAGCGGGCGGGGTGGGGGGCGTCCGGCACCCCATCTCGGGCGGGCGCACTCACCGAGAGGGATGAGGTTGTTGTGGCCGGCGCTGGAGCCTCCGGCGATAACACTGCTCAGGTCGTAGGCCGTGGGCATCCCGGTGCCCAGAGGGGGCGCTGGGCGGGAACAGGGAGGTGAGTCGGGGGACAGCCGGGCGGCGGGCTGGGTGCCCTCGGGCCGCCCGGGCCCCTCACCTGCCACGGCCATGCCGCTGCTGAGGTTGTAGGCGCTGCCCGTGTTCCACATGTTCTCAGAGGGGGAGGTGTAGTGCGAGCCGGGCGGGGGCGAGGGCGTGGTGCCCGTGTATCTGCGGCAGAGACACGGTGGGCGCGCGTGGGGCGCGGGGCGGGGGCGCCCCCACCGGCCGGCCCCGGCCTACCTGAAGAAGGGGTTCTTCAGGTCAAGGAGGTTGCTGGACTTGGAGCCCGTCTGGTCCACCTGGGCCACAATACTGATGTCGTAGCTCTGTCTGCCGGGGGTGGAGGGCACGGCTGGTGAGCCTGGGTCGGGCTCAGCCCCGCGGCCACCCCCGCCCCCCTTGCTGCCCCCTGGGCCCGTGCACCTCTTGTTGGCGATTAGCAGGCAAGTCCCCGAGAGCGTGTCACCGGCCTTGGCGAACAGGGGCGATTGGAAGAGGCAGCGCACCTGGTACCAGTGGGTCAGTGGCTCCGTGGGCGCCGTGGACAGCCACACGGTCATGCTGCCGAGAGATGACGGGGGGGCTGCAGCCTGCGTCCACGGGTCCCGACACCCACCCCTCCAGGCTGGGCACTCACATGGAGCCAATGAAAGCCACGTCGAACCAGAAGGCCAGCCCGTGCACCAGGCCTGAGTGCAGCATGTGGAACTTGAAGGGGATTTCTATCCTGCAGGGAGGGAGGCAACAGGCTGCAGGGCTGGGCCGGGACGGGGGGCGCGCGGGAGGCGGGCCTGGGGGGGCCGAACCTGTGCAAATCTCCTTCTTTGGCTTCTAAGAAGTTCACCGTGTACTTGACAGACTTGGCCATCAGGATCCGGATGTCAAAGGTGTCCTGAGCAAGCACAGGGGGGTGGTGCTGGGGCACAGCTGGGCCAGGGGTGGGGAAGGGCGGGGGGCGGCCACGCAGCCACTCCCCATGGAGGGCAGTGAGGGGGCAGCTTCCCGAAGGCCAGTGGGCTTGGGCAGGTGCCCAGTGAACAAACCCCAATGGGCCAGAGCGATATAGCACAGCGGGCAGCACCCTGGAAATAGGGTCCCCTGAGCCCACCAAGAGTGACCCAATAACACCATGGGGTGGGACAACCCCCCAGAACAAAGCAAAAAGCCTAAAATGACCAGTCTTGGGTGGCACAGACCTGCCCACCAGACCCCAGGAGTTGGGGCCAGGGGTCCCACACACCAGGGTTTCCTCGGCAGTCTGGGAATGATGTGTGGGGGCGTTGGGGACAGCCCAGGCTGCTCCTCGCACCACATCACGGTAAAGCGGGAGGAATGGCCGCCCCTCGCCCCTGGGTGCCCCCCGTGTCGGGCAGCGCTCTGGGGACAGATGCAGATGTGCTCCTGCCACCCGGCAGGGGTCTGTGCCCTGAGAGCTGGACCAGACTGGAAAGGGCCTCTGGGATGGTAGCGGGGCTGCGCCCGGGTGCCAGGGCGGGGTTCACTGGAAGGACCACCACGAGCAAGGAGCACAGGGCAAAAGGACCAAGACAATGGAAAACACCTGAGCCAAAAAGCCAACGGAGAACTAGGCCAAGGCAGGAGTGCCCGGCAGGAGACAGGGGACCTAAGGGCCCATGGGTCACTGCCGGATGGAACCCCCAAACCAAACCTCCCCAAGAAAGAGCTGCTACTAAGTAGAGCAACAGTACAGCAGGGAGGGTGTTTGCCCTATACACAGCTGAGCCGGATTCAATCCCTGGCATCCTCATAAGGGGCCCTGAGGACCACCAGGAGTGATTTCTGAGGCACAGATTCAGGAGTAACCCCTGAGCACCACCGGATGTGGCCCCCAAAATGAAAAATAAATAAAACTACTAGTACAGATAAAAACGGATTTGGGGTGGGGGGGACTGGAGCAACAGCACAGCAGGTAGGGCATTTGCCTTGCATATAGCCAACCCGGGTTTGATTCCCAGCATCCCATATCCCGTGCACTGCCAGGAGTAATTCCTGAGTGCATGAACCCTGTGCATCACCGGGTTCAGACACTTTCCTTGCACACAGAGCAATCCTGAACACAACAAGAGTGATCCACAAATACAGACCTGGGTGTGCCCCCAACCCCCACAGAAAAAATCTTTTCCTCTGATCCTCATTTGAATTTTGAACCGTGCATCCATTTGAAGTGTAACCAGCAGCTAATCAGCACATGAGCACATGGCCCCTTCAGTGACAGCTGCATCAGAAGCCAGGCAGGTGGCAACCACCTGGGCAGACCCGGTTCCCACATCCAGAGTGCCAGGCCCGGCGCAAACTCACCACCACGGGCTGCCGGAAATACTCGTCCACGGCGGCACCACGGAGGGCCGACAGGTCCACTCCGTGGAAGGAGGGCTGGTACCTGCAGAAAGCCGGTCCCGGGAAGGTCAGCAGCAGCAGAGAGGCAGGTCAGCCCGGGAGGGCGGGTTGGCCCTGTGCCCACGCTCACCAGAAATTGGCCTTGGTGAACTGCTCCATGTACAGCTGCTCGTCCGTGAAAGGAGCTAGGTGGACGTCACCAATGGTGGGGAACATGTTTCCTGGGGGTGGGGATGGCGGGGGCTGGCATCAGCACGAGACTAGCCACAGAGCCCGGCAGAGTTTCCAATGAGATTTTTGCTTTTCACTTTGTCACACCGAGTGGTGTTCATGACTTTCTCCTGGCTCTGCGCCCAGGGAAAGGTCCTGGCAGAGTTCGGGAGACCATATGGGGTGCCGAAAAATCGAGTGTGTGTTGGTCATGAGCAAGGCAAGTGCCCTATACACTGTATTATTGCTACAGCCCCTCCGAAAGATTCTAAGGACCCCCAACCCTGGGCCTCCATCCATCTGTCCATCTACCCATCCATCTATAAATTCCTTCCATCTACCCATAACATCCATCGTTTCATTTGTGCATCTGTCAATCTCATCCGTCCACCTATGTACCTTTCCATCCATCTGTCCATCAATCCATCTCTGTGTGCATCCGTCCACTTATCCACCCATCTGTCATTCACCCATCAGTTCCCCGTCCGTCCATCCACGAGTCATTCTTTACATCCCTCCACTACTGTCCTATGTATCTATCCATTCCCCATTCATCTGTGCATCCATCTCCACCCTCTCATCCATCTAGCCTCTGTCCACCCAGACAGAGGTCCTGAGCACCCCCAAGGCAGTGGCAAGATGAATAAATGATACCCGGTGACGGGCCAGCACAGGTAGGAAGGCCTGTGCTTTAGCCCCACACTAGGGCTAGGAGGCAGGGACCACGCACAGCGGCTCCTGGGGCGGGGAGGGGGCCTGGGACTTGCTCCCTCTGCCAGGACAGCAAAGAAAGAAAGGGATCCTGCTGAGGCCTGGGGCTGGGTGGGGCTACCACAGGAGCGAGGCCGGGCCCTCAGCTCACAGACAGGAAGTGCCCAAGTCACCTGGCCTCCAGATGTCAGCCCAGGAGGGGCCAAGGGAACCCGCAGGAATTTCTTTTCCTGCAGCTGAAGGCCCCAAGGGGGAGGGGAGCCTCTGGCTGCTGGGGGTTGGGAGGGTGGGGAAGCTGGGCTCTTAATCCTGCGCTGCTATGCCGGGGCCCACGTCCACACTGCCCAGGAACAGGCCACTGGAGCCATAGGCAGTCAGTGATGCACGCACGGTCGGCAGGCACATAGGACACAGGGAGGACAGGAACGGTCACCAGAGGACCTGGAGTGGACGAGCAGGCCCAGCGACAGGTACACGCACATGTACACACATTCATTCACACCCTCAACAGTCTCACACATACACGCACGCACACATGCATTCATGGATTCCCACAGACACACACACTAACGACCAATGCGTTAGACTGACTCCAGAGCGTGGCCCCGGGGCCACCTCAGCCCCCAAGCTTCCAGCCCCCAGCCAGGCCCCAGGCCCTTCTCTTGTTTTGTTTTGCTTGGGGGCCACCTGGGGCGGTGCTCGGGGCTCACCACTGGGCTTCAGGTACTTCTTGGCATGCAAGTAGCTCTCCAGCATGCGCTCGTTGAAGAGCATGTAGCCCATGGGCTCAGAGATGATGATGTCCACCTGCTCGGGCAGCGCCACCTCCTCCACTTTCCCGGGGATGACCACGATGCGGTCCGTCAGGTTGTTGCTCTTCACCAGCACCTGGGGGCCCGGACTGAGGTCAGGACGGGACCCAGCACCCCCAAACCCCCCCCAGCCGGGGTGGGCGCACAGATGTTCTGGAAGCCGTGTAAGGGGAGTGGGTGTGGGGCCCAGGCAGCCCTGTCCCCCACGGAGGGGCAAGCCAGGGACTCAAGGGGCTGGGGATATAAGTCTGTGTGGTCACTGGCCTGAAGGAGCTCGGGGGGAGGGGATCCCCGCTGCCGACAGCAAAGGCTCCGCGCAGCCTGGGGGGGAGCTCGGGGAGGAGTGAGAGTGTCTGCAGGTGTCTGCTTGCCATCCCCCACGGCACCAGGCAGGACCCCCGGCACCACAGAGCGCCCTGAATTTGGCGATGACCCCGATCCCAGATTTTTGTTTTTGTTTTGTTTTTGTTTTATGGGTCACACCCAGCGATGCTCAGGCGTTACTCCTGGCAGTGCTCAAGGGACCATATGGGATGCTGGGAATCAAACCAGGGTCGGCCGCGTGCAAGGCCAACGCCCTACCCACTGTGCTATCACTCCAGCCCCCTTTTGGTTTTTTGGGTCACACCCACTAATGCTCAGGGATTGCTCCCGGCTCTGCACTCAGGAACCACTCCTGATGGGGCTCGGGGGAACCTTTGGGAGGCCAGGAATCGGCTCCAGACAGTCGCATGCAAGGCAAGCGCCCTCCCCACTATGCCATCACTGCAGCCCACCAGTCCCAGTGGACCCCACCTCAGCGTGCTGGGCCATGGTACTGGCCTCCACCGCGTAGATCTTCCTGGCTCCAGCCTGGGCAGCGAAGAATGACAGGATCCCAGAGCCGCAGCCCACGTCCAGGACAATCTGGGGGTCATGGGGAGAGGGCGGTGACGTCACGGGGCCCACTGGCCATAGCCCTGCTCCCCTTCCCACGTCTCCCAGAGTATCAAGAGGAGGTGCCTGCGGGGGCGATGGGGTGAGGCCACTGCGGGTGCCTTGTGTTTGTCATCCCCTCAAATGGGCTGGGCGGGGCGGGGGACGGGATGCCGAGATGCCAAGCAGGCAAGTGTAAGGGCCCCGGGTTCGAGCCCGCAGCACCCTGCTTCGACTCTAACGGTCAGGCCCATGGCGCCAGGCTGATGGCTGACAGGAGAAGTCCCAGGAAAGATGCCTTCGAACAAGAAGCACCGAGTCCCACAGTGGGGCGAGAGGAGCGGGTGGGCGCACCTTGTCCTTGAAGTCACTGTGGTTCTGCAGGATGGCACGCTGGTAGGTCCCCGTGCGCACGTAGTCCTGCATCATGTTCTGTTGCTGGGACAGGTAGCCGTAGAACTAGGACAGAGACAGGCCCTTGGCACGGGGCGCGCGGCTGGGAGACTGGTCTGAGCCCTGCTGGGCCCAGGGGCAGCCACCACCACTGCCCCACAGCCGCTGCTGGGCTCTTGGACCTGAGTGCCCCAGGAGACTCTCCCTGGAGAGGGATCGGGGCCGCCTGCCCCCCATGAGGGGAGCAGGAGAGAAGGATGCGGCTCAGACTGCGCCCTAGGATTGAGAGTGCCAGGCGGGCGAGAGGCCGTGGGGTAGGGGAGTGTCTCTGTAACGCAGTGTGGCAGCTGCATGGGGCCACGGGCTTTTGGCAGCAGGCGGACCTGGCTTCCCGGCTCGGCTCTGTTGCATAATAGCTGTGTGACTTGGAGTAAGTCACTTAACCTCTCTGAGCCTCAGTTTTCTCATCTGTAAAATGGGGACAATAATAGTACTTACCTCCTTAGAGTTGCTGGGAGGCATCCAGGGCTCCCTATGTGTGGGAACTGGCAGACTTGGGGCCCGGGCTGGGGGTTGGGGGGCTGCCCTGGCCTTACTGAGACGCCCGTGGGTCTGCGCACCACCTGCATGCCCATCCTGCCAGCAACACTCTTGGACAGGCATCAGTCTCCCCAGTTCACACATGGGGAAACTGAGGCAGTCAGTCAACGCCCTGAGGGACCCACCTGGAAATACTGCACGGCCGAGGACTCCTCCGTGCGCTCGCTGAACACCGAGCGCTCCAACGTGTGCCCCCGGCAGGTTTTCAAGATGTTGTAGAAGGAACAGAAATCTACGGGGTGGGGACAACGGGGACAGCCGAGTCACAGATGGGGGGGCCAGGGTGCTCGATGGGCCCGATGGGACACTGCTCTCGCCTCGCTTATTTTGGGGGCTGAGTCCAGGGTTGTTCCCGCCTTGGGGCTTGGTGCTGGGGGTCCCGACGCAGAGTCAGGGATGGAGCCGCCCTGCCCGCGCTGCCAGCTCGGCGGTTTCTATTTATCTCTAGGTTTCTAGGGGCAGCATTTCACCTCCAGAGGCAGCACAGGGCGGCGGGAGAGCGAGCGCGAGCGCGAGGCACCCCAACCCCGCCCCCAATCGCAACAGGCTGATCGACCTCTGGGGGGGAGATACCCAGGGGCTGCCCTCCGTGCACTCAGGAAGGGAGAGGCCTTTGGGTCCCGGGCCCCTCGCCTACCGTTCGGGGTGGCAAACTGGATGAGTACGCTGTTACAGCCAAGCGTGATGATGAAGGACTGTTTGCCCACGCGGCTGCACTCCGTCTCCCGCGACACGGAGCACTTGAACACGCACACGTCCTCATCTGCAGGAGAGGCCCTGTCAGATTCTCCCCCACCGGCCCTCAGGTGCTTCTGGGGTGCAGCCCTGGGCCCCAGCACCCCCAAGCAGCAGCCCAGGCTAGTGACTGAACAGGGACACAGTGGGTCTTGCCGTCAAAGAGATAAACGGCCCTGGGGTGTTTCCACTTCCAGAGGGCAGGGTTGAAGGGCCCCAGGGCCTGGCCAGCACCCCGGCCCAGTCCTGGTCACCCCGGACCCCTGTGGGGAAGGGAGCCAGAAGGACCCGGGGGGCCGGGATGGGGCCCCGGAGCAAACAGGGCTCCAGGCACCAGCCGACCAACTCTCCCAGAAGGTGGACTGCAGTGGGGCCCCAGCAGGTAGCAGGAAGCCCAGCGGTGTGCCCCCCCAGAGATTGAAGGGGATACGGAGAGTGAACCCAGGTGATTGAGCTCAGGTTGCCCTGTGCAGAGCAAAGGCCCTCCCCGCTGTGCATCTCACTGTCACCCCGCCCCCTGCTGAGTTTTGTCAATCAAGTTTTATTGTGGTTGTGGCTGGTAGTGGGCCATGGAGTGGAGTCATGGAGTACTATGCTGGAAGCAGCCTTGGGCACCTCCCCCCCCAGGTCCATGGAGAGGCCACAGGAAGGAAGCAGCAGCCCCACCCCTGCCCTGCTAGCACCTGTTCCTCTGCCTGGATGCTCTGGTGGGAAGTAGGTGCTGGAGGCCTGGCCTGGGGGTGTTTCCTGGGAGCTGCACGGCAAGGGGCCGGCACAGCCTCATGCAGCAGACCTGCAGTGTGGCAGGTGGGGGCCATGGCCCCGACCTCAACTGCAGACAGGCCTGTCTACAACCAGAAACTGTTCTGCCCGCACCCCCCACCCCCAGAACACCCCCACTTCAGGGCTCGCCCATTCGGACACCCCCATGCAGATCCATAGTAATGGGGATCCTGGAGCGCATTCTTTAGGACTCATGCCCTGATGGGGAGCCCTTTCTGGGGGTTCAGTCCTGCCAGGACACTTCCCAGGGCTGTCAGGAGCCCGCTGAGCCCTATGGCTCCTCCACACTGCCCCCCATCACCCCGAGAGAGGGGCCTAGGCGAGGCCGCAAGGCGCCTTGAGCCAGAGTCAGGAGCACACCCCGGAGTCCTGATGGGAAGCAGATGGGAACCAAGCAGTGGGAGGGGGACCATCAGGCGCCCCTGCAGGGACAGACCAAGGCCTCGCTGCACCTCTCTGCATACTGCAGGGTAAACACGGGCACTCTGGCCCGGCTTGTTGCTGGTGCAACCAACTGTGGTTTTATCTCAACACACGCTCAGGACCCGGCCAGGCTTTGGGGTCTCTTCCTGGGCTTGGCCACACTGTCTTTGGCCCCTTCAGTGGAGCCCCTGGTTCCTGCCCCGTAGCCACGCCCACTAGCTGAAGGGGCTGTTTCTGCTTCTGCATCTTGGTAACCAGCCCAGCGTTCCTAAACTTTGACATCCTTCACCCCACAAGGAGCTGAGGTCCCCTGACCCCACCCCACCCCCCAGCCCCTGCCCCTTGCTCCTACCCCATGGCATTTGCTTCCAGGTAGCCCTCGTGAACAGGGGGCATATTACACGGGTCCCAGGCTTTCTGTGTGCTGCCGGAAGTGACCCCAACCTTTCCCCAAGCAAATTTATTGGATTCTGTGGGAGGGAGACCATCGGGGCGCCCCTGCAGGGACAGATCGTGGCCCTCTTAAAAAATTGCTGGGCCCACTTGGGGTGCGGTGCTGGGAGCCAGACTTGGGGTCCGGTGCCACGTCCCCACCCGCCATGCAGGGAATCTCTGTGGGGGCACACGCCGCTGGTTCCTCCTACCTGCGGCTACCCTGAGCATCGCCAGGAGTAATCCCTGAATGCAGAGCCAGGGGTGGCCCCAACCCCAAAGGAAAAACCAAACAACAAACCCAGGGGACCCGGGAATAGACAGAGGCCGCACTTTGGCCCCTCCACGGCCCTTCCCTGACTCACTGGAGACAAACACACCCCAATCCCAGCCTAGGAGGGTGGAGAGTGATGAGAATTCCCAAGGGACGTGTCCACTAGGGGGAGGGTCCGCAGAAAGGCCCTGTCCCTGGGCTGGGAATGCGTCCCAGTGAAAGGGAGCAGGGTGCTGGCAGCATCCGGGGACACAGGGAACTAAGGGGGCTGCTCTGCTAGAGAGAGAAGTGGGGAGACCCCTGCTGGTCAGAGGCTCTCCGGGAGGAACACAGCCCGGGAATTCGAACCTACCTGCTCCTTCCCCTCTGGTAACTGAAACCCAGCAAAGCCTGGAGCAGCAGGGAGGGGTCGCCACACCCCGACACTCCCTGCCACACCCTGAGGATCTGAGGGCCTGAGGTCACCCTGGGACCTCCCTCCTCCAGCCCCACCAGTCCAGAGCAGGCAGGAGAGGAGCAGGGGGCAGGGGACCCTCAGAAGGAGTTGATAACAGCTGGAGGGGGGCCGGGCACAGCCAGGTGCTGGGCTCACCCCTGGGCGGGGTCCTTGGGGGGGAGGAATGGGGCTCAGAGGGCCTGGGGAGAGAGGGGCAGCCTAAGGCCGTGTAGGGAGGGATTCATGTAGAAAGAGGTCCTGGGCCCTCTCCAGGGCCCCCCGAACAGGTCAGGAGTGTCCTGAGGAGTGGACAGTGTGGGGACCACAGGTGGGGGCACCCATGCCTCAGCCTTGGTTTCTCACCCGGCCCGGCCACCACCTGCCCGTCTCTGCGAGAGGTGAAAGGCAGCAGAGGACAGAGAAGCTGAGCCACCGGGCACCCCCAGCGCCCCGAAACGCCCCCTGTCCAGCAGGGAGGGCCAAGCGTGGCTGCAACCCCCGCCATCCCCAGTCCAGGGGCTCCTCCAAACCCGGGGTTCCCACCCTGGTAGCCCAGAGAGCTGGGGGTGCCCGCAGCTGGCTGGAAACAAACGAGGTGGGTTCCCAGAGCCCCCAGCCTGGCTCCCAAGACTCAGTCCCACACACCAGCGCACAGAGCTGCCACCTCATGGCGAGCCCGGCCGCTGGGGGGCTGCTCCGACTCAGAGGCCCCCACCTCAGTAAATGGGGCCCCAGCACGTGCGGGGACGCTGTGCGTGGGCAGCAAACGCACCAGAGCCCAGAAAGCTGGCCGGGCCACCGCGGGGTGTGAGGAAGTGCTTGAAAGGCGAGGACAAAGAAGGGCCAGGAAGGGGGGGGGGGCCCTCGGCCCGAGAGGGGGTGGGAGGGGCGAGCCCCCACCCCTATGCGGCTGGTTTCCTGGGCATGCGCATCTGAGAGCCCCTATACACGCACGCGCGCACATTGGCGCACGCACACTCCTGCACACGCGCGTGCACACGCCTGGGCTCTGCGGGCCCTAAACAATGGGGATCAGAGGGAGGCGCAAGGGGGCTCCGCGGTCCCCGACCCAACTCGCCAGGCCCCGGGAGGCCTCGGCTCCATTTCTTCTCCGAGCTGGTTTTCCGGGAACAAAGAGGGGCGTCAGAGAGGCCCCCACGGCAGGCACCTTATTTTCTCCCTCAGAAGGTCGAGCCACAGAGATTCCTGGGGCTGGGGGTCCTGGACTTCCCAAGCGGCGCCCCCACTGGCCCGGGAGGGCCACACCCCACACTGGGGGGGCCGGGTCTCCGCAGGCCACGCCCAGCGCCCGGGTTGTGGGATCAGGGGTTTCCCCCAGTTCCCGCCAGACCCGCCACTGCCTGGCATGCGGAGAGCTGCGGGCACTGGGCAGGTGAAGGGCTGAAGGGGCTTCCCCCTGGCCGGGGGGGGGGGGGGGGGGGGGGGAGGGGGGCGCACAAGGTCAAGTCAAGGAGAGGCCCCAGCATGCTAATCAGGACCTCCAGCCTAGGCCCAGGCAGGGTAGTGGGGGATGGGCGGACATTCCAGCCGTGGCGCCCCAAGAGCCTGGGCTGAATGGAGGGGGATGGACGCCTCCCTGCGGCCGGCCAGCAGGGGCCTTCTACACCTGGCCAGCTCCACCACTCACCCCGCACCCCGCAGGGGAGAACTGTAGCCTCTTCCCACAGTGCTCCCGCTTCCCGCGGGCTCAGGAAGTGAGAGGGGGGAGGTGCAGCACGGCCCTGGGGTCACTTTCTTATTCTGGGGGTGGGGCCCCACACCCGGCTGTGCTCAGGCATCACTCTGGGTGAGGCCAGGAGAGTGGGGTCCTATATGGCTTTGGGGACAAAGTTGGGGTGGGCTTTGTGCAAGGCCAGTATCCCCCCCACACATCCAACCCCCTGGAGTCACTTTCCTTCCCGCTCTTGGGGGCGTGCCCCTCCCTGAGGCCGACAGGGAGGGAGACGTACCCACACACACACACAAAAGCTCATGGCCACCCCCAGCCGCGCCTGTGCCTCTGAAACAGCTCTGACAGCTCAGGACACCCTGGCTCTGGGCTCAGGATCACTCCCCGGACCTACACACCAGCTGAAGGTCCCGTTGCCCCCAGCAAGGCGAGCAACACGCCCCACCCTACTCCAGTCCCTCCACTTTCCATTTTAACCTTTAGCCAAGTTAACACCCCGCCCCACCCCCAGAAGCTCAGCTCTCCTCCTCTGGGATGCCTCCAGGAATTCACCTTTGGGTCCAGAAGTGATTTCTGGGCCTGAGGGCAGGCCAAGGGAAAAGTTATTCCCTATTCCCTCTGGTCTCCCTGGTCCTGAGCCCTCCAGCACCTGTTCAGCCCACAAGCACCCCCACTCTGCTGCAGGCAAAGCCAAGGAATCAGTTTTCAGCTCCTACCAGCCCAGAGCTGGGGACAAGGCACACTCTGGGGTCTCACAGGGAAGAGGCCTTATCACTTTTTTTTTTGACTTTTTGGATCACACCCCACCATACTCAGGGATAGTGCTCAGGGGACCATATGGGAGCACCCTGGTGGTGCTCAGGGGACCATATGGGACGCGGAGGATCAAACCTGGGTCACCTGTGCAAGGCAAACACCCTACCCGTTGTCCTAGAGCTCCTGCCCCAAGCCTTACCACTTATGCCTCACTTATCTGAAGATAAGATGCTACTGGGAGTCCCCCAAAGCTCTGCCGCTCCAACCCCGGTGCTTGCTCCAAGCCAAGCTGAAGCCCCCCGCTCGCTGAAGCACCACTAGTCCCGCCCCCTTCTCCCCTCCACTAGCGCAGGTCTTCCGAAGAGCGCAGTGGCTCGGACTACATTTCCCAGCCTCTCTTGCAGCTAGCAGTGGCCACATGACTGCCCAGAGGCCGCTGGGATGAAAGCCCCCAGAGCCAGCCTGGGGGAAATGGCCAGACTTTCACCCAGCAGAGCGGAAGTCAGGGTGTCTCAGGGTGTCGTGGGCCGGCCAGACACAGGGCTGATCTGTGAAAGGCCAAGCCTTTGTTGGGGGTGGGGCGGGGGACACAAGCACGGCAGGACCCGGGACCCACCATGCCCCGCAGCAGAGCTTGTGGCCAGCCTGGACATCCAAGTAAAAAGCCAATCGCAGTGTCTTAAGCCTGTTACCTCGGGACACAAAGAAACTGGGGGGGGGGGCTGGCAGTGCCAGCTTTGAATGGGGGAGCGGGACCGGTTGGAGCCCAGGCAGCATGAGACCCCAGCAGTGAGAAGTGAGCGGGGAAACAGCACCGTCAGGTGTGGCCCACGAAGCAAAACAGCAACGAAGAGAAGGGGTCCCAGTGCGGGCCTTGAACACAGCCAACCCAGATTTTCTCCCCAGCACTATCTAGGGTGCCCCCGGCAGTGCCAGGAGCCAGCCCTGAGCACAAAGCAGGAATAAGCTCAGAGCAGCAGCAGGGAAAAGCCAAAAGGGGGAAAAAAGGAAAAGAGAGGAGGAAAAAGAAACAAAAAGAAACAAAAGGAAACAAAGAAAACAAACGCTCTCTGATCTCTGAATGAAACTTCAGGCACCTCCAGCGGCTCCTGTGCATCCCAGCTTCGCTTCTGTCGGCAGCAAGCGGCTCCCATTGCACACCTCCCTGGCCACGGACCTGGGTGCGAGCTGGGTGCGAGCTCTCAAAAGCCACTCCCCAAACATGATCCTACACACACACACACACACACACACACACACACACGGTGCCCTCCGCAAGAAACTCCCCACTGGCGGGGGGTGGGGGTGGGGTCCAGACTCCAGCCTCCCGGGTGCAGTAACCTGGAAGAGCCCAGCCGAGTCCCAGGGTGCGAGTGAACCAAACACAACGAAACCCAGGAAAGGTCTCGGGTGGGAGCGAACTCCAGGGCTCTGCATGCCCCGTGCCCCGACACCACCGTGACCCCACAGGGTCCTCCAGCACCACCAGAGCTCCAGAGCACCGCCAAGTGGGGCCCCCAAACTAGATTAAAAAAAAAAAAAAGATCCTGCTTGTCCACAGTATCGGCCTACTCCAGCTGCCATCTGGGGACAGAGCCTGGCAATTAGGAAACACACGCCCACCCCCAGCCTCCGCCCACCCCCCAGTCTAGTCACACTTCTCCCCTGCCCTGCCACTTCAGTTTCTGACCTCCTCCGCCATCTGTGTGTGTGACCGAAGGTTTGTCACTCGGACTCTCTCAGGGGGTTTTCGCGGGGTTTCCACAACTGCCAGGGCGCCCCTGAAATGAAACTTAGCACCCTGGCTGCAGCTGGGGCAGAAATCAGGGCCCGCTGCCCAGTCATTCCCAGAGCACCCTCGGGGGGCTGTGAACAGGGAGGAGGTTTCTGTTGGCCCTTCCACCCACAATAACTCAGCCCCTTGGTGGCATGGGGCTTTGGATCCTGCACCCCAGGCTGGACACAGGACAGCAGGGTTCACCTGCCACACGGCCACAAAAGTGATGTTACTGTGATGTTGTTCCTCCCCATCCCCCCACGGTACCAGCCACGAGGGAGCAAGTCAAGAGGGTGAGTTCCAGGCCAGGGGGCAGAAGGCCCTACGTGTCCGAGTCCATGATCAGAATCCCTACCCGCACTCAAGGATCCCCCCGATCCCACCATGGAGACGCTTGGGGGTGTCCCTGGCTGAAGCCCTTCCTTCCACAGTCTGCAAGTCCCTTCTCCAGGAACCCAGATGCCGCCAGCAGAGAAAGCATGGCCAGCTGGTGGAGAGAAGAACCCTGAATCCCAGCAGTGTGCTGCACCCCATCAGCCAGGAGGTGGTGCTCCCCCAGCCACTCCCTACTGCCAGGCCCCCCACGAAGGGCGCACCTGGAAATCCTCCAGGGGCCCGTCCTGTGCCACACCCTGGCCCCCACTCTGGAACTTTGATCTCCTGGATTCCTCCTAGGGTGCCCCCTCCTCCCCTGGGGCCTCACTCCAACTCTAGAGGCTGGGGCACAGCTTTCATCTACCCAGCAGCTGTGCATCCCCCCCCACCCATGTGGTCAGCACCACACTGGAACAAGGAGGAAACTGAGGCCCAAAACAAGGAGAGGGGCAGGGTCCAGGGGGGACAAACTTGGATCTGGAGGAGTGGGGTGTCTGTCTATTGTGTGATTTTGGAGCCACACCCAGCAGGGCCCAGGGGCCACTCCTGGCTCCCCAGGCCCCAGGCCGGCATGCGTGGACACACTTCACAGGACCAGGCGGTACTGGGGACAGACCCGGGGCAGCCCACCAAACCTCATCCCTCCGCCCTGGAAAAGGGGGTGCAACCAGAGTAAGGATGGCGCTGGAGATGAGATTGGGGGTCCCTTCCTGGGAAGGACTGGGGACCAGCCAGGACAGAGGCAGAGACGGAAGCTCCGTCACCTCTGGACTGAGAGCAGGAGCTGCGGGCAAATCCCCAACAACCGGCAGCTTGGGAAGCGGCTAAGCTGGTGACAGCAGGTTCCGGAGACACACACACACCCGGGTCGGCCAGCATTCAGTCCCCACCAATGTCACAGGTCCAAGGTATGCTCAGCCCCGGCGGGGTTCTAGTTGGAGACAGGAAGGTCTGTCGAGCAGCCTGCAGCCAGGAGCTATTTGACTGAGAAACTAGTAACAGTTTCCACTAGGCCCACAAAATCAGACCCGGGGGGTACCTTCTCCTCAATATAATGCCACTAGCGCACCATTCCAAAGAAGTTCCTTCAAGTCATTTGGTCCAGGCTCCTGGAACTCCCATAGGGCCCTTAATTCAAGAAATTCGCTGCTCCCTATGTATTCTGGTCCCCACGTGTGCCTCTGGGCCCCGCTTTAGCTCTGAGCTGAAGACGGAGCTTTAAAGCTTTCTAAGTTCAGCTGCTAGGCTCGACCCAACCAGCCAACCCCACCCAGCCCTTCAGATCCCCGCTCCCCATCCCAAAGTGGAAAAAAAGAAATCCGCGGAGGCGCCAGAGGCAGAGAAGAGGCCCAGGACAGGCCCCCCAGCCGGTGCGGGCTGGGCTGAGACAAAGCTGAATGAACCAGAAAGGCAAACCTCCCCTGCCAGCCGAGCGGAGACCAGCCTCCAGCTACAAAGACAAGGGTCCCTGGCCAGCACGCAGAGTGGTTCTTTTTTCCTTTCTTTCCTTCTTTCTATCCCCCCTCCCACCCCCACCACTGAAATGTCAGTTTTGAAACTAGCTTAGGAAAATGTAAACCAGCTTTTCACAAGCCCCAAACCGGCACGGCACATCAAAGACCTCGCAGGCCGCGTGGAGTTGGGGGAAGGTTACCTGGGATATGCCAGGGCGGGGGTGGGCATCAGGAAGGCGGCGGCCCCCCCAACCCGGCCACTGCCCCACGTCGACAAGTTCCCCACGGGGGTCCTCCGGACCGGGGCACCGGCTCCTCCAGTCTGGTCTCACTTCCCAACAGTCCGAGAGGAAGCGGTGCCCCCTGAAGTGCCCAGACGCTGCCCTCGCCCCTCCCTGCCCTCCGGGGGGCCACGGCCGCCCCAGGGTTTCCTCCGCTTTCTCCGCTCGGACCGACTCCCGCGGGCCGCCCGTCCCCACGCTCGGGGCCCTCGCTCCCCCGTTTCCCGCTTCTCCGCTCACTCCGGGCACCGCTGCCGGCCCCGCGTCCGCCCTCCTTTCTCTCCGCCCCTGGCCACCGATCGTCCGCCCCGGCCGCTGGGTCCCCCACGGCCCGCCTCGTGCGCGGCCCCCGCGCGCCGCCCGGCCCGGGGCCCCGACTCACGGCTGTAGAGGGCGATGCCCGCCGCGTCCGGGCCGGCGCGCACCTCGAGGCGCAGCGCCTGCTGCTCCGCGTGCCGCTGGATCTCGCCGTTCGCGTCGCCGATGGTGAGAAGGCGGGCGCCGGGGAACACGGACACGGCCGAGCAGGGCCCCGTGCCCACCGGGCCCACCGGGCCCCCAGCGCCCGCGCCGCCCGCGCCCGGCCCCGCCGCCGCCGCCGCTGCCATCTTAGATCCGGCTCCAGGCCCCGCCGCCGCCGCCGCCGCCGCGCCCGGGCCCAGGCCGCCGCCGCCGCCGCCGCCGCCGCGCCGCCGCCGCCGCCGCGCAGGCCGAGGCCGAGGCCGAGCCGGGCAGCGCCCCCTGCCGGCCACGCGCCGCCTCGCCGCCGCCGCCGCCGCCGCCGCCGCCGCCGCGCCGCCGCCAGGCCCGTGGCGCCGCGCCCTCTGCCGGCGGCCCCGGCGCGGGGAGGGGAGGAGCGGGCCGGGGGGCGGGGCCGAACCCGACGCCCCGCCCCGCGGGAACCGTCGCCGCTTTGTGAGGTGGCTCCGCGGCCCCGGAAAGGCGGAGGCAGGTGCGGGCCAGGGGCGGAGCCCTGGTGTGGACCCCGCCCCCTCGGGCCTGGGCCCCGCCCCCTCGGGCTAGGCCCCGCCCCAGGAGGCGCGAGAGCAGAGGTGGCCCGGTGGGGGCAGGGCTCGAACGCGACGAACCGTCCCGAAACCCGCCCCTCGCTCTGGGAAGCGGATGTGACGCGATCATCCCCGCCCCGCCCCCGGGGATAGGCTCCACCCCCGGTCTCCACCCGGCTTTGTGAGGAGGCACGCGGAGGGGCGGAGTCAGAGTGCGGCGAGGCCCCGCCCCGATGCGGCCCCGCCCACCGAGCCTGGCTTTGTGAGGCGCCTGGCCGAGGGGCGGGGCCAGGCGTGAGGGCGGAGCCAGGATCAGGCCACACCCCTCCGCTTGCGAAGCGCGAGCGGGCGGGGGCGGCCCTCCCCCGCCTCTGCTCCCCCTGGTTGGTTTTGCAGTGCCCTCCGCCTCCATCCTCCGCCTCTTTGAGTCTCTCTCTCTGGCCGCTGCCTTCAATGCCTGCTGATTAGTGAATTCTGCAGAGCCAGGGCAAAAGCCCCTTCCCAGACACGCAGTCCTTCCTCCTGAGTGCCCCCTCCACTGCTCCAAAGCTCCAGTCTTTGGGTGCGGAGGGCTTGTGGCCACATCCAGTTTTCCGGCCCCCTCTTTTCCTTGGGTCAGTTAATTTCCTAATTCTCTCCCGGTCCTTTGCCCCCAGACACCCCTCATTGCACCTCTCATTATCTCCCATTCCAGCAAATATTCCTCACCCTCCCTAGTCCCCACAGTCTGAGGGCAGTGACGGGGCTTCTCGCCAGCTGCCCTGGCCTCCTGCCACCAAGATACACCCGAGATTCTAACCTAGGTTTGAAGAATTCCAGTGCAGAGGTCTCAGAAGTCTCAGAACTGTACCACGTGTTAGCATGAATAAATTAGGCTGAAACATGCCCCCAAAACAATGCACCAAAACTCCAACTGAGTTGGCCAAGTCAGGAATCGCCAGGGGTAAGAGGCAATGAAGCAGAGTGGTGACCAGCTCTGATCCCCTCGTGTCCACCCTTAGGGGTGGGAGTGCCCTCAACATGAACTTCCTGAGGCGAAGCAGCTGGAAACCCAAAGTCATTTTTTGCTTTTTCTGTGCACTGTATGCCTGCACCCCCTTTCCCCACTCCTACTCCTCTATAGGGAATATCCTGCACCTAGAGGCCTCCTTCATCTCTCCAACTGTCCAAGAAAAGGGTCCTTGGAGCCGGAGCCCCAAAGTAGCTGGAACGAGGGTGGGTCCATCCAACACACCTGGGCGCGCTCAGAGAGTCAGTGTGCAGGCGGGCCCCTGCCAGCCTCGGTCTCACTGGCAGCTCTGGAAAGTGCGGAATTCGAGGGGCTCAGGCGAGGATGAAGTGGAGGTCGGCCTCCGCCGTGGCCCAGAGTCCCCTGGTGTCACTGTGGAGCCTGGGAACGCGTCCTCATCTGAAGCTGTTTTCTTCATCCATGTGAGAGAGAGAGAGAGTCCCGTGACTTGGTCCAGCACACACAGGCATGCAGGCATGCACACACATGCATGGATACATGCACACCACACACATGCAGGCTCACATAAGCACATATGGACACATGCGCACATATGCAGATACTCACACACGGACATATGCACTCACATGCAGGTTCACACACATGGACACACGCACACACACGAACACATGGACATGCACACACATGCACACGTGCAGACACATGGACACATGGACACATATGCAGGTACGCACAGATACAAATGGACACATGCACACATATGCATGACACACACGCACAGATGCATGGACATGCACACACATGCATGGACACACACGTACAGATGCATGAACATGCACACACACATACATGCACACGCGCACACGCGAACACACAGACGGACTCATATTTACATACTTTGCTGCGTCTGTCCTCCCTCCCTCTCTGCGGAACTGGGATCTGACCCAAAGCCAGGTTCCTGTCTCAAACCCAGGACGTCCTGGGCTGGAGCTACTGGACAGCAGAGAGAACATTTGCCTTGTACCTGGCTGGCCTGAGTTCAATCCCTGGCATCCCATAGGGTCCCCCGACATTGTCAGGAGCGATTCCTGGGAGAGTCAGGAGTCACCCCTGAGCATCGCCGGGTGTGATCCAAAAAGCCAAAGGAAAAAAAGAAATAAAAAAGGAGAAGGCTCTGTGCAGGGGGCGTGCTAGGAACAGCCTAGACACAGTGACGCCCCCCCCCCCCCAAATGCCATTATACAGGGGAAGTAGCGGCCGCTGCCACTGGGCTCCTGTGGGTTCAGACGGAGCTGCCAGGGGCCGGGAGACAGTACAGGGGAAAGGCACTGCCCTCGCACGCAGCTCACCCCGGTTCAGTTGATGGCAACACATATGGTCGGCCAGGAGTCAGCCCTTAGCACCACTAGACGTGGACAAAAATTTTTTTTTTTTTTTGCTTTTTGGGTCACACCCGGCGATGCTCAGGGGTTACTCCTGGCTCATGCACTCAGGAATTGCTCCTGGCGGTGCTCAGGGGACCATATGGGATGCTGGGAATTGAATTGAACCTTTGTTGGCCATGTTGGCTGCGTGCAAGGCAAACGCCCTACCCGCTGTGCTATTGCTCCAGCCCCCAACAAAAATTTTTTAAAAAATTGTTTTTTGCTGATTACCTGCCGTTTATTCACTCTTTTGTTTCTCCCATCTCACACACTCTTCATTCCTAGCTCTCAGATCCCTTCATTTCCAGCTCTCTCCCTTGCAATTCATTCCTCGATTTTTTCCTCTTACTCTTAATTCTAGATTCCCTTCTAACTCTGATTCTGAGCCCCCAAATTATTTTTAATGAGTCAGCAATGAATTCTGCATTGGGTAGGGGTCACATCAAAATGTACCCAGAGGGGCAATAGCACAGCGGGTAGGGCATTTGCCTTGTACGCGGCCGATCCAGGTTCGATTCCCAGCATCCCATATGGTCCCCCGAGCACCGTCGGGAGTGATTCCTGAGTGCATGAACCAGGAGTAACTCCTGTGCATCGCGGGGTGTGACCCAAAAACAACAGCAGCAACAACAACAACAACAAAATAAAAAACTTAGGTAATTGAAAATATTTAAAAAAAAAAGGTACCAAGAACTTCCTCTGGCTCTGTATTCAGGAATCACTCCAGCAGGGCTCAGGGGACCCTACAGGACACCGGGGATCTAACACAGGTTGGCCAGGTACAAGGCAAATGCCCTCCCCGCTGTCCCATCGCTCAGGTTGTTAGGGGAGTTCCCAAAGGCAGCTCTCACCTCCTGCAAAGAAGTCTCTGTCAGGGCTGGGGACTGGGGTCTGGAGAGTGACAATGGAGTGGCAGAGTGCTGGTCTTACACGTGGCCAACCCGGGTTTGATCCCCAGCATCCCATAGGGACCTGAGCACTGTCAAGAGTAACTCCTGAGTACAGAGCCAGGAGTAATCCCTGAGCACTGCCAGGTTTGGCCCCAAAACCAAAACCAAAAGATTCTGGGCTTTCAGGAGCACCTCTCTAACAGCAGGGATACAGCACCTGACCCCTACTTGGTGAAGGCTAAGAAACAAGCAGTCAGGCACTCACTGCAGAGCTGATGGTGAACAGGGAGTTGTCAAATGTCAAGTCTGAAAGAGAAAGAAGCGACGTGACCCACCAAGCCCCAGCGCCACCCCCATACGGAGGTCAGGGCGCTCTCCCCTGCCCTCCCCCTGCCCTTTCCCACCTGAGCGGGCACTGCTGCATGGGTGGACCCCACAATGAGCCCTTCCCACTGGTGCAGAGTGTCCTCCTGCCACCCACACCGCCCCCAAAGAAAGGGTTGTCCAGTTTCAATCCATGCCTCCCCTATCACCCCTTCCCCAACAGTCAGAGTTCCCACAGGGTCCCAGGCTTTCCTGCAAACACCCACTAGACACCCAACTACACTCTGCTTAAATATCGCTTCCTGGGGCCAGAGCGATAGTAGATAGTACGGCGGGGAGGGGAGGCCGCTGGCATCCCACAGGGTCCCCGGAGCACCTCCAGAGTCATCCCTGAGTTCAGAGTCCTGAGTAAACCCTGGAGCATGGCAGGGTGTGGCTCCAAAACAAAAACAAATTTGAGGAAAAAATTGCTTACTGGGGCGCCCCCCATCTTCCAATTCCTAAGAAAGTCTCAGCCTGTCAGCAACCTGCGCCCCCCTACCCCACACACACACCTGTTAGAGACCCATTGGCGACTGAGTCCGCAGCTGTCCTGGGTCACTGTGGTGCCCAGTCTCCCCACCCTGGATCCTAGCACACGCTGGGCACTCATGAAGCACTCAGCCTACAGAGGCCGGAGGGGTGGGGGGGGGGGCAGCCTTTTATCCCTCCCTCAGCCCAGCAGCCCACATCACAGACGGGCTGACTCTGCCCCCTGCTGGGCGCCAGCAGAATGACACTTCTGGACCACCAGGGGCTCTATTGAGCCCAGGGGCACTAGCAGAAACTCCCGGCACCTCAAAAACCAAGCTGGAGAAATTGGACAAAGGGCAGGGCACCCAAGGGGCAAGGCACTGACATGGCTTCAATCTCCAGCATCGCACAGGACCACATAGAGCCAGGTGTAAGCCCTGAGCACAGTTGTGATTCCCCCCCTCAAAAAAAAGCCCTGTAACTTATTACAAACACAACCATGAGTTCATATGGTTCAACTGGGGGGGGGGGGGGAGAAAAATGTCAGCGTAAGGCGGGGAGGGATCCAACTAGAAAGCACATCCCTGGAAGGCTCCCTGGAGGAGGTGGCCTTTAATGTGTGATGGAGGGAGAAACAGGTGGCAGAAAGACTGAAAGACCCTATTACTCCCACCCACCCATAGGATGAAGCAGAGAGAGAGAGAAAGTGTGAGATGAAAGTGGGGAAGCGGGGGCATGTTTCATCAGGGGGAGAGAGGTGTGTGCTGTGGAGAGTGAGACCCATGGCATTTCAGGGGTAAGGCCTATCTGTGGGGATGCACAGACCTGAGTTCATGAAGTTAATCTGCGCCCAGCAGGATTCACGCTCCCTGCGAAGAGATTGCAGAGGGGTAAAGGAATGCTCTTTGTTTTTTTTTGTTTGTTTGTTTGCTTTTTGGGTCACACCCGGCGATGCACAGGGGTCACTCCTGGCTCTGCACTCAGGAATTACTCCTGGCGGTGCTCAGAGGACCATATGGGATACTGGGAATCGAACTCGGGTCGACCGCGTGCAAGGCAAATGCCCCACCGGCTGTTCTATGGCTCCAGGCCCAGGACCGCTCTTTGGGGCAGCCTTGCAGCCAGGAATCCTGTTCCCAATGCTTCTCCCTCACAAACTTGACCGGGGCTTCCCCTCTGCCACAGACAAGGCTGATCCCCTGAAATGTCGGACAGAGCAGAGCCCTGGCCACCCCCGGAAGGGGTTCCCCACTGCTTCGCAGATAACCAAGGAATCCCCTGGCAAAGCACGCCGCCACGAGGGTGGCTGGAATTCCGCACTGCAACGGGCACTGCTCGGGTTTTCTAGATTCATTAGGACGACAAGGGGAAGGGGGAGTCTAATCAATTGAAGCCACATTCAGACCGTGCGCTCCACCTCCCAATACGTGGCGTCCAGCCTTGGCATCTGTAAAGTGGCCAGATTCATAGAGGCGAGCATGAGCTTCGCTCGCGTGCAGCAGGTGCTTCGGAGACGCGGCCGCCAGGGGGCGCTGTGCTTGCCCACGCTACCTCGGAAGGGCTTTCAATGCCCCTAACTGACCGCGGGTACTGGAATTCTGGAATTCTGGCCCCTGAACCACCTCCGGAGGGTCGCCTGGGAGAGCCTCACCTTTTCTTCTGCAAATTTTTCATTTTAACTGGGAAAAAAATAAAGGGAATAAGCACTGGTTATTTTTTGTGGCTGTCAATCTTTGGGCGTCTCATCCCGCCCCCTCCCTGCCAATCAACCAGCGTGCTCCCCCAAACAACGAAGATGCCTATTTGGCCCCCCCCCCCACAATGCATAGATTCCCCAGGACACTGCCAAGGCCAATTTCTGAGCGCTGACTTGGAGTAGCCCCTGAGCACGTTGGGTGTGCCCTCCGCCCGCCCCCGCAAAAAGGGGAAGGGGGTCTCTCTCGGCCCCTGAGCAAAACTAGGGAGGCAGTGATACCCCCTCCCAAAAGGGTGTTTCCAGGGTCTGCACTCTGACAGCCGGCGGGTCCGCGATTACCTTTCCTGACCACCAAGGCTACAGCCACAAGCCCGGCCACCAGCACGATGCCTCCCCCCAGGCTCAGCACCACGGCCAGCATCCAGGCGGGCACTAGAAGAAAACGGGAAGGGAGAAGGAGTGGACAGGTCGTGGGCCTGGGGAGGGGCAGGGAAGAGAGGGGTCAATGCTGTCCCTGCAGGGTACCCCTGCCTCACCCACTCCTCCCTCACAGTCCACGGAGCTGGCCACTGGGAATCGGCAAAGCCAAGGCCTGGTCAATTAGCATATTCCTTCCCCCCGGTCCCTGCGATTGGTTGAAGGCTGAGCGTGTGGCCAATACGATTGGTTGAAGGCTGAGTGTCTGGCCAATACTGAGCCAATGAGAGAGAGCTCTGGATTTTTACCTTACTGTTGGGGGTGGGTAGGGAGGATAGTAGCTCCCCGGGCGGGAGGATAGTAGAGCACCGTGGAGGGCACTTGCCTTGCACCAGCAGGCCCCAGGTTCGATCCCCAGTACCCTACAGGGTCCGTTGAGCCCATCCAGAGTGAGCCCTGAGCACAGAGCCAGGAGTCAGCCCTGAGCAGTGGCATGAGGAGGGGGGTCGGGGAGGGAGGGAGAAAAGAAAGATCTCAGGTTTGATACCCAGCACCACATAGATCTGAGCACCCCCAATAACTGAGCACCCCCAATCACTGAGCTGGGAATAGCTCCTGAGCACAGTCAGGTATAGCCCAAAACTTTAAAAAAAAGTTTTAAACCAAGAAAATGAAACAAGATAGTTTTCTCTGGGGCCAGTGGGTCGGATACTTGTCTTGTATGCGGCCAACCCGGGTTCAATCCCCAGCACCCCAAATGGTCCCCCGTGCCCAGCAGGAGTGATCCCTGAGTGCAGAGGCAGGAGTAATCCCTGAGCACCACTGGGTGTGACTCAAGTCCTGCCACACACACACACACACACACACACACACACGGAAGTTGAAGCTGGAAGGAGATACTTCAGACACTGTATACTGCTAGGCATGATTTTGCTACCACAAGGGGGAAGGCTTCCCTGATAATAAGACACAGAAGAAATCAAGAGCTGAGAAAGTGGCAAAAAAAGCTTTGAGTGCTGGATCAAACCATGCCTGAAGCCAGACCTCTGAAGTGACTCAGATGAAGCAATAATCTCTCTGCAGAGGCCAGTTTGAACAAAGTTTTCAGATATTTGCAGGCTGAAGCATTCTCTGGGTTCACCCTGGGGTCCCAGGGCAGCAGGCAGGTGGGCGGATGTTGTTCCCCCTCCCCACTAACTTCATGTGGAGGCTCCTAGTATGAGAAGCCCCTCCTGGGCCCCACTGGAGGAGGAGGGGCTCTCTCCTTGGAGCTGGGAGGGGAGGGAGGTTAAGCCTGGGTTAAGCCAAGAGGGGTGGGGGAGCAGAGACGCCCTGGCTCCTACATTCCTGTGGGTGGGGAGGGGTGCAGGCTGCTCCCCACTCGAGGCCACAGGAGCGCTGGCAGAGAGGAGGCCATTGAGAGTCCAGCACAGAAACACCTCTGTCTGCTCTGTGGGTTCCTGCTAGCCACAAGGTTCTCTTTGCAGTAGGAACCGTTAGAGCAATGTGTACTCTGAACCTGGAGGCGGGCCCCCTACACCCATCCCTCACCAGGCTCCTGGGTCCGAACCCCTGCCCAGCGCCCTCTGCTGGCAAGGCCAGGAAAGCCCTCCTTGCACTGTCCCAGGGTTTTCTTCCTGGCTGGCTGTGACCCTCTAATGGTGCTCACGTTCCAGACTCCGGGGCTTTGTATGGTCATGCCCCAGATTTGGATCATGGGCCTCCAGACCCCGCCTGACTGGCTGCTCCTTCTCACAGACCACTTGCTCAGAAGGGTTTCTGGGTCCCTCTACTATTTATTTTGGGGAAAATCACACAGGCAGGGCAGTGTTCAGGGCTGACTCCTGGCTCTGTGCTCAGGGATCACTCCTAGCAGGGCTCACGAGGGACCCTATTCGGGGGTTCTGGGGGCTGGACCTGGGCCGACCATGTGCAAGGCAAGTGCCCTGTCTATATTATTTCTTTGGCACCACTGAATATTTTTTGTTTTTTGGCCACACTCAGCAATGTTCAGGGGTTACTTATGTCTCTGCGCTCAGGAAATACTCCTGGCAGTGCTCAAGGGACCCTATGGGATGCCCAGGATAAATCCTGGGTTGTTTTTTTTCTTTTTGGGTCATATCTGGCGATGCTCAGGAGCTACTTCTGGCTCTGCACTCACGAATCACCGCTGGCGGTGCTCAGGGGACCATACGGGATGCTGGAAATTGAACCCAGGTCAGCTGGTGTGCAAGGCAAACGCCCTACCCACTGTGCTATCACTCTAGCCCCCTGTGTTGTTCTTGTGCAAGGCCAGTGCCCTGCCCACTATGCTATGTCTCCAGCCCAGCTTAAACTCTTTTTTTTTTTTTTTTTTTTTGCCTTTTGGGTCATACCCGGCGATGCACAGAGGTTCCTTCTGGCTCTGCACTCAGGAATTACTCCTGGTGGTGCTCGGGGGACCATATGGGAAGTTGGGAATCGAACCTGGGTAGGCCACGTGGAAGGCAAAAACCCTCCCCACTGTGCTAACGCTCTAGCCCCAGCTGAAACATTCTTTATGAGCACATGCACAGGGTACTGGCGGCGGGTGGGCAGACCAGGGGTTGTTCAAGACTATGCTAGACGTGAGAAATCCAACCTTGGGCCTTGCACAGAGCAGGCACGTGCCCCGCCCCGTTCAACCATCTGCACCACTGGGTGCCCTATACAATGTGAAAGCCCTGGGGAGAGAACAATGGTTGCAAAGGGGTTCAGGGCAGTGATTTTTGGGTCACACCCGGCGATGCACAGGGGCTACTCCTGGCTTTACACTCAGGAATTACTCCTGGCGGTGCTCGGGGGATCATAGGGGATGCTGGGAATCGAACCCGGATCCGCCGCGTGCAAGGCAAACGCCCTGCCCGCTGTGGAATCGCTCCAGCCCCGACTTTTGTATGGCAGATGAGTCAACCCCCGGCATCCCATAGGGTCCCTTGAGCACTGCCAGGATTGATCCCTGAGCACAGAGCTAGGAGTCCGCCCCGAGCATCGCCGGGTGTGGCCCCGTAGCAACAACAAAGCAACCCCGAAAGCCAGGGAGAGGCGCTTGTGCAGCGGCGTCGGCGCTTACCTGGGTAGGTCACGTGCATGGGTGCGCTGAGGTCCGACACCTGCGGCTGCGCGTGCTCCCCCAGCACCCGGTACTGGCACTGGAATGGGGCCTCGAGGCCGCCCCCGCTCAGGTTAAAGGTCACTCGGAACTGGTCCGCGGCGGCCTGGAGCAGCTGGACCACCTGCCCGCCACTGTAGAGCGTGAAGTTGGCGCCAGGGAAGCCAGGGGCAACGCAGGCGATGTGGATGGGGTCCTCGTGGCTGCTGGGGTGTGGGGGCACCAGCACAATGAACGGCGCCGGGATGGCCAGGGAGCCTGCGGGTGTGACGACGGGGAGGGCGGGTGCTGAGGGAGGCTGCCTGGCTGTGGGACCCTGCCTGCACCCCCCACTCCTCAGGGAACCCCTGGAAGATGGTGACTCCTGCTGGTCCATGGCCCCCACAGCTGATCCCCAGTGGGAGGACCCCACAGCCCCACACTGGGGCCAGAACCAGTGCAGCCCACCCACAGATCGGCATTCGCCCTAGGGGCGACCCTGGAGGGCGTCCTGAGGAGGTGGCTGGATGAGCACTGGGGAGCACATTCCAGGTAGAGGGCCGGGCACAGGGGGGTCCAGGCTGGGGGTGGGTGCTCAGTGAGGCAGGGAGGTGCCACAATGAGGGGGAAAGCTGAAGAGCCACAGACAGAGGCTCTCTCGGGAGCAAGGAGGGAAGGACTTAGGTGGTGCGGGGCTTGAGCTGCCCAGGTGAGGGCCAGGGTCCCCTGCCGGAGCCGAGAGCCTGGCTCAGGGGAAGTATCCATCCTCCCTGGCCCCCTAGTCGGGCACACGCCCACCCTTCCTGGCCAGGCCCCCTAGGCTGAGTCAGGGGTGTGGGTCTTAGGGTTTCCATGGGATGTTCCCCATGTGGATGGAGGTCCCTGACCCCACCAGAGAAACTGGGGCTCGGGGGGCATTCCCAGGCTGTGGGTAGGATGGGGTGGGGTGGGGTGGGGCACATCTCTCAGCACTCAGCCTCCCCGCGCGGGCCCCCTGCCTGGCTCCGGCCGTGAGCGGGGCTTGGGGGCGCAGGCTTACCGGCCACCAGGAACAGCACTGTCCAGGACATCGCCCAGTCCGAGAGTGGCCGGGCTCCTGCAGCTCTCGGCCCGCGGCCAAGTCGGTCTGTGAGGTCAGAGCGGGGAAAGGAGAAGCTTGAGACAGTTGAGTGATTTCCTCACCGGCAGGAAGTTACACACACACACACACACACACACACACACACACACACACACTCTGGTTGCCTGAAGGAAGGGGCTCCCTGCCTGCTCCCTTTCTCCATCCCTCCACATGCCCGTCCACGCCCCGCCCGTCTGCCTGCTTCTGTGTGGGTTTCTGCAGGGGACAGAGCCTCGGCCAGCAGGGCTGGGTGTGTGCTCAAGTTTACTGCTGTTTTTTTTTTTTTCACCCGAGCTGATTTCCTGGGCAGCAGGCAGGGGGAGGGTAGCGGACTTGATTGCGGGTGACACCCAAGGCCAGGGACAGTGTAGACACTGGCCCAAGGGACAGGTGGGTGGTGGAGGGGACAGATGACGCTGGGTTGGGGCTTGGAGCTGAGTGCTCTTTAGGGGAGACCCAATGCCCCAGGTTCTTAGGAATGGGGCGAAGAGGTGCTGGAGCCACAGCACAGCGGGGAGGGTGCTGGTCTCGCACACGGCTGCCCTGGGTTTGAGCTGTAGCTCCACACAGTGTCCTTTGAGCCCACCAGAAGTGAGCCCTAAGCACCTCCAGGTGTGGCCCCTAAACCAAATCAAACCAATGAAAGAATGGGGCAAACAGAGCGGATGTTAGTGCCCAGGAGTTGGTGAGACGCGCAGTGGAAAGGTACAGACGGGGCTGGGGGTGGGGGTGTGTGGGCACGAGTGTGAATTAGGAGGGTGTGAATGTGTGCGTGAAGGCATCTGTGTGTGAATGCACATGCATGTGAAGCTACGCGTGTGTGAATGTTTGTGGGTATGTCTGTGTGTGTGTGAGTGCTGGGGACGGACCCATCAGTCAGTGCTCTATAACTGAACTACTGAACTATATCCAGGGACCAAGTATTCCTGGTGGGACAAATGGGCTCCTGTTCATACCACGGTCATCTCCGGGGAAGCCTGTCTTCCCAGGAATTTTACTTTGGCCTGTTTAATGATCCTGTTCCAGCTGGTTCACGTGGTAACTGGGGACTCGAGTGTGTTGTTTCACATACACATACACACTTTTATCTCTTCTCAGGAGTAGGCTTTGTTCTTTGGATCTTACTTCTCCTTACTACCCCAAGGCCTTGGCATGTGCTGCTACACAGGCGAACAGCCTGGTTACGTCACTTCACCGCCCCGACCAGCTGGTGACATTGCTGTCCCTCGTATGCACCAGGGAACATGGCTCCAAGGGTTACAGCATATGCCTTGCACTCAGGAGGCCCCAAGTTTGATCCCAAACACTTCATATCACTATCCCTGGCCCTTATAGCGCTGGGACAAGCTTCAAACCATCTGGCCAGCTCAGGGTAGCTGACTGATGATCAGGGGAACATGTGCAATTCTAGGGACCAAACTGGGGTTGGGGTTGGCCTCGGGCAAGACAAATAGCATGATGTGAGTCCTGGCTCTTGGCCCCTCTCCATGTGCTAACATGACAATTCCAGGCTAGGGGTGTGCCTCAGGGGGCTCACAGGCACAAGGTCCAGTACCCTCCCAAATCCCAGGTGGACCCCTAACGTCACTGAGCATGCACACTGCAGGCCCCAGGCCCTACTCTCTGCTGTGACCAGAATAAAAACTGTGACAGTCCCTGCAATGGCAGTTTAGTTCCAGTCAATGTCCATTCAATTGAGAGGAGTCTAGAATGTGCGTGCGCGCATCTTTGTGTGTGTGTGTGTGATGGGCCCGAGTGATGGGACAGCTGGGAAGGCGTTTGCTTTGCACATGTCTGACAGGGTTCAATGCCCAGCACCCCATATGGTCCCCTGAGCACCGTCAGGAGTGATTCCTGAGTGCAGAGGCAAGAGGAACCCTTGAGCACCACTGGGTGTGGCCCCAAAACAAAAACATTAACAACAAAATAACAGAATGTGTGTGTGAATGGTCTCCGGCCTGCTGGAGTCTGTGCATGTCTTATGCCAGCATATGTTGGACACAGAGAGCCACAGACTGTTTTATGACACCTGAGAGCCAAGAAAATTTATTCACAGGACTGAAGCACTAGGAGAGTGGGGAGGGCATTTGCCTTGCATGTGACGCGTCCGAGTTCAATTCCTGACATCCCACAGCGTCCCCTGTGCACTGCCAGGAGTAATTCCTGAGTGCAGAGCCAGGAGTATCCCCTGAGCATCGCCAGGTGTGACTCCCCTCCCAAAAAAAATCAAAAGTCTATTCATGCTTTGGCTAGGGAGAGTGGGCCTTGGGTCTCAGGACTTACTCCTGGCTCTGTGCTCAGGAGGGCCCTTTGGCAATGCTGCGGAGAACAAATGTGGATCTGGGGACGGAGTTGCCATTCTTAAGGCAAGCACCTCACTGCCTTTCTCTGGCCCTTGCTATTTTTTGTTTTGTTTTTGCTTTGGGGCCACACCCAGCGATGCTCCAGGGTTACCTTGGCTCTGTGCTCAGTGATCACTCCTTGCGGTTCTCAGTGGGGACCATATGGGTGCCAGTGATTGAACCCAGCTTAGCCTCATGCCATACGGTTGCCCTCCCTGCTGTACTATTGCTCCGATCCCAGCCCTCTTGTTCTGTTTTTGTGGCTCTGTCCAGATATATTCCTGGATGATCTGTTGTGTTACTGGGTGCTTCCAAGAGCTCCGAGTTGAGGTGAAGGTAGGACACTTGCCCTGGTTTTGTCTCTGACACCACAAAAGGTCCCCCAAGCAAGGCCAGCAATGATCCTTGAGCACAGAGCCAGGAGTACGCTCTGCTTGGTGTGTACCCCTCCTCCCAAAAAAACACCTTATGCTAGGCTGGAGATAATACAGGTATCTGCATGAAGCTGAATCCATTTGATCCCTAGCACTACATGAATCCCTCAAACACCCCACCTCACCGGTTTGGCCCCAACTCTCTCCTCTTATAAAAGGGGCACAGGGGCCAGAGTGATAGCACAGTGGGGAGGGCATCTGCCTTGCGTACGGCAACCTGGGTTCAATGCCCTGCATTCCATATGGTCCCCGGAGCACCATTAGGAGTAATTCCTGAGTGCAGAGCCAGGAGTAATCCCAGGAGTAATCCCTGACCATCGCTGGGTGGGAGCCCCCGCCCCCCCCCAAAAAAAAGGGGCACAGCTGGGAGGGCTTCTGTCTTGCACATGGCAGACCTGCACGTGGCAGACCTCGGTTCAATCGCTAGCATCCCCTGTGTTCCCCTGAGCGCAATCAGGAATAATTGCTGAGTGAAGAGTAACTCCTGAGCATTGTCAGGCATGACCCCCCAACAAAAAACCAAAATTTAGTTTAAAAGGCAATGCTCAAGCCAATAAGAGAACAAAAAAAACCGCCCCCCCCCCAAAAAAAAGGAACGAGAAAGAAACCAAGATGGACACAGCAATGTGAATGTCACTGCACATCCCAAGGATGAAACGGGGGGGGGGGGGGGGGGGTGAGCCACGACTTCAAAGTGTCTTCCTCTAACTGAAATGAGAAAAACTTGGGGCGAGATGCCAGGATAACCAGACATAAACTCAGTCTTGACAAAGAGGTGTGACTTCCCTCCCGGGCAGATGCGTGGGGTAACAGCTGACATCCCGCAGAGATGCTGCTCTCCCGGGAAGCGGGAAGCGGTCCCGGCTCTGCACCGCCCGCCTAAACATGTCCTCGTTTGTTTGGACAGAATCACGAGGCAGCGCGGCTGTGACCGTGCCTTTGTTTATCCGTCTGCCCCCGCGTCCTTCCAGCGACCTCAAGCAAGGTTTGGAGGCCGACGGCCACCGAGACTTGCGCAGAGCCCACGCAAAGCCAAGCGTTCCGAAAGCAAAGCGGCCTCCGAGCCTCCACCAGGGACGGGCGAACGGCCGGGGGCAGGCGACTGAGTCCCCAATAGCCTGGGGAGGTCTCCGTGGAGGACCGCGAAGCGAGCGGGCGGGGTCCTGCAGACTGCAAACGCCGGGACCCCAGCCCGAGCCTCGTGGGGTGCAGGGTGGGGTCGAGCATCCCTAACTCTGCCCGGGGGAGACGCAGCAAAGGCCGGGCCCACAGACTTCACTTTCAAGGTCGCCCGCACCGACGCTCCACCAACTCCAACTTACAGACGCGGAAAGGGGCTAAACTGACGGCGCTGAGACACCAAGGGAAGGAAGGGGGAGGGGTGGGGAACGGTGGACTCGGGGTCACGGTGGTCACGGCCTCACGTGCAGCGGAAGGCGGAAGCCAGGATCATGAACGGCCTCGCCCCGCCGCTCAGGAGGCTACTTATAGCAGGACGGGTGGCACGCAGGGCCACGCCGAGCTCTGCCCCGCCCGCGCCCCGCCCGGGCCGCCGCGCCTAACGGTCTCGGCGCGCTGGGGGCTCTGGGAGAGCAGCGGCCGCAGCGGCGCCTCCCAGGACCCGGCCGCCTCCGCCGTAGGTGCCGTCACTTTTGCCTGAATATGTCTCATCACCGCGGAATGAAGTTTTGCGTTTTCTTTCACTAGCTGAAATGAGGGCGCGAGGTCTTCCATTAAGAAGAGAAAAAGAAAAAAAAAGGCCGAGGGTGCCGCATGCTTGCATACGCATCAGGCAGCCGCGCGGGCAGAAGCTCCCGGGGGGCCCTTTATTTAAGGTTCCGCGGGGTTTGAGCCGCCAATCAACGCAGCCGCGGCCCGGGGTGGGCGGGGCGAGCTCTTAAAGGAGCCGCGACCTCGTTAAGCAGAGCCGAGGGTGACCCGGATGATGGCGGCCGGCGCGGCCCTGGCCCTGGCCCTCTGGCTCTTGCTACTGCCGGTGGGGGCAGGCGGGGCAGGACCCCCGCCGATCCAGGACGGCGAGTTCACATTCCTGCTGCCCGCGGGGAGGAAGCAGTGTTTCTATCAGTCGGCACCGGCCAACGCAAGCCTCGAGACCGAGTACCAGGTAGAGTGGCCGGGCCGGGCACGGAACGGTGCCCGGGAGGGGGCGTGGCCTGTCGCAGGGAAGGGGCGGGGCCAGAGCTGGGCAGCGGAAGGGGCGGGAGCAGCGGGCGGCCGCTGGGAGGATGGGCCTCTCGGAAGGCTGGGACCTCGCGGGTGGGCGTGGCTAACGGACTCGGGTCACTTGTGGGAGTTGGTGGGCGTGGCCGGGCGGGCTGTTGCCCTGAACTGGTCCAGTGCAGGTTTGTGGCTGAGGCCAGGTGCCTGGCCTCTAGCTGGGATATGACCAGGAAAGCCCATCAAGCTGTCAGATCAGTGAATGGTAGGGTCAGTGCAGCTCTGGAGCAGGTGCCTGAGTTCAGGTAGTCCCGGTGGACTGTAAGGGCCAGATGCGGGGGTTGACCCAGCTCTGGCCTTCTCCGACCGGTCCCTCAGGCCTCGCCCCAACCCTGCACCCGTTCTTACCTGCCCGCCCCACCAGGTGATTGGAGGTGCCGGGCTGGACGTGGACTTCACACTGGAGAGTCCGCAGGGTGTGCTACTGGTCAGCGAGTCCCGCAAGGCCGATGGGCTGCACACGTGAGTGATGTCCGCTGCCTGCCCGCCTGGGTTCGGTTACATCCCTGCCCCTCCCCAGCGGCCTCAGGTTACTCGCACTTGCTTTGCATAACTACCCCTAGCTGGGCACTCAGGGTCACATCTGTGTGACTGTCTGCCCAGGGTGGAGCCCACGGAGGCTGGCGACTACAAGCTGTGCTTCGACAACTCCTTCAGCACCATCTCAGAGAAGTTGGTTTTCTTTGAGCTCATCTTTGACAGTCTGCAGGACGATGAAGACGCCGGGGGCTGGGCAGAGGCTGTGGAGCCCGAGGAGATGCTGGACGTCAAGATGGAGGACATCAAGGTGTGTCCAGGCGAATGGGAGCTGCCCCCAGCTTCTCTGGCCTGGGGTTCCCATTGTCCCGAGGAAGTAGCTTCCTTACTTGTGGAGGCCCAGATGAAAACAGAACCGTAGCTGTGTATAGTTAAAAGACTGGACACGTTTCTTGGCACCAACTTGCCTTTATTTTCTTTCTGTGTGTCCTGGGCCAGATGTGGCTATGCTCACGGGCTCAGGACTTACTCAGGCTCAGTGACCACACTGCTGGTGCTCAGAGGACCCTAGGCGCTGCCCTGGATTGGGTCAGGGGTGGCTATGTGCGAGGCCAAGCACCTTAACCTGTCCTCTCTTTCCGGCCTCCAAATCTGGCTCTAAAGAACTCATTAGAGCGCCATCAAAGAATGCATCAGACCCTCACTCCAAGAACTTGTTCATATACTTGAATTATCCATTACATGTGGGGAAACCGAGGCACAAGATGGCTAAGTCACGCAGTCCAAAGGCTCTGCACCCAGACGGGCCATTGTGAGCATCCAGGAGGCCTTGTTTCAGTGACTGCAGTTTAATGATGTTGGCTTGGGACCGTGTGTGGCCATGCTTGGGGATGACTCCTGGGGTAGTGCTCAGCAGCCACGCCGTACTGAGAATCAAATGTGGACCTTCCACACACACGTACTCCCAAGCCGGGATTGATAATACAGTGGGGAACACACTGGGCTTGCATGTGACCAGGCTGGTTTGATCCCTGGTACCACATATGGTCCCAAGTCCTGCCAGGCGTGACTCTTGGGGCCAGGAATAAGCCTTGATCACCACTGGGTGTCCCCACCAATAAAGGCACTGCAGGGCCAGAGTGTTCAGGGGCTGCAGCGAGTGGGGAGGGCGCTTTTCTTGCACATGGCTGACCTGGGTTTGCTCCATGGCAACCACATAGGGCCCTCTGAGCACTGCCAGGAGTGATCCCTGAGCACAGAGCCCTGAACACCGCCTAGGGTGGCTCAGAAACCAAGCAGTGATAGAGTCCAACAGACTGGAGTGTGCTATGCATGGAGGTGGCCTGGGTTCCATCCCTACAACTCCCCTGGCACTGAGCCAGAAGCAGTACAGGGAGACCAGGTGCTGACCCATTTCCTGGGCCCCAAGGATTTATTAGCCGCTTGCAAAGACATGTTATTTTGCAAATGCTGGGAGAGGAACCCCAGGCGCTCAGCTGACCCGCTGACCCTACTGGGTGTTCAGTTCCGCCGGCATTAGGGGCTTTGCTCTGAGGCACGTGGGACCCCAAGAAGCCAGGGAACTTTAGGGGGGTCCCACAGCGCGTGGGGACGGTGCCCCCAGTTCCACCCGGGCCTGAGGCCGTTTCTCCCCTGCCCCGCAGGAGTCCATGGAGACCATGCGGACGCGGCTGGAGCGCAGCATCCAGATGCTGACGCTGCTGCGCGCCTTTGAGGCCCGGGACCGGAACCTGCAGGAGGGGAACCTGGAGCGCGTCAACTTCTGGTCGGCCGTGAACGTGGCGGTGCTGCTGCTTGTGGCCGCGCTGCAGGTGTGCGCGCTCAAGCGCTTCTTCCAAGACAAGCGCCCCGTGCCCACGTAGCCCCGGGGGGACATCAGTGGGGCACCGGGGTCCCCTCTGGACACGCGGAGACCTGGAGGAGCTGCTGCTCCCCTCCCGCGCTGCGTGGGGCCCCACAGGCTGGCCCGGAGGCCGGGGGCTGAGGCAGTCGCCCCCTTCCCGGGAAGCTGCTGGTGAGCGCAAGCCCGGCCTCTCGGGCCCCGCCTCAGTCCCCAGTGGTTAAAGTGCCTTAGCTTGAGTCTTCCGGGGTGCCCCAGTGTGGATGGGCCCAGGAATGGGGGCCCCCTGAGCCCGGGCGTGGTGGGCGGGGAAGCCCAGGCTTGCTCCCCTCTCCTGGCCGCCGCCACCACCAGGGGGCACTGCCAGGCCCCACTGGGAAGGAGCCAGGTGGGAGCGGGGCACTTGATTGAACAGCAAGGGGCTGGCCGGCGGGGGTGGGGGTGGCAGCCAGCTCGAGCCAGCCCCTCCGGGAAGGGACACACAGGCTGAGGGCCAGCCACAGGCCCGGGACAAAGGGTGTCTGGCCTGGGCATCGGAGTCAATAAATTATGGTCAGAAATTGCGAGCCTGGTGACTGGGGCTCAGGCCCCCGGCGGGGAGGGAGGGCGCTCCACGAAGCTCAGAAGAAAGGCCGGGCGGGGGCCGACGGAGCTGGTCGCCTGGCACAAGAGAGAAACCAGAAAGGAAGTTGCACGGGGTCCCCCGCGGCTGCGGTGCGGGGGCGCAGGCCAGGAGCCGCACACAGACACAAGAGACCGCAAGCGCCACAGGAAGCTTCTTCCCTTTATTCGCGTCCTCGGGGTACAGAGTGCAGGCACTTAGGGGATTCCCCGGAGCTCTCTGGCCCCTCTCAGCCCCGAGCCCCCCGGGCGCCCGGGAAGAAGAGGGGGCGGAGAGGAGGGTGGGCTGGGGGTACCAGCAAAGGCACCTGGGGCCGGGCCAAGGACGGCGCAGGCGGGAGTTGCGAGGGGATGCACCTGCGCGCCCACTCGGTCGCAAGGTACAGGTCCCCCCCCGGGGCCAGGCGCTGTCGACCGGGGGAGCCCCCAACCTGGCTGCCACGTGGACGATGGCACCCGGGGGGGCAGTGCCTCTTGCCTCACTCCGGTTCCCCCAAGTGCAGCCCCCAGCTCCCCGCCTGTCAGTGCTGGGCCCCTCGGGGGCCGGGGGGGGGGCCGGGGCAGGGCGGGGGGCGCCCGCTGGGGCGCGGGCCTAGTCGAGCAGGGAGGGCTCGGCCGGGCGGATAATGGTGGGCCGGCTGGGCGCGGCCGGGGGCCTCCTGCTGCGAAGAGAAGACAGGACGGACGGACGGACAGACAGACGAGGAAGGACAGGCGGTGAGGCTGGAAGCAGAGGACCCTGGAAGCCCCAGGCCCCTTCCCAGCTGCCGCGAAGGCCCCCCCCCTTACCTGGGCACTCCCGGGGGGATGCTGGGGGGAATGCGAGCTGGAACCTGAGGCAGGGGCGCGAAGGGGTCATTGTTGGCGAAGACGCTCCGGGGGCCGGGCCGGGCCGGGATGGGGGGTGCGGAGAAGGCAGCGGCGGCCGGGCCCACAGGCACTGGTGTCAGGGGGGGCCCTGGGGTGGGGCCCCTCACAGCAGGGGGCCGGGGCGGGTGCGCAGTGACTGCAGGCCGGCGCTGTGGCGTTGGACTGTGGAGGAAAAGAGGTGCTGGGAGGGCGAGTAGGGGCTGGGGCCGGTGGGGGTGGGGGGGCCTGTCCCTGGGTCCCGCCCCCACGCGCCTGGGGGGGGACGGTACACCCGGCCCCCACATGAAGTCGGGGCCCTCCCGGGGCAGCGCAGGGACCTGTGGCTGCTGGAGCTCTGCAGCCAGGTGTCGTCCACGGGTGGGGGTACGGGCGTGGACACGGTGCTGGTGCTGATGTCCCCGATGATGCCCAGCGCCTCCTTGAGGGCGTGGTACATGCGCAGCATATCGTCCCGCCGCTGCGCCTGCTCGGCCGACTCCTCCATCAGGCTGCCCTGGTCAGCTGATGAGTACAGGTAGGCCAGCAGCTCGTGGTGGATGAAGGCCTTGGTCTGTGGGCAGCAGGCGGCGGGCAGGTCAAGGCCGTGCCGCCACATCCAGGCTGGCCCCAGGGCTGCTGCCAGCACTGTATATTTTGGGGCCAAACCGCAGGTGCTCGGGGCTGACTCCTGCTCTGTCTCAGGGATCGCCCTCAGTCGTCCCGAAGGGAACGTTATGTGGTGCTGGGTTCGAACCCAGGACAGCTGCCTGCCAGGCGTGTGCTTCCAGCCCTGTCCTCTGCCCCCTATACACACTATCTGGATGCTGTGCGCGGGCTGGGGAGCTCAAAGGGCCCGGGGTCTGCTGCCCACCACGCTCAAGACAGCCGGGTGGGTCAATCCACACTCAGCCAAGGATGTGGGCGGTCAGCGGGTAGAACCCCAGGAGGCAGCACCCACAGCCTCCGAGGCCTCACATGCCCTGCAGGGTCCCCCATGCTGTGTGGAAGGTGTGTAGGGTCGCTCAGCTGGGTGTCAGGGTATCCTCCCACATGTGTCTGCACATGTGTGAACGTGTGTAAGTGCGCATGTATGTATGCACATGTGTGAACGTGTTTGTGTGTGTGCATGTGCACGTGTGAGCATGTGTGCGCACGTGTGAGCGTGTGCAGGTGTGAGTGCGTGTGTGTGCGTGTGCAGGGGTGTGTGTGTGTGCATGGGTGTGCGCACGCGTACACCCGCCGCTGCTCTGGGGCCCCTGGACACGCACATTGTTGATCATGAGATGCATGATGGTCTTTGGCATGAGGTCGCGGATGGACTTGTTGATGATGGCCACATACGAGTCCACCAGGTTGCGGATGGTCTCCACCTGCCGCTCGAGCTGCGGGTCCATGGAGAAGGTGTTCTCCTGCGCCCCGTCCTCGTTCTCAGCCTGTGGCAGGGGAAGGCGCAGTGAGTGGGTGTGGGCTGGGTCCCCTCTGGGGCAGGCTGTGTGTGGGCTCTGTATGCAGGAGCGCCCCTAAGCGCCGCCCGGGGTGGCCCCAAATAAAACCCAAAGCCCACGAAGGGCTCCTGCGGGGCTGCCTCCAGGGGCCTCAGCGTCTTCCCACCCGGGGGAGTGGGGATACATGTCCAACCCCCGGAACCCCAACAACAAAGTCCACGTTTTTCTGGGGACTGTGGTCTGGAGAGATGGAAGATACCTGCCCGGCACCCGGCCAACGCTGGTGTGAGGTCCTGGCACCCCATCAGCTCTCCCAAGCCCTACTAAGCAGCACCCTGCCATCAGGGGGCCCCTGGTCGCCTGGGGCGACTGGACAAAGGCCCAGCAGGAGTGGTGGGGGGCAGTGCTGTGGTCCTGCAGCCCAAGAGAGCGGGCAGTGGGGTCCGTGGTCTGGCACTGCCCAGACAGCGATGCTGTGCGCCCCTTCTGTGCCCCCAAGCTGCACTTGGAGGCCCGTGGCCATGGCCTGGGGTCCTCACCTGGTCCTTCTCGGGGTAGACACCGGCGCGGAGAAACGAGGCCTTCCAGCTGTCCACGTCCTCCTGGGAGTCGCAGGCCAGCTCGATCTGCCGCAGGTCCTTGTACACGTTCCTGTGGGCAGTGGGAGTCTCGCAGGAGTGGGGGGACACGTCCCGCGGGCCCCCAGGCTGCTGTCTGCTTAATCTAACTCGGGGCCTCACCAGGCCCCACGAGCCCCATCATGGTCTGGACGACCCCTCCCGGCCAGCCCCTCCCTCCACAGCCCGCCATGGCCGTGGCCACCACTATGGGGAAACTCCTGGAGGACAGCAGGGAAGCTGGGGACGTGGGACACAAGGTGCCCTGGATGCGGACCAGAAGCAGGGCGCGAGGCTGGTGGTGTGCGGGGCAGCCTGCGGGGCCCACCCCTCCGCACCTCTGCTCGGTATTGAAGACCGCGAAGATGTGCTTGGTGGACATGAAGCCCTTTTCCACGTCGCGGATCTTCAGGTTGTCCAGGGGCAGCATGTACTTCTTCTCCTTCTCCTGGGGGCATGGGAGCGGATCAGCAAGGCCCCGAGACCCCCAAACCCAAGTCTCTTCCTCCCACCTCCGGCAGGCCAAACCAACCCATTTCCCAGGGTGGAGATGGGGTGCTGAGGGGCTGAGGCCACAGGCAGACATGCAAGGGAGCAAGCCCCCCTGGAGCTGGGGTGGGGGGCCTGGCCAGAAGCATGTGGAGCCCCTCAGCCGTCCTTGGCACTCGACAGGTCACGAGGCCGGAAGGGGCCGGGCCGGGTGCCACCTCTGGAATCATTTAGCCGCAGTCTGCCCACACCCCCAATGCCCCCAGACCCACCCCTGCCCCCTGCCTGCCCTACACCCCCATTCCCCGGACTCCTGCAAGTCACTCCAGATGTGCAGCCCGGCCTGGCCATATCAGACTGCCCTGCCGGCCCTGTATCCAGACCACCTGTCCAGGCCCATGGGGACAGTAGTCTGAACCCTGGCTGGGCTGGGTCGCGAGGCTGATGGGGGGCTCTGGGCAGCTCTTCTGAGTAAAGACATGAATGACCCCCCAGGAGGGAGGAGCGTGCGGCCTGCAGGGGGGCAGGGGTTGTGGGGTCGTTTGCAGTCTGAGCCCCCTGGTGACCCCCCCCCCCATCTCAGCTGCAGCTGCAGGTTTCGGCAGAATCCTGCCCACGGGGGTCAAGCTGCCCCTGGTGGGACTGGCCCAAGTGGGGGACAAGTGAGGGGTGGCTCCCCTCCCAACAAATGCTCACAGACCGGACGCAGGAGTGCAACCTGGCCATTTCCATCTCAAGGCCTGGTCTGGCCTCTCCTTGACCCTCCCCCCTTCCCCCTGCAGGGCTGGGTCTGGGTCTGGCCAGGGTGGGGCGGGGCTGCCCAGAGGAGCCTGCACGCCCCCCTCTCCCCATCCTGACCCCTTCTGCAGGGGGAGGTGGAGTGTGGACCCCACACAGCCCATGGGTGTCCTGGGCAGTACCCAGGAGAGAACCCCCTCCCCAGTGGCGTCAAGGGACGGGCTCTGCTCCCAGGCCACCAGGCCCAGCCTGTGAGCGGGCACCTCCCGAAAGTCCCACACACTGTCAGCTGGTCAGTGCCCTGGACGCCAGCCAGGCCTACTTCTCGGATGGGGAAACTGAGGCAGAGTCTGACCCGTGTGGGCCTGTAGATGGCAGACGGCCCCGCCCACAGTGGTGACCCCTGAGGGTCCCTGACTATGCCCTCAAGTCGGGCGAAGTTCCTGATCTCTGTACATGTCCCTCATTTTTTGGTGGAGGGAGGCAGTCGTCGGCAGGGGGTGTACCCATACTCTTCCTGATGCCCCGGGCACGGCGCCGCCCAGAGCTCTCCCCGACCAGTCAGAGAGCCCAGGAGCAAGGGTGGGGGGTGGGGGAGAAGGAACAGAGAAGGGAGAAGGCGGGGCCAAGGGAGGTAGGAATGGGTGATGAGATGGAGTGAAGGGAGGAATTAACGGATGTGAGGGAGGGAATGGATGAACGGGTGCAGGAGTGGGTCCGTGAATGAACAGGTGGATGGGGAG